TAGGATTAGCGCCAAAAACGGGTGGATAAGCGGTTGGCCGGATAAGCGATTCGTAGGCGCTTTTTTGAACCATTTATAAGCGATTATAAGCGCTTATAATTGGGGTGCAATTTAGCTGTTTGTAAAGCGCAAATAAAGCGCTTATAAGCGCTTTTAAAATTGAGTCAGGAAAACGCTATATTACATCTTACAACCGCTTATAATCGATTATAAGCGTTTTTTCAGAAATCGCTTATAACAGCTAATTCATCGCTATTTCACCGCTTTTACCGCTTTTCCTATCATCCATGGCCAGGTGAGCAGGAATTAAAAAGCGCTTATAAGCGCTTTTTCGATGCTGCCCCTAGCCTGGTCGGAACGGGGTAGTGCCCGGAATTTAAAAGCGCTTATAAGCGATTTCTCAATTCCCCTTAACCTGGTTGGAACTTTCATGTGCTTTTATGAGCAACCTGGGGTGCACAGGCAGAGTCAGGATTTAAAAGCGCTTATAGGCGCTTATGATCGCTTTTCTACCGCTTTTTCTATCACCCATGGCCTGGTTGGCAAGAATTATAAAGCGCTTATAAGCGTTTTTTCAATGCTGCCCCTAACCTGTTCGGAACAGGAGTGTGCCCGGAATTAAAAAGCGCTTATAAGCGCTTTTTCAATGCTGCCACTAACCTGGTCGGAACGGGGGAGTGCCCGGAATTAAAAAGCGCTTATAAGCGATTTCTCAATTCCCCTTAACCTGGTCGGAACTTGCATGTGATTTTCTGAGCAACCTGGGGTGCACCGGCAGAGTCAGGATTTAAAAGCGCTTATAGGCGCTTATGATCGCTTTTCTACCGCTTTTTCTATCACCCATGGCCTGGTTGGCAAGAATTATAAAGCGCTTATAAGCGTTTTTTCAATGCTGCCCCTAACCTGTTCGGAACAGGGGTGTGCCCGGAATTGAAAGCGCATATGATCGCTTTTCTACCGCTTTTCCTATCACCCATGGCCTGGTTGGCAAGAATTAGAAAGCGCTTATAAGCGCTTTTTCAATGCTGCCACTAACCTGGTCGGAACGGGGGAGTGCCCGGAATTAAAAAGCGCTCATTAGCGCTTTTTTAATGCTGCGCTTATAAGCGATTTCTCAATTCCCCTTAACCTGGTCAGAACCGGAAATCAGTGTGCCCGCTTATAGTTATAAGTGCTTTTCTGTGCAACCTGGGGTCACCGGCAGAATCAGGATTTAAAAGCGCTTATAGGCGCTTATGATCGCTTTTCTACCGCTTCTACTAAATCGCTTGCCCAAATTTTAAGGAAATTCTTGTAAAAAGGCCCTTTGGGGCATGAAAATGATCTATATATGTGTATTTTTGGACGCTGATTCCGAATCACCCCCCATGACGTAGGGTTAAAATGCTTCCCTGGAGAGTTATGGGCAAAAATCCGTTTTGGTCACGTGACAGGCTAGGCTAGTAAAATACGAATTCGATTGTTTAGGGCCCGGGTTAGGGTTAGGCTTGTGGAACGGGTTATGGTTAACTTCGGGGTTATGGTTAGGGTTAGGGTTGGGATTAGGATTTATGTAAAACCGTTTTGTACGGCTGCAAAACCATAAAAACCAAAGTCACGTGAAATTTTTGGGCGAGCGAACTAGTAAAAGCCGAGTTGGACTCCAATATATGGAACAGATATTTTACGAGTGTCACCCGTCAATTCTCGCAATCACGTTCAACATTGCGCTTCGCACAAATACGGCGCGCGCTAACATTGACTCTTAAAATAATCGGATTGCTTTAATGTTTAAGTACCCGGGTTTTTACGCTTGCAGTGGCGCCCCACCTCCCGGTGACACAGAGGCGGTACTTGTGCGAAAAAATGCTTGCAGCCTGGGCACGGATCTAAGCAATTTTATATTGGGTGTCAAAATTTTGTCCTCATATCTGCAATCTGACGTCGCGCGTGGCAACATGAATACTGCGGGCGCGCGCACGAAGGCGAGTTGATGCTTTTCTTTACTTGTGAAACAAGTGGCGCGAATTTTACCAGGTGACCCCAAGCTAGTATGTTCATAAGCATAGCCTGGCGTAATTAAACCCTCTAAAACGCGCAAATAGGCGTGTTTATACGATTTTACAATCAAATAATAAGATTTTACAATTTAACTCAGCGCGCGGCTCTTGTAGTGCATACGTCACTTCTTTTTTATTGGTAGTTGGCGTGCACGTGATCTTTTGCGCGGCTCTAATTGGTTCTGAACGATCACGTGAATGCTAGTCCAATGAGCATTCGCACTTTTTTAGGGCGATGAAAGTCGTAATTCACTCAGCCCGAATAAAGATTTGGCGGAATGCAGATAATGACAGGCTGAGCGCCGCCCAGTAACGCGAATTGTAAGCACCCTGTCACCCGATCTTAAGGTGACGTACGACACTTCGTTTAACAAACTAATTAAAACGTTTTTTGTTTCCCGCTAGGCTCATTGGACCAGGTGAGCTTGCATGCTTGTGAATGTGATTGTAAGTACAGCTGTACTGTAGTTTATACCTAATTACCCCTACTGCAGAAACTGCAAAGTGCGGGAAATTTTGGGAACCAATATATGGTTGCCAAAATCGATGGAGGGTTGGCGGCTAGATCAAAGCTCAACGGCTTTGGATTAGGGGTGGACGATAAAATAAACTTGCTCAGATTTTAAAATTTTTTTGTAACACTGTTTTCTAGAGACTGTGAGAATTTTCACAATACCAAATTTGTCATACCTTTTTGGAAAGATCAGTGAGTTTCGCCTCACTAGCTGGGTGCCATTTGCTCTATCCAGAGCCCTTGCGCTTGCAGTAGCGCGCGCCCACTCACTTCTTGACGTACTTGTGAAACAAGCGCGCCCGAAGTGGCGCGAAAGCACATGGTTAGGTAATGGGAAAAGCGGTAGAAAAGCGATCATAAGCGCCTATAAGCGCTTTTAAATCCTGACTCTGCCGGTGCACCCCAGGTTGCACAGAAAAGCACTTATAAGCGGGCACTCTGATTTCTAGTTCCGACCAGGTTAAGGGGAATTGAGAAATCGCTTATAAGCGCTTATTAATTCCAGGCACTCCCCCGTTCCGACCAGGTTAGGGGCAGCATTGAAAAAAAGCTTATAAGCGCTTTATAATTCTTGCCAACCAGGCCTTGGGTGATGGGAAAAGCGGTAGAAAAGCAATCATAAGCGCCTATAAGCGCTTTTAAATCCTGACTCTGCCGGTGCACCCCAGGTTGCTCAAAAAAGCACATGCAAGTGGGCACTCTCCAGTTCCGACCAGGTTGAAGAGAATTCAACACGCGCTTTTTAATTCCGGGCACACCCCCGTTCCAAACAGGTTAGGGGCAGCATTGAAAAAACGCTTATAAGCGCTTTATAATTCTTGCCAACCAGGCCATGGGTGATAGAAAAAGCGGTAGAAAAGCGATCATAATGCTTTTTAATCCTGACTCTGCCGGTGCACCCCAGGTTGCTCAGAAAAGCACTTATAAGCGGGCACTCTGATTTCCAGTTCCGACCAGGTTAGGGGCAGCATTTAAAAAGCGCTTTTTTATTCCGGGCACTCCCCCGTTCCGACCAGGTAAGGGGCAGCATTGAAAAACGCTTATAAGCGCTTTATAATTCTTGCCAACCCATGCCATGGGTGATAGGAAAAGTGGTAGAAAAGCGATCATAAGCGCCTATAAGCGCTTTTAAATCCTGACTCTGCCGGTGCACCCCAGGTTGCTCAGAAAAGCACATGAAAGTTCCAACCAGGTTAAGGGGAATTGAGAAATCGCTTATAAGCGCTTTTAAATTCCGGGCACTACCCCGTTCCGACCAGGCTAGGGGCAGCATCGAAAAAGCGCTTATAAGCGCTTTTTAATTCCTGCTCACCTGGCCATGGATGATAGGAAAAGCGGTAAAAGCGGTGAAATAGCGATGAATTAGCTGTTATAAGCGATTTCTGAAAAAACGCTTATAATCGATTATAAGCGGTTGTAAGATGTAATATAGCGTTTTCCTGACTCAATTTTAAAAGCGCTTATAAGCGCTTTATTTGCGCTTTACAAACAGCTAAATTGCACCCCAATTATAAGCGCTTATAATCGCTTATAAATGGTTCAAAAAAGCGCCTACGAATCGCTTATCCGGCCAACCGCTTATCCACCCGTTTTTGGCGCTAATCCTACTGGAAAACCGCTTTCAAATCGCTCAGCGACGCTAGTAAGCGCTTAAAAGCGCTTATAAGCGCTTTTAAATTCAAAAAAGCGCTTTTTTGAATTATGACACCAATTATAGTCGATTATAAGCGATTTTTTTTGAACCGTTTATAATCGTAAAAAAAGCGATTGTAAACGGTTTTTTTTTTTAAAAAGCGCCGAAAAAGCGCTCAATAAGCGATTATCGGCGACGATCATAAAATATCGTTTATGGAAACTTGCCCTACAAAGCTTTTACTACATGACTACTATTGCATATAATATATAATATAATGATGGATTCAAGTGGTCGTGTTGAACTCGGTTACCATGGTAACCATATGATTCATGACCTACGACTTGCCGGATTGCAGTAGGCTTACGTAACATATTTCAACGCTGTTCGTTGTGAGGCTCGAGTTACATATTTGATGGGCCCCTTATTTTCCGTTGGCACATCTTTAATTTTGCCTGGTCCTTTTAAGTTCCTTGAAATACGTTTGTCCGTTAACTTCGTATGCTTTATCATATTTTGTATTTTGTATAATGTACTATGTTGCTGCTACTTCTTTGACCATGGACTATAATTGTTAAGTCAACTAACACGACTTTCCTTGTTCACCGATTGTTGCATTGTTAGATTTAAAGATTTACGTTGATATGCATTATGCACGCTTGTTTTTACATTATATCGGCTTGAGAATTTATCTTTTTTATTCATTTAGATTTCGTACATATCAAAAAATTTCATTCTGCTGATTGTATCTGCCACTTGTTTATCAAATCATTATCTCCTTTGTAATATATTTATACATAACATTTTGTCCCGTATCTTTTTTCGCTATAATTCCGATTTACGTCGCACAGATTCGTTGTGTTATGTCTGCGTCGCTGCGGTAGTTTAAAAAAAACGCAATCACAACGTTATAAATACCCAAGACCATGGGTAAACAGAAAGTAAAGCCGTTCCAATCAGCAGTGAGTTTCCCCCGTTTTTTTCCCGATAATTTTTGAACCATAGATCTGTTTTATTTTTACACCTAAAAACCTGAGACTAGAATAAAAACGTTTTTTAAGAATTGGGTATACAGTATAAAGTATACTCCATATAGTATGGAGCTTAGATATATCTTATAACTGAACCCAGTCTTACTCAATAATATAGACGAAAATGTGATGTTATATTCGAACTATTGATGTAAGTAGGTGACTCTGTAAGATCCATGAGATAGAAGAAGGAAATTATAAGGGTATTACTAGGGTAAGATAAGATCACACGACTTATCATTATCTGCTCTGCAGATTTGATGTGTAAAATAGCCTATTGATTCATAAACACATAATAGTTCTTTTACAATAAAATATAGTTTCATTATAGTGAGCAATTGTAATGCCTTTGAGTCGTGGGCAAGATATGCCCATTTAAAATTTTAAAACACTTCAGTTAACTTGATATCGTGTAGAACTGTACAATGTTGATGTTTTATCTCAACAATCTAAACAATTAAAAACGAAAAATTAGAAACTTTTGACTGATCAGTCATTATTTCAGGAGGAAGATAAAAAAGATGTGGGTCCGTTAAAAGATAGAGGCTGCACCGATATAATATGCATACTTATATTCATAGTGTTCCTTGGTGGAATGGTAAGTGATGACCTTCAGAATTTTTTCATAACATTTGCTGTGCGATTTACATAACATTTTAGGTTTTAAAATTAAAAGACCTAATCATCTGTTCGGAAAATAAGAGAAGCATCTTTTGCAATAAATTACGAATCTCACAGGGGGTGATTGCTTATTTTGCGTTCACGATTGGGGATCCCTGGAGAATACTTAACGGATATGACAGCTTCGGTAACACGTGTGGAGTTAAAAATGTCAAACCAGATGGTGTCACTGCTAAACACTCTGGACTGGATATGACCGAAAAACCGTGAGTTCTATAAGCTCATCATATGTATCTCAAAATCTGATAACAAAATCGTTTAGTAGGATTTTCAAAATGAAACAATTTGTTTATCGAAAGTTATAGTGTTAGTCAAATTCCTTTTGGCTCGAGGAGGTGTTCTAGCAAAATTGTAGGCGAAATTGTAAGAATGTTGTGAAAATTTCGCCGAAGGTTTATTCTCAGAATTGTAAAGATGTCGCCCATTCAAATACATACATTAACGTATCAGTTAGTAGGTCAGTGACTAAGTTGGTCACTCCCTTGTATTTAAACATGCACAAGGTCTGGGTCGAATTCGGTCTCAAGCACTATTTTTCATCCGAACTGTAATATTGTACCTTAATTCCCAAAAATTTGGGCGACAAAAAATTTGAGCGGGCCTCTCGCCCAAATTTTTTGCAGACCAAATTAATTGCATAAATCTTTTCCGTCCGCTAAATTTTTTGCTAACCAAACTTTTGGCATTTGGCCTGTGGCCCTGAAATCTATAGAAAGATGGCTTTTTCTTCATATCCAAGTGAAATAATATTTGAAATTTTAGTTTTCTAATTCTGCTTAAAATTGAAAGCAAAATGACTGGAACAATAAGGAATAATAATGAACTAAAGCAAATATCTAACTGAAATTTTAGTGGAAAATCGTTAATTTTTCGAAGAATTTGTGCCCAAATTTTCGGTCGCCCAAATGAGTTCAAATTTTCTGCCCAAATTTTTCGGGCTCAAATAAATTGTGCTCAATATAATGGCACACAAATTTTTGGGAACTAAGGTATTGCAGAAATCTAATTACTTATTACTCATATTTGATCCATCATGTCGGTAAATTGCTTGCCTGGGCCCTGGACTATGAAAGTTTATCTGTTCAGTAATTGATTGCCGAAACATTTTATTGGCACCAAAATCTCATCAGACTGCGGGTAAGAGGTGTTCTGGCGAAATTGTAACATTTGCCCACGGACCTAACTTTTGCGCCAATTGTATCTGAACTGGGGCGACATGACATTCGCTTACAATTCTGAGAAGAGTTTTAAATCATAACTGTAACGCGCCTTAGTATTTTGGGTGGGCGCGCGTTACGCGACGATCGAGCAGCGCGCGCAGCGCAGCTAGCTAGCTAGCTGCGCTAGCTTAGCTAGCTGAGCTAAGCTATAATATATAATCTCTTCATCTTTCGCTTCTCTTGATCAGCAAAGTTCTGCTCATTTCCACAAGTCAGCTCCATTAGATAAACCTTCTTTGCTTTATCTGAATAGATCACTACATCAGGTCTTAGTGGTGTAGCTGCAATGTGCTGCGGGAAGTTCCTCTGTCTCTCGTAGATGGTGACTGAAAGTTCGACACTTCTTGTAGATCAGGTAGTTTAGGTGGAATTCATCCCATGTGGGTGGCGCTGTACTGCAGATCCAATTAGGTTTGTCAAGGTCTTCCAGTCCTGTGGGGTTTACATAGTCACGCTCACGGTCATCAATCATCATCTTTGTACTCCTTTTCAAAGAACTTGGATGCTTCTTCAATCTTCACTGTCAAACTCAGGCTCTTTATCTTTAGTCTCTTCCTTCGTGAGCAGTTTCTTACCATACTCATAAGGGTTTCTTCTAAAGAGTTTGGAGCTATTCTCTTTCGTCTTTTTCCTTTCTTTCTTCTGGGCGGTCTTCCTTGCTTTGTTATGAAGTCGTACTAGTTTCAGGTAAGAAATCTTCTATCTTTCAACCTATTCATCATCATTCGAGTCACATACTCTCTTCCATTCCTTTCTACTCTCTTTCTTCATTTCCCTCAACTGTCTGCACTCAGCATCAAGTCTCGGTTTTTTCTTCGATGGTATAATGTTTGTTGAACCAACTTCGCATATCAACTCGAAGTAGTCATAGGTGGTGTTCTTAAGCAACTCCAACCCCTTAATAGGGTCGCTGTGTGTAGAGAACTGGAGACTAATTAGACCGAGGTCTTGATCAATCTTGTCCCACCTATTATCATTGGCCTTAGGTAGTTTTAACCGAGTTTTAATAACTACCGGTTCTGGTGGATCTGCGTGAGATCTAAAGTTTGCAGACGTAGACGTCCTCCATTTTGCACTGTGTAGAAACGTCACCCTCAGTTAGAAGTCAGGTAGGCGCAGAGTGAAGGGGAAGTCGTGTCACTCTACTGGTATAACCATCAAACCATACAACTTCCCTTTGACGAGTGAACGCCATATCTCCAAGGAGATTCCAATCCGTTAATCAATGTGAGGATAATCATAGGTTAAAGGAAGCGCGCGTACCTCGGGACCTAGTACATAATATTCACCTAGCGTCAGGTCAAAATAAACAGACAATCTAAAATAAAGATTACTATCGAAAGAGTACTTGTATTTTTCAGCATACGATTCTTAAAACATACTTAATTGATATGTTTTCCAATTCGTCAGGTATTTGATGTATTTTGATCCCCGTGTTATGCTGCCGGACTCTGTTACAGCTGTAATTGGTTCTGACAAGACTGCTTTCTTAGAAACTACTATGATGCTGTGTGTAAAGAAGTGTCCGGTAGGCACTGTTTTGCCTATAGAAACAAATGGGGCCTACAAGATGTGTGAGTGCATTTATTTTGAAGTTATAAGCAGTTCTATTGTTTATGACTCGTATAATGAGCGTGCACGTCCGATTCGGTTTTAGAGTCTTGACGTTTGAGTAGAATGGTCACATTTGATATCCTTCTATTATATTAACACAGTTGCAGTTATAAGTTCTTAATTTTAGGGGAATATTATAATTTACAAAAGAACGGAGAGGATTATTGTGAGTATGGTTTCTGGGACAGTACCGATAAGGAAATTACCGATTTAAAAACAGCATTGGAAGGATATGCTAACAGTGCATTAGCAGAGGCTCACACTAACGCTCCAGGAGAAACAGACAATGATTTTATTACCAGTAATGGTGCATCTGGACCCTGCCCAGAATTCATCATAGAATCGTGAGTATTTGAACGTTAAGTTATTATATGATAATTATATGTAAATAAGTTGTAAATCGTAAAACCATTAATTTTTATGAGGAATGAACTACAAAAATTCGCCAGGGTTAAGGGTATACTGGTGGGGGGGGGGGGGTTCACTACACCATACACAAAAAAGGCAAAAGTGTAGTGTAAAAAAAGGGTACAGTGAACCCCCCCCCCCCCCCCCCCCCCCCATACTATTTTTTATAGTAAGTACAATTATATAATAATTGGTTGTATCATAGTTGTTGAAATAAAATTGGGCCTAATTCATTTCTGGAACAGGACAGCAATCATGAACAGATGTGTCCCTGGGTTTGAAAAACTAAAAGCTCTTGCCGGTGACGGAACTGAGGAGTTTGTTCAAACACTGGAAGAAAAAATGAATGCATTGTTAGGGACTGACCTATCAGCATCAGAAATAATGCAGTACGCAATGGCTGACGTCATGAACTCGTACAGGGAAATCGCAGTCATGTGTGCTTCATCCCTTATCATCTCTTTTATCATCATCCTGCTTCTCGGCTGGATTGCCCAAATAATGATATATGCCATAGCCATACTTGCGGCCGTGGCCTGCATCGCTGGACCCGCCTACTTCTGGTACGTTTGGTATCAGGCTAAAGAAGCACTCGATGCTGCAGAAATCACGTTGCAGACTCAAGTGGACAATGTGGAAACGCTCATGATTTATGCAATTATCATCACAGTAAGTACATAACTTATGAAAATGTTTCAATTTTGAGCCTCCATGAAGTAGAGCTTCTCAGTCGACCTTAGATTCTACGAAGAGGCCCAAACTTCATTTTTTAAATGTGAAGAGAAGACAGTTTAACTTAACAAAGGAGTTTCATCTGCTTCACTCAGTAAAGGGTGTAGCAGTGTTACTGACAGTGTTACTGACAGTGTTACTAACACTTCCTCATACAGGTTGTATGTGTGGTTGTGTTGCTGCTCATTATATTCCTGAGATCACGTATTGGGCTGATGGTGACACTGTTCAAGGAAGCCGGTTTCATGGTCATGAGAATGATAACAATCCTCTTCACTCCAATAATTGTAAGTGATGGCGGTTACTTTACTCACCTACATCCACTGACTCACCACATGTTTACATCAATACACCACGGACGAAAAAATTACAAATTTGATGATAACTTTAATACAGGAAAACCCTGATTCACTGTTCCCTGATTTAGTGATTTACCGCAACCCACGATTCACCGCGGCAATTTCTTTCCTCCCAATTGGGCTTAACAGTTAACATGCATAATGTAAACAAAAACTCCGATTCAACGCGGATGTTTCCTTTCCCAAACTCCGCGGTAAATCGGAGTTTAACTGTATTTAATTATTATCACGGTCACAGTAAATCCTAACACAAATGCTCACCAGTTGGCACTGTTTATCCTAGCTTGGGCAGCCTTGTGGTCCTTTGTGTCAGGATACATCTACACTGCAGGAACTGCGCAGGATCTCAACTTCACCAGGGAGTATTCATCAGCGGATTCTCCCTTTGCCAATGAAAACATCACCATGGTCATCTACAAAGACCACGTTAGTTCTATGTACCAGCTTCCCATAAAGTTGTCCTAGTCATTTATAAGTGTTTCTTATTCCATTGTGAACATGGACTTATTCCATTGTAAACATGGAGTCAGCAATATCATGTTTATAATTCCTATAGTAAACTTTACTTTTTAGAGTTTTGGTTATATGTTATCAAACCTTGTGCTCATTTGTCTGTTCACAGGACTACATAATGTGGGTGTGGCTGTACCACTTGTTCGGATTATACTGGGGAACTGAATTCTTCTTGGCGTGTCACGAAATGGCCATTGCCGGTGCTTTCTGTCAGTTCTACTGGACCCGGGACAAGAGGAAGGTTAGCTTCCCTGTGTTGCGTGGTATTTGGTGGGTATTCCGGTATCATCTGGGGACTGTTGCTTTTGGTTCCTGCATCATCGCTATTATCCAACTCATCAGGACCATCCTGGCTTACATCCAAAACAAGTGAGTAGATTAGAGTAGAGTAGAGTTGAGTAGAGTAGAGTAGAGTAGAGTAGAGTAGAGTAGAGTAGAGTAGAGTAGAGTTGTGATGTTTTTCAGCTATACTTTTCTGTTTTACCTTTTGCTGTGATTATGACTATTGTACTAGCATAGTTGGGCAAATATAATTTATATTGCACAAGATTACCATTTTCTTTATCCAGAACGAAAGACAGTCAAAGTGAGATTGTAAAGTACCTGCTCATGTGTCTGCAGTGCTGTCTCTGGTGCTTCGAGAAGGTCATGAAATTCATCAACAGAAACGCTTATATCTATACAGGTGAAGAAATCCTTTCTGTTTAAACACTATTTTTAATTTTGTAAGGTACAGTTACATAGCTGATCGTGTTTTCGGTTTTGTTCTAGTTTGTTGTTACAACTATCTCACCCCTTTAGTTCTGACTCTCATACCCACCAGCGTTCAAGTAGTTGTTACAACTATCTCGCCCCTTTAGTTCTGACTTTCATACCCACCAGCGTTCAAGGGCTCCAACTTCTGCTCATCGTGTAAGAAGGTGTTTGGACTACTCCTGTCCAACTTGGTGAGGGTCGGTGTCATCAACTGTGTCGGCTCCTTCATCCTCTTCATCGGCAAGTTCCTTGTCGTCATCGTTACTGGCATGCTCGGTTACTTCATGATGAACGTGAGTGGAATAACTGGCTAAAAGATCAAAACTAATTTGAAACCGTTGTACATTTCTTTGTAGTTGTACACTGTACAGGGTCTCACATTCTGTGAGTATTGAAATTTCTGAATGGCGATGTAACTCAATAATGTATTTCCCCCGTTACCAACACATCTTGTTTCAGAATGACGATGACATTTACTACTGGGCTATACCTGTCCTAATAGCAGCTATCTTTGCGTTTGCTGTTGCCCACACCTTCTTCTCAGTGTACGAGATTGGTAGGTGACCCCCCCCCCCCCCCCCCCCCCCCCCCCCACACACCCCTACTTGAAATTATTATCCGAATTGTTGAAATTGTTATTTTATTGGAAATATTACAAATCAGCCAATTGTAATTGAGAATTTCTGGGTTGTGGCCATTATTCTTAAAGACCTAGAAATGCCTCCTAAGGTCACAGCTCGTATTATTTGCCCATTTTTCTCCTTCTGCACTTGGGGCCCAATGTAATTGCTCGACTTTTCATCAGGTCTCTCGAGGCCTTTTGTTTGGTTATTTGGGTGTATTGGTGTCCCCTGATTGTTATCATCGCTGAACACTTGTCAAGGCATTTCTTGGTTTCTCTAGTCCATTTTTAGAAATTCTATACAACATTGATATTGTAATAAATTCTGATGATAATAATTGAAAGATTTCAATAAAAAAAATCAGGTTTATTTGTGTGGGAATTGTTCCAGACTTTTTGTTGATTAATAGAAAACATGATTCATGAACATGGTACGAGAAATGATTTCAGTGTTACTACTCATATTCTCATATGTAGATCTCCTAGGACCCTAACTCCTCAGTGTCAGCTCTTTTAGCTCCTCTGAATTATGCAATATTTGCAGGTATTGATACCATCTTCATATGCTTTGCTGAAGACGAGACTATCAACGACGGTACACCAGGCAGAGAATACTACATGAGCAAGAACCTCATGGTAAGATATTAAAACATTTACCTTACGTTTATAAAAACACACCATGCGCAAGAAGTATGCAAATTTGCATGTTGTTTATATAAGACTGTATTTATTATTTACTTTGTGCAGCTCATGCATAATCCCAGACTACTGACTAGTCCTGTAACATGCTTTAAAACAATGTTGCGAATTAATGATTATTAACAGATTTTTTTAATTTGCAGCAATGGGTTGACAACAGTAGTGAGGCTCTTAAAAACATGAGGAGAAAGAAGGGACAACAAAAGGCTCAGGCTAAGGCAGGGAAATCTGGAGAAGTGGTGAGTTTTATAATGTAGGATTTATTAGTTTTATATGCTCAGTCTGCACTCTGCACACAGCCTAAATCAGATTTTAACGACACAAAATTTGTCAAGAAAAGTTTATCAACAAAATGATAACGATAATAGATTTCCTTTTTCCGTGTAATGTGTCAGCAGCTTCGCTTAAAAAATTTGCCATGTTGCTATTATATAGCTGTAATACTTTCCATAACTTAATGTTGTGTCAAATCCCAGATTTAACCATGTAATAAATAAATGTAATTTAAATGTTAAATATGAATGTTAAATATTAGAACGAGTATTGTCAGCAAAGCTAGCATGAATGTTTGTCGCTGTAATATTATTATGTTATTAATTATTCTATCAACCGTGCTGACGGTTCTGTTTGATGGCTCCTTATCTGTTCTCTGTGCTGTTCGTTCTAGTTAGCTTTTTCCATTTTAATTATTTTGATCTCATTTAATGTGCTTAAATTTGTAGGGACAAACGGAACAAATGTATCCTTCATTGGTAAGATATTTTCATGTACCTACGATTTACTGTGATCTTTCTTTGACGTGATCCTTTTTCTTAAATTAAGAGATTTCAAGTTCATTCATTTTTTCATTCATTTAAACACGAATCATAATATTACGTACTGTAACAATAACAACACAAGAATATCAATACAAATGGTCAGATCGATATCCTGGGTACAAAACCCACTTACATAGGGAGTTGTCTGTTCACAGATCGCCCTCTAAACTTACAAGGAAATATTTCCTGTAGATCCTTGGTATATAAGCAACATTTGACAGAGCATAGTGTGGAGTGAGCTATGTGCCCATCCTTGGAGAACCCGGTGGAAGTCCTTGCTGTACGGCAGTGTTAAACAAGGAACTGAAACCGAGCGGTTCCGTTCAGGCCCTTCACACTTTGTTTCTGTCTAGTTCTGATGTACCGTCAAAATAGTGACTTTAATATATTGAACATTCCTTGCCCGCCCACACCTCTACACTAATAATAATAATAAATTGAAATTTAATAACACCGCTATTAAGATAAAACTTATACTCAGCAGTGTTTAAACTAGTCATCCCAGAAAATAACATGAATAGAAAGTTAAGAAAAGAAACTTATGCTTGAAAATATATCGTCAATATACTAAAGCCGGAAAATGGTACTTAAACATATAATTATGCAAAGATCAAACACCAGATAAGACAAAAATAGTTATCTATAAAGTTTTTCAAGTTCATCTAGGGACGGTTTAAAAAGGTACGTTTTAAGAAGAGCTTTAAACGATTCCTCATTCCAGGGATTGAGCTAGCAGTTGTCAGCTATCCACCATTCCACATCATTCCACCAAACAGCTCATCATGTCATGAACAATAAAGAGCAGGAGACCATTGCTTGTTATAATTATCGATTTTCTGCTATGGTTCCCAAATTTTGCTGATCTTAAAAATGCATTTTTGCTGTAAAAATTTGAGAATCTTTCATGCATGCCGACTCTTTGCCATTACACATATCCCCACTGACTGCTGATTCGATTATTGGTTAATAAATTACTATCAACTCAAAAAACGCACATTATTGGCACTTTTTTGAAGCCCAGAAAATTTCAGGAAATGAGTGAAAAATAGGAAATCCGCAGTGCAGTAGCAGAAGTAAGTTGTGGGACACGATTTTTTAGTTTAAAACTGTGCGTAAAAAATTGTTTTACAGAAAAGATATAACCAGTAATCCGGCTAGCGTGTTGTTTGAGACCAGTCAAAGAAGTCCCAGGCCGATATTAAGATCAATCAACTGTTCTTTCACTGTACTCTCAGACAGAGGCTAAATGTTTTTCTGTGTTACAACTGTATAGGCAGCTTTGCAGTCTTCTCGTCTTAGGTCCCCATTCGCATCAGAGACTATTCTAAAGAGGCCTCATCCTAAATTTCACCACTCTACTGCACAAAGGCTTTACTGAATGTGGTCCCTTGTGTCACAGAAAAGCCTCGCCTGTTATTAGAGAATTAGGGCACTGAAGGAGATCCATGTGGCCGTGTTTATCCTCCTCTATACTATTTATCATTATGTAACCTCTTAACTTCCATGTTGTATAATGTTGCGTAAACATGTGTAAAGATGTGCTGAACGTGTCTCGGTGGAATGCGGCCTACATAATATGTACATATTTTGTAACTCAGGGTTAACATATTATTGAACTTGTTTCTCGACTAACACCGATTCTTGTTTCAGGCAATGGAGGACATGTAATGAGAGATGCTGTACTGGTCGATTTAAGTTGAAATTATTTGTGATTCAGAACTTTCAGAAGTTGGCATGCATTGTTCGACTGGCTTTTATTTTCAAGACTTGTTTTGATAATTGTTAAACTCAGCTTTTGTGATATCTAAATAATATATAATGATCATATAAGATTATGTTCAATGTTAGCGTTGAGCTACTTTTTACCCTCCTAGAAATTTGAGGATCGAATCCTTTGATAATTACGGTATATGAATTTAAACAGATCTCCAATCTTTCGTAAATTATATATATTGTCTGATTCGGAAACTCGGAATAAGTAAGCTGAATTGTGTCAACTTAAAAGGCTCTGTTGCGTAAATCTTTTCAAGAATCCAATAAAAGATAATGTTACTTTTTTATTAAGACTATTAAATAAAATTAGCGATTTTTTTGCAACTAAAGGAGTGCCATTTCCAATTTCCATTTTTAATTTCAACAAAATAATTGTTATGCTCTTTAAGTTTATCACCCATGTCGAAATAACACGATTTTATATTGCTGTGATTAGAAAACTCTGTCAAATTGTGCCTGGTAGAATTCAACTGGTCGATAATTGTAACTGGAATCTTTTAATCACTCCTATAAACTATTTTACGGATGTTATAATTTTCAATTATAACTTATATATCAAACATGAAGATTGAAGCTAGATGATTTATGAACGATAAAAACTGATTCAGTTTCTACCAAATTTTTGACCAGTCGTTTTCTTCTGATCAGTGCACATCTGATATTGCTAGTTAAACTAAATAAAGAGATTTTATGCAAGTGAAGAAGTACCATCTTTAATGTCAACAAAACAATAATTTTCAAAAAAACTTTACTTAAAAGGACTCAATTTTTATTTGCTGTTTGAATGTTATTCTTCTTTTCTCTGTCTATGGCGAAGCAAATAAATGACTTAGATTTAGTTTACCCTTTTGTAGTTGATTTACTCCAATTATGTAGTTCAGAAGTTCGATAAAAATGTCTGTTTCATTTCTTCTACTTCATTGTTATTGATATCGCAACGATTGTATCGTAAAGCTGCCAGGTAGCAACAAAATGCTCAAGTGGCGCAGATCTACTGAAAAATCTGTCAAAAGCTACCCAAGACACCAGCATGCTCCTGGAGAAATCTGAAATAGGTCTGAAAGGGCTCACACAAACCCTCAAAGATACTATGTCTGTAAAGAAAGATCTGGAAGTTTGGAGTCAGAGTGTCTTCAAAAGGGAAGAGAATGAAAAAATCAATGAAATCCATGAAATCATCTCTGCCTCAAATTTCAGAAACAACCAGGCAGACCCAGCTCCAAATGTTAGCCAAAGCTATGTGAGACATATCCCCAGGTCACCAGCTGACACACGGACTAACAGTGACATCCCCGGGCTGTCACCTAATCAGGGACGGTCTTCCTACAGGAGAGAAGACTTAGAACCCAGACAAAAAGGCAAGATAATCACAAAAGAAAGTGCAACAACTCCTCGCAGCACAGGGAGATCCAAAAGAGCGAGCAACCCAGTACAGCGCCAACAGAAAATTGTTCTCCTCTGTGACTCGACCATGCGAAGCTTTAAACCTGACGAGTTTCCAAAAAGGTACAATGTCTCTGTAATATACAGGCCAAGTTTGAAAGAACTTGACTCGTGCCTCGAACGAACAGTAGAAGAGATCTCAAACCTCAATCCAGATGCAGTGTACATTCACCTTGGTACTCGGGACATCCTGGAAGGCAACAAGGCTGATATTGTGGTGGGATCATTAATCAAGTCTACTAAAAAGATCCTTAGACAGACCTCACAACACTGCCAAATATTCATCTCTCACCCCTTTCTGCGCGACCATCCTGGAGAGGAATGGGGTAAAAATAGTCGACTCATCACAGAGGCAATCAGAAATCTTAAAGATGACAGTGAAAAGGCTGATTTCTGGATGAGATCAAGAGAAAACAGAAACAACAACTTCTACCCGGGGGGATCGGATATCCCACACGACTATTTGTTTGTCCCAGATCAACCTCATCTAAATGACAGAGGTATCAGAGTAATCATGGGAAACTTCAAGACAAGTCTCAATAGTACATTTAGCAGGGACCGTACTTGAATTCTAGTCTCTCATTCTCAGCTCCTCCAAGTCTTCCGAGTTCTCTTCTTCTTTCCTCCTCTCCTCTTGCCTCTCTCATCTTCTATACCTGACTGATGAACATCGTCAACGGTATAATTTCCTGGAATGTTGCAAACATTCATGGCTTGCTCGGAAACAAAGTTGAGGATCCCGAATTTGTCAAAATCATCAGTCCAAATGATATAATCTGCCTCCAAGAAACCGGATGCGAAGTTTCCCTGAAAGGATACAAATCCTATAGTGACATCCGCAAATCAGGTAAAGGAGGAGGAGTAACCACTTTGGTTAGGAACACAATTGTGGAATATTGCTCTCTGGATAAATGCACACTCACTGCGGACCATACAATGAATATTGTCATTGTTAAAATCACTGATCCCGACAGCAATCTCAACACCTTTGTTGTCAATAGCTACATCCCACCTACAAATAGCAAACAGAAAAACCGCACTAACTGCTCCGAGGCAAACTTTGATGCCCTTCAGGAAAAAATAGCCAGCATCAAGAATAACCCCAGTGATGAGCTATTACTTCTTGGTGACCTTAATGCCAGGATAGGAGTAGCTCCAGATTTTCATATGTATGACAGAGCGGACGAATTCGAGCTCTTTCCAGAAACTGGCAGGTCTTCCGACTTCATGGTTATACCTGACGTGGCACCTATATCTCAAAATAGGAACAGCCAGGACAAAATTACCAATAGACACAAAAACCTTTTGCTTGACCTCTGTGGATCACAAAACCTCCTGATCCTTAATGGACGTACCATCGGTGACTCTGCTGGAAAATACACATGCTACAAGTGGAACGGAAACAGCGTAGTGGACTACTTCATTGCATCAACATCCTTTCTTCACCGTGTCAAGAGCCTCTCAGTGGGTGCGCACACTCTGTTCTCCGATCACAATCCAATCTTACTCAGCCTTTGGCATAGACGAAGGGCCCCTCAAAGGAATAGTCAAGCTCCCACCAGTATCTACGAGGAAGCTCCCTTTCGATACAAGATCACAGAAGAGGGTTTAGCCAACTTCACAAAATCATTTGAACAGCCTGAGTTCATTCAAAGAATCTCCCAACTGACCAAAGATGTCGAATCCACTCCAAAAACCCATGAGGCAGTTGAAGCACTGAATAGGCAGATTACAGAACTCATAAACGATGTCGCTAAAAAAGAGTTCGATATCTCTAAACAAACTAAGAATCCAAAGCCTAAGTTCGCCTCATGGTTTGACGGCAAGTGTCACACTGCACGACGCCTTTTCAAACGGTCAATAAAAATTGTCGACAATAATCCTGATAACCAGAGAATCAAAACACGGCATCGTGCCAACTCTAAAGGATATCGAAAGATTGTCAATAAGAAAAGGGATGACTTCTTCAATAGTCTTAACAAGAAGATTAAAAACGGTAAAACTATATCCTGGAGAGATTTCAAGAAGCTTAAGAACTACAAGAAGGAAGAAGTCCAAACTGAAACGGAGCAACTCAACTCTTTCCATCAGTTCTACTCTGAGCTATATTCTGACAATCATCCAACCGTAGACACTCTCACTAAAAGAGCTCTCCTCGAAGAAGCCAACGCCCTATCCGAGGGATCTGCCCCTAATGAGTCACTGAACAGCCCATTTACATCGGATGAGCTGAACGCTGCGCTAGGCGAACTCAAATCGGGCAAAGCATCTTCTTTTGACCACATCAGCAACGAAATGCTCCGGGGTCTGAGCATGAATATGAAGTCGCTCCTCCTCAAACTCTTCAATTTGTGCCTGGAGACAGGAGTCTACCTCTGGAGCAAAAGTGTGATCACACCAATTCACAAAAAAGGGTGCATCAGGAACCCTGACAACTATAGAGCAATAGCAGTCTGTAGCTGTATCGGAAAACTGCTCTCTACGATGCTGCTATCTCGGCTCGTTAATCACCGCCAAATCTCACATCCTGATCCACCCAACCAAGCAGGCTTTACCAAAGGAAGTCAATGCAATGACCATATATTTACGCTGATGTCCACCATAGAAAAATACAAGAAAGTCAAAAGTAAAATATATGCAGTGTTCATTGATCTTCGCAAAGCTTTCGATCTAGTCTGCAGACAAGCTCTCATGTTCAAACTAGCATGCTATGGTGTCAATGGTGGCTACTACGACATCATCAAAGACATGTACAGCAAATCAGAGGGTCATATCAAGATGAATGGTAAAATAAGTGAAGCATTCAAGATCCTTAAAGGAACTGAACAAGGACACCCACTTAGCCCTGAGTTTTTCAAAGTTTACTTTAAAAAGCTTTCTGACCTCCTTAACGAAGCTACTGCGAACTGTCCGACACTCGCTGGACTTTCAGTGACTCACCTAGCGTGGGCTGATGATCTAGTAATCCTCGGCCTAGATCCTGAGTCTCTCCAAAAGTTGCTTACGATTATTGGGGACTACTGTAACGAATGGGGTCTGGAAATCAATATCTCCAAAACCAAATTCATGGTCTTCAATGGCAAAGGACCAGACATTCCAAATTGGCGTCCTTCCATTCACGAAAGAGATATCGAGATGGTCTCCAGCTACTGCTATCTTGGGATTATTATAAGCAGCACAGGGAAATTTCGGCAAGCAACTGACTCTCTATACCGTAAAGGACTTGGAGCTTACTTCAGCTTGAGAAGCACTATAGACCGGAGATTCGTTGATGCATCCTGCCTTAACAAATTATTTAACACCCTTGTTAAGCCAATTCTACTTTACGGCTGTCAAGTTTGGGCCCCGGTTCTACCCACCGTCAATAAGGTCCTCTCTAGCTTCAGCAAGTTTCACAATCTTGATCATGCGGTCTCTCACATCGCTAAACAGCAACTTGAGCAAGTGCATCTACGACACCTAAAATACCTTCTTGGTATAAACAGAAGGGCAGTCAATGCTACAGCCTGGGGAGAAACTGGCTCATACCCAATCATTATTGAAATGTTGAAACTGAGTACTAAATATTTCAAAAGAGTTATGAGCCTCCCCTCTACACAACTAGTCAAAGCTGCAATGACTGAGCAGATTAACCTCAAATTGTCATGGTTTGTAGGCATCGAATCAATCATCAAATCATTCAACAACATCGACCTTCTTGAAAGGAATTCATCGTCGCTGTTGAACGCAACCTCACTCGCAGACTCCTGCAGCCCTGATTTAATCACAGAGAACCTGAAAAAACAGTTCCGCGATTCCTGGGGTTCTCTTGTGAAAGATTCTAGAAAGCTATCATTCTACAGTGAAGTCAAAACAGAATTTGCATGGGAGCCATATCTAACCTATGCTAGGTCTTTTCAGGACAGAAGGGCAACCACACAGATTCGGTCCAGTTCGCATCACCTTAGAATTGAAAGGGGGAGATATGACCAAACTCCAATTGATGAAAGGACCTGCAACTATTGCGAGCTTAACAACAACCAGCTATTCATCGAGGACGAGAATCATATGCTCCATTTTTGCCCCCTAGGGAAGGGTCCTAGGGACAAATTTCAAAATATCAGTGGAAACCTACTCAACAATGTTGGTAATGGTAGCTTCAATCTTGCCTCCACGTTCATGTCGCAGTCTGATTGCAAGGATACTCCCAGTGATGAGGACGTAAGTTTGATCAAACTCTCAACCAGCACCATTAACAAGATCTACAGACTAACCCTCAACTTCAAAGACAGTCTGAAAGCAGATAATTAGTTTCCTTTCTCAGTTTTCTTTTTTTGTTTTCTTTTTTCTTTTTTCTTTTTTCCTCTCCTCCCTTTTTTCCTCCCAGCTTTGAATCTGTGATGGATGTGATGGAAGGCTTGCGTTCACTTTTATCCCTACATGGGCTCCCGGCCGTGCGTCCATGTAGGAGCTGTGGGGCCTTCCGAGTGATAGGGTTACAGTGACTGCTAGTAGAGAAAATATGAAGGTTCCACCAGTAGACATTAGTATCGAAAGCAGGGCATTGGCTCGACCTCCGAGGCGGGGTATCCGCGAGGACCCTGGTCGTAATCAGCTCTGCACTGTTTCAGTGTATCCTGATGCCTGAAATCTCGGACACTGCCTACGTACGGGGTAGACAGCCACGGATGATTTTGTCTGTGAGCTTTTCATCACTTCCTGACATGAGCCAGACCTCAGCTGGATCCTTCCTTTTCCTTTTCCTTCACTTCCCGTTCAGTCTACCTCTTCATCATCAGTTTGAGTTGCTTCGCCTTGCATTCGAACTTAGCCTCCACAGTTCACCACGGCACCTCTTTTGGATGCCTCCTGCCGGGCAACACTAGCTCTCAGACACTGGCTAACTTACCGCGCACGGTTTAGTTTCTGTGTCTCTTCTGTGGCCGTGTATTCCGTTTTATGCCACCCTCTCTGCCGTTCTCGCGCTTGCGCTCACCCACTCCTCAGTGGGCTGTTCATTTGACAGAGTTACTGGCTGGCACTCCCATCATCTTCTCACTCACCATCACTGCCCAATCAAATTTATGCAATCAAAATCACTATACGCCCATAATCATATGATCAAAACACAAAGCTTTGAAATATACTTTTTTCTGTTTGAGATTTGAATAACGTTACTGTAAATCATTCCAAATTATATTTTAAATGTTCAAAAATGTTAAAATTTTAGGGTGGCAAACCCCTGGAAAATAATAATGTCACCCCCACTATAAGTATAACACAAATGTAGAGATCGTCACGTAGTTAACATTATTTCTCCTCAAAAGGTTGGAATAGGCCAGTGTGTGTTGCAGTTTGTAGTAGCCTATATAGTACATAATACGCTAAAAGTTGAAAGTACTATCTTTTATCTTGCTATGCATTTCAATTTCCATGTTATCGGGTTTCTTTGAGCACAATCTGTTCCACCTCAAGGCACATTGCCAACCATAAAGGATGTTCAATATTTACGTCAACCAAAAAAGTGACTGACGTGCAATATGCATGTGGTAGTACAGTATATTAGTGCGACGCCGTGGTCATCAGAGAGAGAGAGAGAGAGAGAGAGAGAGAGAGAGAGAGAGAGAGAGAGAGAGAGAGAGAGAGAGAGAGAGAGAGAGAGAGAGAGAGAGAGAGAGAGAGAGAGAGAGAGAGAGAGAGAGAGAGAGAGAGAGAGAGAGAGAGAGAGAGAGAGAGAGAGAGAGAGAGAGAGAGAGAGAGAGAGAGAGAGAGAGAGAGAGAGAGAGAGAGAGAGAGAGAGAGAGAGAGAGAGAGAAAAGCGTGCTGTACTGCGCGCGCGTACGTTACTCGACGTGCGCGCTAACTGTAGTAGATGCTGATTAATAGGAAAATAATTTTGGCGTCTGACAATAACTACTTGGCCGTTTCGCTCCCATAAAATCGCCCTAGGGTATGACAGCAACTTCATACGATGTATTTTAGAACGCTGATTCCGAATAACCCCCATGAAGTTGAATAAAAATACTTCCCTAAGCGAAAGGGTTATGTAAATGATGCTATTTTTCGAGAAATTTAAGGGGGGTCTCTTTGAAATTTCTCTCTAAATTGATTTTATAGTTATTTCTGATAGAGGGGAGTGATAACTATCAGTCGCTTTTGGTTCCATGGAAAAAAATTGTTCCTAGCCGAAATTATCGCCGGTCAAAGGTCAGCGCTCATGTGTAGTTGTATTGTATCACTCCCCTCAATCAGAAACAACTATAAAATCAATTTCGAGAGAAATTTCATAAAGACCCCCCTGCCCCCTTAATTCGTCCCTTCTTTCTGGGACTAGGAATGATTTTCTTCATGAGGGAGCCAAAATCTTAGAGTTTTTCAAATTTAGCATGCGCTTTGGCCACAGCCCGAATTTCAAAAACAGCAAAACGTTCAGTGTCAACCATGCCTTTAAAAAGTTTTAAGTTTATGGCAGGATGGCCTAAGTGAAGGCTGTATCTTGTCCAAATTCTTTTGGCAGATGGATACGAATGGCGAGATTTTTTTAATGATTTTGCACGTGCAAAAGGCATAGCTGAGTAATTTGGCAATAGAGATCATTTTCAAACACAGTTTCAAGAACGATTCAAATGATACGATTATTAAGGCCTGCAAGCAGCTTTTGCGAAATAAGTGTAGTTCGAAAAAGGGATGCGACAAAAATTTCAGGAAATTTGATTCCAGAACTGAAATCTAGCGATGTGAAATGATAAATCCAGCATTTTCTCTAAGTAAAAATGACATATTTCAAGACCAATTTTAATTAAGTAAACTTATCAATAAATTCTCACACTTGAATATGCAATAGTATTTTTATCCACCTAAAAATAAAATTGGGATTAAATTCGCTGATAAACTAATCGCACGACTTTACTCACTTTTTAATGCTTATATCAAATATAGAAGTATTGAAAGTATTACAAGTTACATCACTTAATATGCGACTGCAAGACTTTACGTCGCTTAGTTAAGTCAATTAGTTACCTGCCAAAGCAATCAATTAACTTACATCATCTTAGCAGAATGTCAACCCTACAACTTTATTTTAGGAGGAAACTTTTTCTATGACTAGACAATTAACAGGTTACCCAAAGAAGTCTCCAGTGTTCGCTGGAGAAACCCTACAACAGTATTAAATATAGGTATCAAGTATTCTAGTCATCTCGAAGAATTTCATGGTCATAACTTAATATCATTGTGGATTTTAGTGAGGAATTTTAGCAACTTAGAGCACAGTTAATATTTTGATATATGTTTTTTAATCAGCTTCACACATTCAAGACAGTATTACATTTACAACCGTGTGACCTCTTGTGAAATGAAATGTTCGATACAGAGACATTCATCGATTTTCGTCTCGTAAACGTTTTCTCAATGATTCAACACTGTGTGCTTGTTAACTCTGACATTCTCAAAAAGCTGCGATGTCAATATCAATGAGGCAATACTTCTCTTACAATATAACAAGCTGACATTATCCGATGCACGTTATCTTTGATATTGTTTGAAAATCATGACGGCCCTAATAGCTTATCATAGTAAACTTTATCATAACAGCAAGCTGTGATGCTAAAGGTGGGGTTATATTGAGTTATACACACGACACAACTCAATCAACAATAATTCTCCACAATCCTCCAAACTCCCTAGTCCCTAACCTTGAGACACAAAGGTGGGGTTATATTGAGTTATACACACGACACAACTCAATCAACAATAATTCTCCACAATCCTCCAAACTCCCTAATATAACCTCCCTATATAACTCCCTAACCTTGAGATACACTAATTAAACAATTTAACACCAAAGATTCACTAACTCCTTATCAGCATAGTACTTGCCCTGAACTTATTAATCATTCTAGTAGCGTTCAGTTGGACATCATTATGAGTAGGGGCTAATGTCTAATGTTTCTGATCGTCGACCGCAACACATTACGATTTCAGCCTAATATTAGCCAAATCGACTGATGCATGTGCACGAAACTCTGAGCGTGCTTGGCAAATGCCTCATGCTAATGGTCATCACATGATCACGTGATGGCTGACACGCAAATACAAATTAATACAAGCGTCTAAAGTCAATGCTACATTCAAACATATCTATGTACAAAACTGCAAAGTTAATTCTGATATGAAAATTTCGATAAAAATTGCAGCATGTCAAAATTTTTGACAGCATTAAAATCAAACTAAAACATCTGATTAAAACGCGCAATAAGTAAAATAAGAGCTTTGGATCCCGACAGCCGAACTCATCGATTAAACTTTCATTCTTTCAATTTTATTTCAATTTGAAACTAAATTTTCAATAAATACCCAGGAAAGATCCACCCGGCGGTGTTCTCAAAACCGTTCAGATAATTTCTAAAAATAGAACTCCTTAAGTCTGACACTACCGTACACTCCAGGACCTCCTCGCGGGAACCTGGCAGTAGATCTCTCTGAAGCGGCACTGTTTCGCGTCTGAAGTCCAACGGGCTCAACTTGTGGCGGGCCCCGGCTCTGTTCTCCTCCCGGCTGTTCGACACCATAGCAAACATGAAGCCCGTGTTGTTTCCGGGCCTCTCCGCAACTTGGATCGGTATTCTGCGGATTTCTGTGGCGGGTCAGGGAGAGTGGTCCTGAAACCTGCACTTGACGGGGTGTCAGATAGGGTCGAACCTGCACTGGGGACAACACGGTCACAGGGCTGGTTACCACTGTACAAACATGCGGGTATACATGCATTTAAGAATACTTTACAAACATGCGGGTATAAATTCATAAGAACATTACATTTTTTCTCCTTTATGATACAGACAATGATCAAGATGTAACCATTATAATTGATTACGCATGCACTCCTAGCACAATGTTTATTACCATATTAAATACCCGTAAAACCACAAATTGGCCGGATGACCCGGCAGTCTGATGAATAAATTAGATTCATTAATAATACATAATACATGCCATATTATGTGACACAAATAAGCAAAAGTCACAAAAACAAATAAACGCCACAAATTCGTTACTGAACTCGACAAATTAAATCGTTCTGCCAGAGTTCTGCGATCGCTAAACAACACAGAAACACAGAAGTACAACACACACTGTGACACACACTGTGACACACACTGTGACACATAACATCACTTACTAGGTCCCTACAGCTGAGAGATGTCGCTTAGTGATAGCACACAGTGCTATCATGGTGCAGAATAGTGCAACTATCACAGCAGATAACACCCACAGGCTCCAGCCAAAGAGACAGTTGTTCTTGAAGAGGGGTGTGGCGTTGCAGTACACACTCGCACAACTCTCATCGTGCCACGTGAACATCCACGTGACTGATCCGCTTCCCACCATCACAACTGTGGGAGATGTGTATTGTTGGTAAAACAGCGAGAAATTAAACAGCTGTGTCGTCTTAAGTTCGATAAATAATTTCAGAATAGCAATTTCATACGATTCCAATTCAAATTAAAAATATTATCCGATTTTCGGAAATCATTTCGTCGGATCTTTAAGTCATTAAGAGCAGACGATTTCTTAAAGCCTTAATTTGGAGGGTGTGATGGTAAAGGCACCTACTTGACGTGACCAAATGATAAAATGTAATTCTTTTAGCTCACGGTTTGTGCTGCAAAGATACAGTAAGAATTTTGCCACCTACAACCCTAAAGTTACTGCACTAATAATGGAATAATAAGTAGCGTAGAAACCTGGTTAAATAAATTAACCACGTACAATTTTATTTATTAGGATAAAATAATTCATTACAACTTAAATCGGGTGATTATTTGTTTAAGTAAGGTAACATTATGGTATCATACCTAGTACAATGTGGATTCTCGTGGGGAGGTGCCGAGGTGAGGCACATTTGTTTATTTTAACAGGGAGGTTCTGTTCAGCAGAACCTTCCCCTTAAAAGTAAACAAAATGTACATCACCTCCCCACGAGAATCCACATCTTTAAACAATACACATATTCCTTAAATATGTATTACATAACACTCGATATCTGCTTAAAACAGACTTCTCTTCACAGAATCATGCCATACCTTCTCACGTCTTGCATGTTTAAAGTGTACGTGGTAATATGACCCCAAATTGAAGAACTACCAATTTTAGTAAACGTCATCTCCTTATAAGTCAACTTAAAATCGAATACAAGTAGGTATATACGTACAAGCTAGTGTGATAAAGTGAGTCAGGACCAGGAAAATGTTTTTGCCGCAGATATTATCGTGGCAGCAACTGCAGATGGAGATGATCCAGCTCAAGGTCAGGAAACCTAGGCCAACTCCGTACAGTGATATCGCTATCTGAAACGTTCAGACGGTCAAATTGTCCGGGAATTTTACGGCAATATGATACTTCTATTTACGGACATCGGCAACTTTGGTGTACACGAGTAGAAACTCCATTTGACTAGCCAACTCGTCGGGTAAACGTACACTTGAAACACCAGGTTTCAGTCTGGATACAGGTTATAATTCGGTTTTGAAACGAAATAATTCAGACAATCTAATCACAAATTAAGCCATGATGGAATAAAATGCGAGTATTTGAGAAGACTTACAAGTCCAGCCTGCCCCCCCAACTCCACTTTGTTGTTATACAGTCGACATTTCTCAAACTTCACTGCTAAATCCTCAGCTAAAATAGAACCTGAGTGGTGGCAAGTATTAGAAAATACTTTATTGGTCTGATTGGATGCTAACTTTTGATATGATAGACGATTATCTAAGTTGCATGGCAAAGTCTCGATGATTTGATTTTCTTATAAAACACTCAACACGTACGTCGTACAATAAGAACAGAAAATTCGGTAGTTAAAAGTTGAAATACTTGCCTGTATGGAAAGGATAGCACATTCCTACAAGACCACAAGATCCAACGGCAGTAGAGTTGCTTTTTACCTGAGTTAGCATTTACTTATAAGGTGTTCAAACTTTTGTGCGGCGAGAATAGAAAGATAATTTAGCTTCTTGTTGAAACTCTTTGAGTCCCCAAATTCAGCTATATTTTCGGTAGACTATAAAACGTTTTAAAGATGGCTTGGTTAATTTAATTCTGGTTAAACACAACTAAAATGCCACATTAAACTTTAAAGCGTTTGTTGTAAATTAAGCATATAAAAACCTTGATCGTTTGACCGTCAACATTTTGCCTGTTAACGATGGCCTGTAGTCCAGCAGGAACAATTAGCCACTGACTCTCAATAAGGGTTATTATCTGTCCACAAAGTATCACATATACGACGAAGCAGATGACTGATCCGATTGGATTGATACCCTTTTGCTTTTTATATGTCATGTCATTGTAAGCTGAAATAATATAATAATATGTACAATTTTCATTGTACATAGCGTGTTCTAATCGTCTTTCAAAATCAGTTACAAGTCTAATGTGTATATAGTTAGAATGATAGTAAAGATCATCAGTTTTCCTTAAATAGCGTGACCCCAGCGACCCCATTATGTGGGGTTTTAAGAGGGTGAGCTAATGTTTTAAGAATAGAGCATATAGCATATATAGTCCCTAACTATAGTTAGGGACTATATAGTCCCTAACTATATAGCAGCTCTGTTTTAAAGTCAACAAGGGTGTCAGATAAGACAATGTAAATTGTAAAGTGGCCATTTAATAGTTAGAATGATTGGAAAGAGCAAAAGAAATTTAAAGCGGAGTGTCAAATGATTAAATGTAATTGTAACACCAATTTCTACGATAAAGCGATGTCACCAAATGTTGATAAACGTAAATAATGGTGGTACAATTTTATACATCAAATTTGTCCTCAAAATGATCAATGTTTATTGAACACTCTCTGACTCTCAGTTTTTTCTATGCTTCAGTAGATACGACTATTATACCTAAAAGGGAAGGACCAGCTTGAATGAAAGAGAGATTCGAAGAAGGCAAACGCTTTGTATTGAAATATAAATTGTACCGTGTAAAAGCGAGAAGCAAAGTAGGGCAGCCTTATAGATTTAATAGCTGCAATCATTTCGTTATTTTCAAGCTATAAAAAATACTTTTATGAAACGCATTTGATGGTAACGATTACTCCTAATGCCTACCAGTGGCATAAAAAGGGGCCCTGCGGACTCCGCTATTTGGGGGGGGGGGGGGGGTCAATGGTAACGTTACGTCACTGATATTTGCCACTCCTTATAGCCGACATCAGGCACCATGGAAGAATCAAAAAAATATACTCTCATTATAGCTATTATCATTCCTCATTCTTCCTGCTCCCTAATACTAACATAAGCCACTATATATTATACAGGGTGTTCACGAAACATTGAAACGGTTTTAAAGGTCTATATAAAATTTATGAATCGATTAAAAAAGATAATGAGCACAAAATATAGCTGGTTGCGAATATAGTTGCATTTCAATCAGCAGGTTTCTATTTACAGATAAGCAAAACCTGTTGATCTGGTTGATAAAAAATCGTGTAAAATCGTGATAATTTTATTAAATCCTTGAATTCACCTTTTTAGTGGCTACCATCAATTGTAGTTTGATTGTGGGACAATTTTGAAAAACTTAACTAAAGCACTAGCAAAATTGTGTGTTTTGCTCTAGAAATTTTTTTAGAGATTTTACTGGTGTATCCTCTTAAATTACCTAATTTGTCCGATTTTACCTTTCTACTTTAAGAGGGGAGGGGGCTGTGGGTGCAGTAGGGTGCCAACATGCAACATTACACCACTGGTGCCTTGTGCGCATGCAATGATTATTGGAAAAACATTATGATTGGTTTTGAAGTTATTAACGTTGTGCTTAGTGCATTCAATTTGGCTTTGGTTGGGATGGATATTTCTTTTTTGATGCCTAGAATACCAAGTTGAAAGGTTCACGAAATTAGATATAAGGGATGTATCAGAGATTTAATTTAGCGACTTGCCTGAAAATCTCAAATAAGTCACATATCGTACACTAACACTGCTGATTTCCAAAACAAATCAACCACCATATGATAGATAAACATGGCGGACCTGATTCAGAAAACTCTTAATACATAAGGTGGGCCAATAGTTAATGTGGAAACATGTATCACTGATGGCGATAAAGCCATTTGGAACAAATTTTCAATAGCTCATGTAATTCTGGCCAGAATTGCAAATAAATCTTAACACATCAAGATAAGATTCTTAAATGAATAATAGAAATCTCGCAGAATTCATTACCCACACACAACTCTTAAATGATAACAAATCTTTTACTACATCTACTTTTCCCATAAGAAGAATATAACAGTGAAAACGAACTTAAGACTGTTATTATGATATAATAACAGAGACAACCACAATAAAACTACTGTCATAAGAGATCAGGTCTTGTTTTTCCTCCGCCAATATACTTTGAACATGAAGGTAAATTTTCCCAATTACATGATTAGACAAGATGATGGATTAAAATCTTCAAAGTAGCTTAATGACATCTTGATAAGACATCTGCTAAACGTGTTACCTAATTATCGTCAGTAACATATCAGCTTTGGGCATGATTATTTAAATGGAGTTGGGTTAAAAACATATAATTATAAGTGATACAATAGTTTATTTATAGCAGATTCATGATTTCAACGAAAGTTAGGACATGTACATTAAATTTTGTTGGTCTGCATTTATTATAAAAGGATTTTCATACATATTTTTTTTCTTTATTAATTATGATTAATTAAAATATACCTTATTGTGAAATTGTATCACGTCGTGACCCCCATTGTCGTTTCACTATAGTGTAGAGTTTCTACGATACAGAAGGAGCCACGCACTCGTGCGCGGCGGATCATACAACATATGACAATAGTTAAATTGGTTAAAACAAAATACAGAATTAAATTCTATCAACAATCAAGATAAACAAAAACAAAACATATTACTTAATTGTCAATGTAATTGAAAATGAACAGCAATATATTTGATTTACGTTGTATTGCAATATACCTAGTTTTTTGTTATTATTTGTAACGCAATGCACTATTAACTAGCTAGATCTTACATCATATATTGCTTACTATTTTTGGCATTGCTTGCCTCTCTCACGTAAAGTTTTTCCAAATGCGAGAAGCTCGAGAAAAAGCCGCGCGTTGGGATTGTCGTTAAGGCTAGGGTTAAGTTGAGGCTAGGGTTAGTTGATCAAAGTAACGACACAGGATGGCCAAAGTTGAAAGTGCAAAGAAACTGCTGCTAACCGCTGCAAATAGCGCGCGCGCGACAGAAGCAGTTAGCAGCAGTTTCTTTGCACTTATTTGGCCCTTTTGTGACGGGTGTTATTTGAAGTGGGATACTAAATATAAAATAAATTGACATGGGCTCGCTATAATGGCGCCCATGTATTAAGCTGTAACAAGCTTACCTAGCTTGCTAGTCTATTGCATGCTCCCACCGCGAGCTGATTACTCAGGACGCGCAAACACGTCAAGATAAAAACGTTTCGCGCCCTACAAAGTTCGGTAGACCTTGATTTGCAACTAAACGCTTGTAGTTTGCATTGCGCGCGCAGCTTTTGCACAGTTTAGTTCAACATCAACCATGCATATAACTATTGTTAATATTTATACTGCATTAAATTTCTAATTTTTGACATTTGATGGGAATTTTGATGTGCAATTGCTGTTTTTTATATAAATTAGTATGACTATGCCGTTATATAATGCAAAATATAAGTAATACGATTACTTGTATTTAAAACACATTGTAAAATGTACATCACTTTTTTTCCCGTGTTGAAGTTGATTCATTTGGTCGCTTTTATTTTTATTTTAATATGTAACAACCTTTTCCATTGTAAATTACTAATTGAAAAAACTGTTTATATATAAATTATTCATTATAACTTTGTATTTTTATCGCGCGCGTCTTTATATGTTGTAAGTTCTAGTTATTGATAATTTTTATTAAAAATCACAATGTTGCGGCAGAAATAATGATATCACAAGTAAACTTCAAATATCCATTGCGATCACAAAGTTTTAATTCACCAAGTTATTAGGCCAAAATCATAATATATAAATGATAAAGTAAATTTATAGTTTCATTACACTTATTAAAATTTAAAAGCACGTATCGTGCAAAATAAATGACAAATATTAGTGCCACGTACCTATTTAAGTATGAAGAAACATAAATTTTGAAATTAAGAATCTGGAATCTCATATTTTCGATATTTAGATTTGTAATTACATTCGCCAAATAATTGTGTAAATAAACACGACAAAAGTTCAAAAATGCGCGGCTCAAAACACTAAATGCTGTACATTTTTAATATTTGAATATCTCCGCAAGCGTTACGTTTCTATGGGTAATTGTAGGAACTCTAAATCTATGTTGCTTGTAGAGTTCCGTTTGTGGTTGGAATCGGATCGGTTTGTTTGTTCACAACGATTTCGCAACGGAATATGGTAGTATTAGCTAAGACTCTTACGATCATATTGTTGCCAACTTTGTCGCGCTGCCACTCCCTATTTTGCTTCACCCCTGGGATCATTCTACTGTACCATATTATTGGAATGCTGTGGAGGAAGACTTGAACTCGAAGTGTGTGGGGTGTAGGCCCGCCCTGCGTTCCCCAGGGATGCCCGATAGATAAAGATTTCTCACATTGTTCATTCGTGAACTGCAATCAAAAGGTACGTGTGCTCTTTTTGTACAACTTTTATACTCGCATGCCATGAATATTTGTGCATAAAAAATTGTTAGAAATTCGAATTTAATCTATCTTACTTTTTACTTTCGTAATCTGTTAATTTAATCTAACCGTCCTCACTTTCAGATTACTTTAATCTTGTCCAAATAATAACGTTTCTCGGGTCAACTTTACGCTAGATAACTGCATTCTTTGCCAAGAGGTGGCAACCAAACAAAAAGTAAGTTAAGATTCCTGTACATATCCCGCTTCGCTTTTCAAAGATTTTGTATGCGAATAACTGCTTGAATTGCAGGAATTCTAATCAACTACATTCGCTATGTAACCGTCCAGTGTTAACATCGCAGTGTTAACATCGTACTGCATGGTCTAATTTATGTCCTCTTACTATTATGAGTTAATTGTGTTTGTTTCTAGGTTACCCTAGTGTTGAAATTATCGACAAGCTTCTTAAGAATGTCCATGATCGAGCATCTTGGGAAGACCAAAAGGTACTAGAGACATGCCAAATTCTCTGACAAATCTGACAAAACTGCCATTGACCTGCTATCCGGTTGGTATTATCGCCTCTGTTCCCTAAGTAAACGGTGCAAACGGCGATACCAATAATCGATTGAGTCAGGTACGGTCTATGCTTTTGGTATAAAGTTTATGTAACGTATTTATTAAGCCACCATCTTTTGTCTGGATTCTGATTACCAATTAAGGCATTTAAAAATATACTGACTGAATTTTACAGCTGCATGGTACCTTTTGTTCTTTATATTTAATTTATGAAAGTTCATATTTTTGCATCCTGTCGCTGTCTGACAGTTGCAAACATAAATGCAAAACGCATGTTGACTATTTTATTTTCTCAGGAGAACCCTGTCAGCTAAATCGTGGTCCAGGAAAGCCTGCTAATAAAGATCCCCGCACACCTCTCCTGAACCTGATGAAGGGATACTTCATACTAACAAGATGTCAAGCATTGCCGCCTTCAGTGTTCAGGTCAGTTTTAGATTGAAGACTGCAGCACTTTTCGTTTTAAATTGGTAACAATTAAACTTGAGATGGTCGAGCCTCGAGGAGCAATGCTCATATTAGAAACAGACTGAAATAGAAGAATAGAGTAGAATTTGAATTAAAATATCGTTAAACTGGTATTGTTTTAGAATGTGTACTCAACCGGACCGTATAATCAATATTAGGAAAGCCCTAGCAGATTACTATATATTGTAAATTGATATAACTGACAAGTAGGTTTCAAATAATTTCTGTAAATTATTGTGATATTTACTCTTCAGATCGTAAATTCGGTTCCAGTACTGTACTTTATGAAAGAGTGTGTTGACGTTAGTACGGATGCCACGGATACTGCTCGAAGATTGGCTAGACTTACTATCAAAGGAACTTAATGGAAAATTATATACCAGGTCTGTTTAAAATCAGTTACAAGCGGGCCATTTATTTAGCAATAATCCTTTTCATTAAAGTTTAGATGGACATGGACATGTGAACTAACATTCTTGTAATTATAAGCTATACCTGCAGCTAGTGTTAATAATTAATGAGCAGGGCTGAGTCGATATAAGTGCTGTGTTTAGTACTGCGGTTTTATGTTATGAAAAGGAAGCGAAGTTACATCGCATTACAAAATATTTGCTACCGTGAGAAATATTTTAAATCTTAATTTGTTGGTCTTATATATCACGATCGCGTAAAAGTAAACAATACCCCTTACTTACAAAGCTTCCCTTCTTATGATGTTCCAAACATGCTAAAATTAGAAGCTGCCTCTAAAATGTATATTATGTTAAAAGTTGGATAATAACGGAGTTCCGGAGCACGTGATATAGAATATTCTACTACTCTCAACGATGAGAATATATAGGTACAATTGTTTGCTCAAAGTAAAATATGGTTGCACCGAATATTCTATAATATATAAAGCTACATGATATTTAGAACTCGTACATGAGTAATAATTATAAAGTACTAAAGCCTGTAGATTATATTGTGTTTGACTTTGAAGCAGTAAGGACCAACTGAACCTCTCATCAATACTATAATTCAAAGAATTATTTCTGCTGTATAATGTATAATGTACGACCGCCCACGTGCAAATTATGTAAACGAATACAAGTTGCGTAGAAACCATGGTAACGAGGGTTCTCATGTACAAACTACCCAGATAGTGCGGAAGTTGAGATGCTTTGCACGTGACCGGTCCACGTGATATCTTGCACTAATGCAGGTCGTCTAATATGCGTGCTTGTTAATTAACTGTCATTCAGTCCACTGTATAACAGAATTATGGCAAGATTCTGATATCAAATCTTATGAATTCTACTATAAAATCGAACCGCAAAAGATGGTACCGACTACTGACTTTAAAATATCGAAATTTGTTCAGTAACGAAATTAATCCACCTCATAAGACTGATTTAAGTTACCCAGGTTCGTGCTGGACTTCTCCGTGTCAACAATCTCCAACTCCGGTGTCCTGTTTTTCGTCCCGTAGTGCTAACGAAAAGAAAATGCTTCTCAAGTTCAACGACGAAAAGGTTCGCTGAAAACCGCATTAAACATTAAATGCTTGCTACTATGTATGGGTCCAAGTTACTGCGGACATAGTTCACTATGTGTTTACCGTGTTTGGGTGCCCATCATATTTTACAGATGGGGGCGATATTTTGAACGATTCTATTTTATATTCATCTATTGCTGTACTCTGTAAAATTTGAAAAGTATTTAATAATAAAAAAAAACATCATCTTTCCTATTAAAAGGACGGTTTGTTCCTGAATATAGTCTGTTCACTTTTCCAACCACTTCATCTTTCAGGTAACTGTCTATCACTAATCACTATATGCGAGGTAAACCTATGGAGTTGGCATGGAGGGCAGCATCAACGATGGGGTTACACATAGGGTGAGTCCAAATTGTCTCCCTGTTTACGATCTTAACATTTAGTGATGAATATATTGGGGCCACAATAGTGTTACCCATACCACTGAGAAGTTGGACATTCTACTGCAATCAAGAGGAGCACAAAATATTATGCTACATTTCTCTATAACAGTGACACTTTGGTGCGAACTTATCTGGGGTTTGCTGCTCTCATATCTCCACAAGTACCCAATATGTCACTCGACCAATTTTGGACCGTTCTGACTACTTTTTCCATCTTAGAAAACCGAATTGAGGCTTCCCAGCACTCAAATACAGCCAATACTTCGATGTCCCCATGTTCCAAATTTATGGATTCATCTACTGCATGTTCGTGAGTTTAGGTGTACAGTGTACACTGCACTGTGCAATGTATAGTGTAAATTGTATACTGGTAGTTGGATAATATCCGGTTGAAAGATACAAGGACAAATGGAACAGGAAGTTAGGTATGTAAAATTTTGGCGGGAACATTTGAGCATGAGGCATCTGGTTCGCAGTTGGGAAGAAGCTGCTGAATTTCGACTCTTGACCTGCTATTTTATTTGATTCTTTAGGGAAATTATTTCCGACTGAAAGTTTGCCTGCATCACTTTGAGTAGGTTCTGTACTGTATCTCTAAATCTAAAGAGGTTGAATGTTGAGAGTTGCCATGTCGGTCGTTTTTTCCGAAGGCTCGTTGGCAGCAGAAGTACCCTCAGTGCGCCTGTAAGATCCCCGATCTGGACGGCTCTCACCACCTGGATATTTGCCGTCCTTCTTCCGAGTATCTTTATCTTTGGAGGGTTTAACACGCTTAGTTCCCACCAGATGAACAAGAGTGCATTGTTCTTTAAAACACTGCTTGTGTTGAACCGAGTTTTTGCTTTGGGTGGTAGAGCTGAAGTAGAATAATAGGGGTGTGTATAAGCAAGAAGATGGCTCGCAGGAGGTTGAACTACCGCTTCCGACCGGCATGTCATCCGTGACGTCATCCCACACGGCTTGAAGTGGTGTGACGTCATCTCACGTGGTGTAACGTGGTGCAATGCATCCTCAAATCCTGTCACATGATGTGACATCATCTCACGTGGTGTGACGTGGTTCATCTCACGTGGTATGTCATCACCTCACATACTGTCACGTGATGTGATCTCATCTCACGTGGTTACTGCTCTCTTGCTTGCACCAGGGGGATAAATCATACCACGTGGTGTGACTCATCTCACGTGCTGTCTCATCACCTCACACACTGCCACATGGAGTGGTCTCATCTCACGTGGTATAGTGTCATCTCACATCATGACTCATGGCTTGACCCAGGTCATGTGACCCACACAGTTATCCTATCATTATACCTTAACGTATACAGCCTGTCACGTGATTAGTCACATGATACCAGACATGTCCTAATATGGAATAATTCTAGTCTTATCGTCAATGTGCCTGGATCTTGTTTCAGTGCAAACACATTCAGCTTGACACGTGATTACATCAAATATTTGAATGTGATATAAGACTGCTATAACCCTTCAGATGTGCTGCAACCCCTATCTAACCACATAATTGCATCAATTATTAGAATGTTATATAATGCTGCTTGTACCCTTCAAATGTGTTTTAATTTTATCACGTGATTATATTTGTGTAATGCGAACTAGCAGGATTAGGTACCATATCCCTCCATATGACACACCAGTGTAGCATGAATCTGCTTCTTACCCCCCCTCATATATATTTAAACCATGCATCTAGTCTCATAATTACATCAATTATACTAGGCTATATATTATTTTGTTTGTATCTAATTTTGTAATGTTCAAATTCTATGTCAATTAGTCAGACGGAGATCATCTTCGAGATTTATCACTTTCTGAATTACCATTCATAACCAGTACTCAGATAAAAAAGTCAGGTATCGAAAAGTTCAAGCAATTAATCATGTCCGTGTCGGTCCGTGGGGGGGCGAGGGGTACGGCTGCTCGGGACGAGAAGGTGAAACCTCGGGGTGTTCCTGTACGTGGTATTTTATCATAACTTTTGTTCGCTTTGTCACTTTGAAGGTGGGCTTAAAACCAGCGACTAGATGGAGTACCCCCAAATTGGAGGAGTACTACCACATGTTATGGGTATCATAACATTTGAGGGGTACCACAACAGAAAGAGTAAGGCTATTATTAGTAAAGTGGTAGAAGAGCGTGGCTAGTCACATTTATCAATCGGGGGTTAAATCTTAAAAGCATGCTTTCGGAGTAGATATGACGATTTCTAAGAAGAGGGAGCACGTTATACCCTAATATGGGCATGTACGTATGTGAGAGTACACGTTCATCCTGGTATCTAGTATAAGTCACGCAGGTCCTGCGTCCCGATTGTTCCAATTATCATACAAACAGATGGTTAGTTGACTGAAGATAAGGATACTCATACAGACACAGGAACAAACGATATTCTTTAACCAGGAGTAACATTAAGACAGGGACACTTTCATAATTCATTTAAACTGCTGCAAGACTCGCAACGGGAATATTGTTTGATTTCCAAGAAAACCTCCTTTTTTCATTAGACGATTGGTGATTGAAGTGAATATTCGGCCAATGATCCTGGTTGAAGCAAAAACTGAAAATTCTCGGAAATCTTGGAAATTTTATGTCCCCGAAAGCTTAAAACCCTGAGAGGATTGTTATTTTTCGTAAATTTCGAATTATACTATGTGACCCATGTAAAATCCAGATTGGATTTATGAGTCGCATAGTTGAAATGTTTTCTTGGGTAAATTTCTTTTTGGGTAATTAGATCATGAATTAGACTATGTAAACTATGTATGTTAATTTTAAGGGGAGTTAATATTAAAAGTTACTTCAAAAGCACATTATTTTCCTTCTAATTTTTCCTTCTAACATTTTACCAGAATAATTCAAAGAAATTGTATATTGACTTTCATGACCAATGTTAAATATGTCATCACGATTCTTAGATAATTCTTGGGTATTGAAAAGTAAATCCTGTCTAAAGTGATGGAGTTTGTTTCATGTATTGTGTAGATTGTAGGGGTCATGGTTAGAACTCAGCCTTTTCAAGAGGTCACAAATCACATTGTGATATGTAATATATACTATCGGACATAATTGTCACGAACCAAATTTTTCACGGATCAAATTTTTCACGGACATAATTATTCACGCTCACGACTGCCCAAAAATGTCCAACAAATTTTGAACATTTTTGGTGATTTTGTAATAAGTGTATTACTCTTTTTCTGAACTCTAGAATGTGACTGAAAAGTGATTATATTTGTCCTAGTTTACTATAAACTAATATAGTAATCGGCTATTACACATATCTATGCATATGTACTATGTAGGGATACACACACTAAAATTAATGGAAATAATTACCGGGACACTTTATTATTCACGGACCTTAATGTCACAGATATTATTTTCACGGACTTAATTATTCACGCTAAGGTCGGTTGTTTCACCCCAATACATACAGCTTGTCACGTGATTAGTCACATGATGCTTCATCTGGGTAAAGACTGCTAAATTCAGAATCTGGGTCTTGTTACAGCTGTACTCTCACTCTACGTCAGCCTCATATATTGAATAACACTCCTACATTACATGCAATTTTTCAGACATGGATTTGCTTGCTCAAAGTGACCACCACACAATCAGCATTAATCAAATGATTCTTTGTGAATTGCCCCGGGGAAATCAGTAGTCACCCTCACCCTCCGCCCCTCCGGGGCGGAGGGTGACATTACAAAATTAGATACAAACAAAATAATATATAGCCTAGTATAATTGATGTAATTATGAGACTAGATGCATGGTTTAAATATATATGAGGGGGGGTAAGAAGCAGATTCATGCTACACTGGTGTGTCATATGGAGGGATATGGTACCTAATCCTGCTAGTTCGCATTACACAAATATAATCACGTGATAAAATTAAAACACATTTGAAGGGTACAAGCAGCATTATATAACATTCTAATAATTGATGCAATTATGTGGTTAGATAGGGGTTGCAGCACATCTGAAGGGTTATAGCAGTCTTATATCACATTCAAATATTTGATGTAATCACGTGTCAAGCTGAATGTGTTTGCACTGAAACAAGATCCAGGCACATTGACGATAAGACTAGAATTATTCCATATTAGGACATGTCTGGTATCATGTGACTAATCACGTGACAGGCTGTATACGTTAAGGTATAATGATAGGATAACTGTGTGGGTCACATGACCTGGGTCAAGCCATGAGTCATGATGTGAGATGACACTATACCACGTGAGATGAGACCACTCCATGTGGCAGTGTGTGAGGTGATGAGACAGCACGTGAGATGAGTCACACCACGTGGTATGATTTATCCCCCTGGTGCAAGCAAGAGAGCAGTAACCACGTGAGATGAGATCACATCACGTGACAGTATGTGAGGTGATGACATACCACGTGAGATGAACCACGTCACACCACGTGAGATGATGTCACATCATGTGACAGGATTTGAGGATGCATTGCACCACGTTACACCACGTGAGATGACGTCACACCACTTCAAGCCGTGTGGGATGACGTCACGGATGACATGCCGGTCGGAAGCGGTAGTTCAACCTCCTGCGAGCCATCTTCTTGCTTATACACACCCCTATTATTCTACTAGCTGACACCCTGAACCTAAAGTACAGCCCTCATTAGAATCAGTGCTGAAACGTGTAAACTTTTTACAGCGGCTTAGGATGAAGCTTGCTGTATGTAGTTTTACCCTGGTGGAGAGTCCGTCCACTTATTCCGTGAGGGCATATCCCCATTGTGTAGTCAACACATCCGTTGCTTGTTGCTGCATGATGCATCCAGTTTCTTAGATAGTTCATCTGCGTCGATATCCATCTGTTTATTTTCATTAGGATCGGAGTTGCCGTCTGTGTCCACCAGCTGTTGAGATCCTCTCTGTCCTTCGATGGTTTAAAAAAAGCAGACATGAATTAAAACCGATAATTCACGTTTCAGTATATATACCAGAAGTGTGGTTGTATATAAACAGCTGATAAACTCTCGTACTTGTGATTGTATGTCTCGCTTCACCTTATTGCATGCTCGGCTCACAATTTAGCAACAAATAACTGATAAGCGAGCACTTAAGAATACAACCAAACAAATGTGTAATGAATTTGGTTTTCCTTTCATTCATTCTAAGTTCCACTGTAGTGGTAACTCTTTCAACCTCTTGCATCAGCTTCTCTGCCTCTTTTACAGAATTCGCTATAAGAGCAATGTCATCTGCAAAAACTGTGTCCGATATATTCTCCGCCTTAACTCTCCCACTCCTATAAGGCTTTATGGTAAATCATATTTCAGGGTGCTTGCTTAAGGCTTGTCTCCTGCAATAGTCGAGGGCTATTACAATGAACAGCTACGGTGCTAAGATCTGCAAGATCTCAAAGTGGTCGTTACTTGACTTACTCTTAGTTGTAAAATGTAAACAATCGATTTGTAGTTGAACTTCTACTAAATCGTTCATCAACGCAGGGTGCTAGCGCCAACTTGGGGCCTAAGCCCCTCAAGTCCGGAAGCCCCTCAAAAGTTCGGTCAGAGGCCCTAGTTTGCAATGTACCAAATCAAATTTCACAAAATAACCAGGGTGAGTTAACATCTGTTTCAACTAGCAAATTTTCGGCAGTTTTCGTGCTAAAAAGACACAATTTTCAACAACCAAAAATCAAATTAATATTTCGCGCGTCCGCGCGCGCACACTGCACCACCACGTAATCCATTATACAATTTTATCATGTAATTATTTGAGAACTTAGGCCTTTGTTTGGCTGGTGTGAAAAGGTGTACCCCGCCCCAAGGACGTCCGGATTTTCAGAAACCACCCCTCCCCCCTCGGCATCCCCCTGTCCGAAATTCCAAATCCAACCCCTCTATATCATATATGCAAGACGTACTAAGTAGATGGCTGATGGCCCCATAGATATATAATTGTGATCATAAATTAACAGAGTTTAATATTTCAGGACCCGATCGACGATATATAAAGTGAAGAGTTACAAGTTCTACAAGACTTATCTGTTCACCGGTTTATCAACTCATGATTTGGAGAAACTTAATTCATGAACTCGAGACTCTAAGTTACTGAGTTATATTATTATTTCGTGTATTGCCGGGAAGGCTGTTAATTTAGGATAGAGTTTTTGTGGCACTTATCTCAGTTTGTTCTTTTGTAGTTGTTCTCACACAGCTGAGTAAAAGTTTTAAAACTTGAGAGCAGTGTTTATAATTCAATTTATTATTAATTAGAATTAATTGGAGCATGGAACAACTACACCCTTTGAAGCCTGGAAAATACGGTAGATCTAGTTAAGACTCAACAGTCAATACATGCTATGTGGGGGAGAAGATGGACGAACTTTTTCAAAAAGTAAAAAAAGAGATGACTGCCGGTATTGAACCGTGCACCTTACCCATCGGGCATTCTTAAATTAGTCACTTGTGCTAATCTAGCTTTTGAGTTTCAAGATCTTGTTTGGTATTTATAATAATAATATGTCATGACTAAAAGTGCGAGATCTCTTTTAAAGATTTCATCTGTGTTTGATGTTTACAACTGTCCAATGTTTTTAAGGTATTAAAAACGAAGCCGCGAATTAGTATCAACATTGCCAAGTTTAAATTTGCAAAGCTAGTCTTAACTGTCGTTGTTAGTTAAATTTTAAAATATTTGGTTAGTTAAATTTTGATGTTATACTTACTCCTTACTGTCACCAAGATGCAGTTAGACCTAACCAGAAAGGCCCAACGCAGAGTTAGGCCTAAAGTAGGCGTTAGGCTTAACTGCATTTTGGTGACAGTTACATTTGTTATCTGTCATCTGTAAAGTTGTAATACTAATATCGTACTATCTTGATGTTTCCTCCTAATTGTGGCTTACATACAGAATGGCATACGTTTCTGACCACGAATCACACTTGACAATACTTCTTTAGTGCCAATAATTGTACGTGTTTGAAGTCTTGATTTCATTTCATTAGGACCTCTAGTGTTGATCGGATGACTGAATTTTATGTTTTATTTCTCCTTGATACTATATTTCAAAATCATGTAAGGTACATAAACTGGGACATTAACATATCCCACAGAAATGAGGACCGCCAAGGAATGAAAAACTAAATCTAATATAGACTATATCATAGAATTATAATAATGCTACATGCGACACGCTCTCAAATTGCTAATGAGCGGACTAATCATTATTATATTTGGGCACGCGCTTAGTAACCATAGAAACGCGCTCGATCCAATTCCAGTATATTGCGACGAGTGTTTACATCACTAAATTAGCTGTAACTTTGTGTGATTATCTGCGATCTTGCTAATTTTAAGGCGCTGTGGCTAAAATCATCCACCGAACCAACAGGCAAAATTTCAGAAAGATCGCACCCAGCGCCCATTTCGGCCTCACGAGTAATCAGCTCGCGGTGGGCTTTTTTACTTTTTTACTGCTTTGTGCTTGCTTCTTTTGTGCTTTCTGTTCATGGTTCAGGAAGCTTGAAAAGCTAAATAGCGCCGCACACATGGACTAGTGTGCGGGCGCGCCAGGTAATTACAAGCTGGAGTTAAAAGGATTATAACCATCGTCAATCCTTCCCAGCGCGCACCAAGTCCAAAATTATTTTATTGTTTCATCTTATCTGTTTCATTTTATTTGTTTCATCTTATCTGTTGCGTGTTTCAAATTGCACTGTTAATTGTTTTTAACAAATTTCATGCTGAAAAACTAATTCAATGCCAGGATGTAAGGCATTGGCTTTATTTATTATATATATTATTCGCATAAAATAATTTTTTAAAAGAAGCGCGCAGCAGTCTAAACACAAATATATGCACCAAAATTTAATTTTACAATTTACAAAATTCTTTTGACGACAGCTTTGTTTGTGCACACTATTGTTAATGAAAACGGTTAACAGTAAAATTGTGTGTATGTCTATTGAAGGAGACCCTTGCAAGATTTAAAATCTTTTAGTCGGGCACTTACTTAATATGACTACATAGTTGCCTTTTATCGCTAGAGTGCGCGATTCGACTTGATTTATGGGGCACTTGTGGTCTTAAGGCACATGGGAGTTGCAAAAACCTAATTAATTCCTTAGATTGAATTGAATTCAATTCAATGGTGCATAGATTGTAGATCATTCAGTAGTGAATAGGGCTTGATTGTACTTAGTGGACTCAAACTTGTAACCTGTCGATAATAAGCAACAACTGATTTGCTAATTGTTTCCATTTTTATTCTGCGTAAAATCATTCCACGATTTTGAGAGTATCAACTTTCCCTGCCCGTTCATGCTGCATAACTATCTGTCTTACATAAACGTGTAAGCTGTGTCCCCAGCTATTCGATTGGATGTTTAGTCTATTGGTTGTGATCTGATGTATTTGGATCTTTTTTTTGTTGATTTGTATTGAATTTTGATGGGATACATTTTGTATGAGTAAATCATTTGCTTTTATGACTCATCTGTGAATTAAAGATAATAGCAACTGCTCTAAAGTTCATTTATTGCCACGCCTAGTTTAGCTTAACTTTTTAAGATATGCGTGATCAGCTAAATGCCCTTGTTGGGTCATTTTCCTCAGATTTTTCCTTCGTAATGTCTGAATTAATCAGGTCCTCTAGTTCTGACATTTTCGGTTATTTGAGGTCACTTTCCCAGATTTTGTTTGTACCCGTCAAGATGTCAGTTGATACAACAATTTTAATGTGGCTGGTTTAATGGGTTATTGTGAATATTGCTTGTTTAACCAATCAAGTAGATCGGTTAATTTCCTCCATTGTCACTGTGAGCCTCTCTTCAATTAAGGCTATGCTATGCATAACCTTCATTTCGCCATTGGTTTTAATATTCAATATCCTTTTATCGTGATTATTTTCAATGGTTCTGGTATTGATCCATGTTGCTCTAAACACATGGGTTGCTCAGAGTTATTTTAAATGGATTTGAATTGAAAGTAGTGTAATGGGATGGCCTACAAGCCGAAGGATCTTTTACAAGGCCTGCCATGATAAATTTCTAATGGCTTGATGATTGTGCCGTACTATCTCTGACCAAGGCTTTACTACATGGGTGTAGCAACCACTTCTTGTGTGAAGAAAATTTTAAGGACAAATGTGACATTTTACCTTTTTAGTGCTAAAACGTAAAACATGTCTTCAATGTGAAAATTCAGCTCAAGGCTCCTAAAGGAACTCCTCAATTATATAAGACAGGCATGCAACCACTTAAAGGGCGGCAGATTTTAGAGTTCACTTTGTTAGTACTAAAACTCTTGGCCTTTTTACTGAAGTGGGAGTGTCTCATGATAATGACAGGTGGTCACATTGTCGTTGGTCCTGTTGACTGTTGGGCCTAGACGTGACAGAGGATGAAAGCTTTGTCAAGCTTTCGCTTTCAAACCATTGAAAATATTGTAGAGTTTCATAAAGGTTTTAGTCAATGTTAAGTTTGTTAACTGATGCTAACCTTCTTAGATCTGCTCTTGTAATTAGTAAAGAAACTGGTTGTTGTTGACCATACTGTGAAAATCATATTTATTATTTATTCAGTACATAAAAATGATTGAGAGCAAACTTTTGAATTTTAGACTTAATTAAATTTATGTGGTATTTGTAGGTTATCTCAACAAAGATCGTTACACACAAGTCAAAACGTTCCTGATGCTGCAAGTTGTGTTCTTCAAATTCAACAATGGTAAGGTCCTAGCCGGTAATGATGCCACAAATCAGCACAAGATCTGACATTACCACAAAATGACTCTTTTCAATGATTCAAATATTACATTTAGTTAAATTCAACTTGCCTGCATTTGATTAATTATATATCCTCTTTTTATCAACCAATCACTCAAAATACTTATAAGTACATCACCGAAGCAAAACCATTTGTTTTCTATTATTGAACTACAGAGTGTATTTAAATGTACATTATGCGATTCTTAAAGTGCTAATTCTTTGTTTCTGCAGCTTAGCAAAATGCCTCCTGTAAACCCTAACATAACAATGAGCAGACACATTCAGCAAACCAACGAGCGATTGGTTCAGATAAGACAACAACTCAATAAGTGAGTAGTTGCAGTTATTGTATAAATATCACACTAAAACTTTTAAAAGTACAGATTAATTGCCAGACAATGTCATCATATCATTACAATATTAAAAGTATTAAGTTATGTACATTCTTATCTTTAAAACTTGGATAATTGCTTGTAAACTTGGATGATCTAATAACAGGAAATTATGATTTCAGTATGTCGCAGTTTGAGGCTGCAGGAAAAGAACTGTTGGAATGGTGTGGGGATGCACGAGCATACACATCACATTTTGAGAACAACTTGATGCAGTGCCTTCAGGTTGTCAACAACGTTACACGCACTGGAACAGTCAACCCTGATATTGGTTAGTATGGGTAATGTAGCCCTGACATTCCACTATAATGTCATCAGAATGTTACAATGTGTTTGTCGGTTTTTATGAATTGGCACTGAACAGTGTTCATATTTCATCTAGTTCTTTACGTGCTTATTTAAGCAAATGAAAACCTTCTACGGCCTCAACTCTACCATTACTACTGCCCGATTACAGCGCAGCCGTACATTAACCAGTGTATTACATATTGTAGAGTACTTCTCCTGACACATTTAAACAGTGATAGTCCCGAGCTCCGCTACTTACTTGATGGGGGGGAGGCTATTTAATTACTTTTACCATGTATATAATATCTAGGGCCAGCAGCTCTCACTTCCATTGACTCTCCCCCGTACAATAAAGCGTGTACTACACACTACTCGCACAACAACTGGAAAGGGTATTTCTGAAAAGTAATACCCACCTAATTGTTTATTAAGAGCGATTAGTTGGTATCATCTGGTGTCCCCTGCCAGTCAACATGCTGCACTCACACCACGTGACCGCTCTCCCCCAATGGGCTCATTCAGAACTCTCTCTACCTCCCCTGTCAGGACCCTGTGGGTCTAATTACAAATTAAGGACAGCTTGTGCACTAGTTGTTAAGCGAAGGCCGCTATTTGAAGTGCCAAATAAAAATACAAAGCGTGCATACAGTGCAGTGTGGAAGTATTGTACCCATTATGCCCTTATTTCCTCACCCCAAACATTCACATTTTAATGACCTAAATGTCTGCTCGCAGTTTAGCTCCTATTACAAATTAACAGCCAGCTGCTTGTCAAAGTGTGATTTGTGTGTCGTGTTGTAGTTGTTAAGTTGATTCAGAACGCGATTATTAACCACATTCCCTTTTTTTCAGCACACAGATTAATGACGATTTGCTCCCACCACCGCTCAAAACTATCTCCCTCAAGTGCAGGTAATAAATCGCGCTTTCCTCTCCTATCAAAGTGTAAATCGTAATTACTGGCTTTTAAAAGCTTGCTGCAGAATCCGACATATTCTCTCTGAAGCCATGTGAATCAATCTTTATGCAGTCAAGTAAGCGTTTAAATAATTGGAAGAAAAAACATGGCTCAGCTTGCCATTTGAATAATTCTCTTAAAACACACCAGCAGAGCAGCGGAGCTCCGAACACAGTTTTAACACTCTCAGTTCCATTGTGATCGCGTGTAAATTTGGACTATATAATGTATTTATTATTTGATATTTCTAGACATACTTAAATGATTGGCAAGCATACAGAGCTTGCCTGCTTGATATATGAATATGTAATGAATTTTTCATTGAAACTAGTTTGTAGAGTGAGAGAGAGAGAGTGGGGGGGGGGGAGGGGGGGGGGAGCTGCAACAGAGTTGCTACTACTTGTGGTTAGGATCATTTTGTTTTGTATAAAGAGTGAGCCCCAATATTATGCCTGTGTTATACCAGTGTTATACCTCTCTCTCTCTCTGCAGCAGCAGTACTGGGGATAATTGATTTCAATTTGTTACATCATGTGTACTCGAGCCACAAAATATGAGAGAACGTGCTTTTGTCGTCTTCTGCTCACATACCATGTCCACTGCCCATATATATATATACCTTAGTAGTAGATCCTCTTAGCTGTTCTGGTGAAGACGTTCTGGTTGGGATTAAAACGTCACTTTCTCAATCGTCTCATTTGACCACGTGGGAAAGTGACTGTCATGTAAAAGTTTGTAATGAAATGAATCATCAAATTATGTACAGCATACTTGTTATTAAATTCTTTTTTCACGTGCAAATTGACTTTAAACACAGTGACAATCCATCGAACATCGTATAGAACAGTGCTTGCCAATTAATGTCTCACTTGTAGACTGCGCATGTTAAATGTTAATTCTAGGAGCAAGCAATGGAGCGTTCGGTAAAATGTGATGTAGCTTTTTAGCAAAATTTCATTAATCATGTTGAACTGTTGCATTTCCAGGGTGACTGTTGCCCGTATGATGTTTAAAATATAATATAGTACAAGCTGCAGCCCTCTATATATTGTAACAGTCACGTGACGGTATTTATTGGATTGCCCTTTCTGGACTGTCAAACTTGAGCAATGATTCATCGGAAATACCGTTGTCAATGATAAATCACACAATATATATGGTGAATAATTAGATAATCCATTTGCAAACCATTTTAAATCATTTGACTAGAGAGCTAACCGGAAATGCTTGCAGATGTGCATTCTCAACACTGAGAGATAGTATTGCGCGATCAGTTACTGAGAATTTAAAATGCGTAGGCTACCTACAAGTAGCTATATAACATGACTAGACTATCTGCAGCAGTCTGATAGCTTGCTCTACCAGAGATTATTATGGAGTTTCCAAACAATATCAACTGCGGCAGTAGTAGCCGTAGTATTATTGCTTGAAATAATAGGAATGGATTGTGAATGTGGCAAATTTTCTTCACACCTGTTTGATTCTTTAGAAATCCTTTACAAAAACTCATCGAGACAATTATTTGGCCACAACATTATTTACCCGAGCTGCTTCACATGCCTTCATTACCAGCGGTCGCCACATAGTTTAGTTCGTGCGACATAACTTCGAAGACTGGTGGAATTTCTCCAAATTCCAACACAATCTCATTTTTGACGAATGCAACTCTGGTAAACATAAAAAGGTTTAATAATAATTTATCACCGTACCGGGTACTCGTGCTGTTTTCATGCAAACTCCTTATTTCCTAACATCATGATCTACCCACAGTAATACTTATCTCAGTTTGAAAATTAAACTTTCATCAATTGTCTCTAGCACAAGACAAATGTGCTACACCCAGCACGCTCCTTTTGTTGGCACAATAACTCTTCAAAATAACGATCATGCAGAAAATAACTTTGCAGAGATTTAGAAAAGTTGCCACCTCCCCACACGTACCGTCAGTACCAATCAATTAAAGGATCTGCCGACCTGGTACTCACACAAAATAGATACTCTCTCTCCCCACCAGACACGCTCCTGATCAATTGATCATTTGTATCTTTGTATTGAGTGTCTCTTTTTAGAATGGATCCGGACTGTTATTGTGCCACGGCCGCAAACTACTGATTGGTATTATCGCGTCTATTTTAACGGCCCGTTGCTGTGAGAGTGAGTGTTTGGCAAAAATTAAGGATCTTGTGATTGTTTGAGTCAACTATGCAGAGTTCCGCTAGAACCAGACGACAATGACTAAACAGTCATTATTAGATTATTAAGCGGCATCTCACCAAACCAAACTAAGGTCTAACAGTTGATTTTGGCTGAAGTTACGGCCGAAGATTACACAATTAAATTGTAACAAGTATCACAACTTTTCCGATTATAAGCACCAAGCCGAAATTTGACAAAGACAGTTGGAGAGAGATAAAACTAGAGCTGAGACTTGAGTACGGTTCAATTAATGAGATAGACGACAAATCGCTTTAGGTCATGAGACCTGTTATACTGTTAATATCAATATTAAACTTCAAAGTTATTGCGCCAATTTTATTACTTTTGATCTTAATTGATTTACTGTCAAACCCCACTCAGCAATAAAGGATTAATGTTTAATGTAACTTACAAATATGCTGTTCGTTTTACGGAAAAGCGGTGTCTTAACTCTTACTTAAGTTGACAAATTATCAGTGTTCCTTATTGCAAATACTCCACAAAAGGAAAGAAACAATATAACATTAACCCGCTCCTCTTCAGAGTTGATAGCACAATGGACGAACGATATAAACAAGCTACTTATGATGAGAGGAAACAACGGAATGCCGGCTGACCAGAACAACGGACCTCACGTTCAACAGGGCATGCCGCCGCACGGTCCGGGACCTGGGCATGGTCCGGTACCTGGGCACGGTCCGGGGCCTGGACCGCAGCAAGGGTACGTTCACTTTCACTACAACCATTGCATGGGGGGGGGGGGGGGGGGGGGGGAGGCCGTGCACATTTCATATTGTTAATTACAGTATTACATGTAAGATATAGTGTTAACTGCCCGCAAACTGATTTGTAGATATCGGTCTCGTGTACCCGCTCTGTAAGTTTGTTTGCACCGCATACTCAGAAGGCAAAATTGGACAACTCTCTCTAAGTATTATCAGAAACTCATTTAGATGTCATCTGATCGTCGCTCGCCAAGTTCCGTTAACCGCTTATCTGCTACCTCTATCTGAGTACGTGTTCCCCTATCTGAGTACGTGTGTCCCTCTTCAGTATTATCATGTTAATATTAGATCAGTCCGTGACTTGATACTTCTTGCTTCAACAAAACTGAGGAGTATTATTATCTTACAAATCTGCTTTATTTTCGTTATTGACGACACTTATGCCACTGAATTTAACCGAAATTCGTAAACAGAGAAACATTTTGGTTTGATGCTGGTTACTTTAATTAAGAAAGACTCGCTCCACACACATTACACAACGTCTGAAACTTTGATAAGATGTTTGCAAGTGCGTGAACACGTCCGGAATGTCATTCTACCCATCATGAAATAAAATGCCCAGGATTCTGATAACGATTCCATTGTTATCGTAACAAGTGGAACAGGTTCACAATATGCGATATTATATTTGATTAACAGGTCACTCACCATATATTCATGATTTAATATAAAATACATTATCGGTGAGAATAAATATTTGGAAAATATGATTAGATTTGAGGGAAATACGATACTTTACATATTGTACAGGCCGTCACCAGATGTGCCAATGAAGTGCTAGATATTCAATTGAAATTGGGGACATTCCTTGTCTTACTGGTCCCTCTGTTGTGGTGAAACCCCTCTAACCTCTCTTGCTACAACGATTGCAATGGCGACTCTCTTACCCAAAACCGAGAGGCGAGAAGTCGACTTTTAATTTAGGCTTTAAAGCAGCTCTCTCCATATTATCATGAATAACTCTAAGTAGTCATTATTATGAATGTGGTAATGCAAACAGTGTGCACAGCTCTTCACTCAGTCGTCTTTACTGGTGAGGGAGAGAGAGAGAGAAAGAGAGAGAGAGAGAGCAGGAGAGAGAGAGGAATCATTGTAATTCAATACCAATAATAAAAATTATATATAATACATGTTTGACACTTTGTCGATCACTTGTAGGAATTGTGGAAAACGCTTTTAGGGTACATGTTTACTGTAATTGTTAGGCTACAAGTCGTGTCCGAGGTGATAATCTGTAGGGGACATTCGTTTCTACGGTTACAGTCTACTCAAATAGTGGTTACCAAGGTTACAGTCTACTCAAATAGTTGTTACCAAGGTCACAGTCTACTCAAATAGTTGTTACCAAGGTTACAGTCTACTCAAATAGTGGTTACCAAGGTTACAGTCTACTCAAATAGTTGTTACCAAGGTTACAGTCTACTCAAATAGTGATTACCAAGGTTACAGTCTACTCAAATAGTGGTTACCAAGGTTACAGTCTACTCAAATAGTGGTTACCAAAGTAACAGTCTACTCCCTCTACTCAAATAGTGGTTACTAAGGTTACAGTCTACTCAAATAGGGGTTACCAAGGTTACAGTCTACTCAAATAGTGGTTACCAAAGTAACAGTCTACTCAAATAGTGGTTACTAAGGTTACAGTCTACTCAAATAGTTGTTACCAAGGTTACAGTCTACTCAAATAGTGGCTACCAAGATTACAGTCTACTCAAATAGTTGTTACCAAGATTACAGTCTACATAAATAGTGGTTACCAAGGTTACAGTATACTCAAATAGTGGTTACCAAGGTTATAGTTTATTGTTTACAGAAACATTTGCGTCCTTTAGTAACGGTTATTATGTTGTTACTGGAAATGTCGTATACAGGCCAACTGCTAAGGTTCTTATGAAATATCCGTGTTCTTGTTTGTGGAAAGTTATTGTTAAAGATTGCGAAAACGTTGTGTCCATGGGCATAAACAATGCCTTGTCCTTGCAGTGGTTGCAGAAAGGTCATGTTCTTTGTTAGGAAAATTTGTGTCTTATCATACGGTAAAAGGCGTGTCCTAGCTTTGGGATAGCAGAAAATAGACGCCATAAATTTCTTTCTACAGAAAAATGGTCCTTAGTTACAAAGAACTTCGTGTGCAATTGGCAATCTAATTCTAAATTGGTCGATCTGTACACGAAGTTGGGTAATTTGTTGTATGCTTGTAATTCCGAGCTCTGATTATGAGCAGTACAGGTCGGGTATTAAATTCTTACTCATATAACATAAAACATATATATAATATACTCATATATTATATAACAGAATATATCATTATGTCAGATCAGAAATTTAGAACGAAGCAGCTATTATACTGTGACGTTGCAGCTCAGAAGAGCGCCGTATTATGAAATTCTCGGGAATATAATTGAATTTATACCCGCTGGGTGGACCACCCTCCGTATAAATAACAATGACGAAACAGTGGTTTAACATTCCAAGGGCCTTGCTTGCTCTCATAATTAGGAGAATAGCGCTCCGGTATCCAGTGTGAACACGATGGTAGGAATGTTGCTGTCCCTTTTCCCAAAGAAGTCGTCTGGCGACATGGCTGGCGAGTGAGACTGAGTGAGCGTTTTTCGAACCTCAAAGAAATTACGGCCGGCTGTGGAGCCTGTATGAGACCTGTTTTTGTGGCGTTTAGGAAGGGAGGGATTTAGTGGAAACATTTACTGGGCTGGTCCTCTGTACAATGTAGTATGTAGTACACTCGGTATTTTGTGTGTGTCTTGTACGCTGGATCTTGTCATTATCTACAGATTCACGGACCCCCTACTTTTAGCCATCAATTAATAGCATCTTACTAGTAGAACATACTAAATACTAATGGACGTTTCTATTGTGATATTTAATGCTAACTTACGTCATTGTAAAACGCACTATAAGTACTAGATATTGAGTCGTTACTCGTTGAAGCTAGATCAGCTAAATGTCAGTTTAATGGCAAAACCGTAGTTCTGTTACCACCACCACGTCTAATCTGTAAATTATGTGCATATATAGACTATGGTTGGCGATGAGCAGAAAAGCTGACGACAGCAAACCGTTCAGATTTGAGGCCGAAAGTACAAAATAGAACCGGCGACTGCCTCGGCGGCCGTTCCATTATGATTTCTAGTCCGGTCAGCGTAGAATAATTACATTTTATAGATAGCGGCTGAATTTGCATTACGTTCGGAACATGCGTTTTAAAACTAAAAATGACGGGGAGATTACCCTGCAACATATTAGGAACTGGCAGAAATGGATCTGGTACGTAAAATTAGGTTCCGCCATGGCTGGAGCAAATTGTGAGACAGTAGGTTAACCGGTGTAGGTGTTACAGTGTTGATCGATAGTGTTCCAGCCGCACAGCATGGACACACAATAGAGCGAGCTGATCCTCCGAAACACTACAACATGTGCCGCCCGCTGGGCTGGACTCTGTCTGCGGAAGAGAGTAGATTATCGCATTGAGCTTCTCCCAGTTACAATCAATAATCATAATGTGCATTATTAGCTCTTGTTAGCTTTGCCCTTTCACTCTCTGTGAGTGTGTGGTGTTGTCGCGCGGTGTAGCGTTTAACACGACTGCGGCCACCCGGCTGGGTTCCTGTGTTTCATGTATTAAGTTCAGTCTGCAGTCTGCACTCCTGCTCAACTGTTAATGCTCCCCAAGAGTGTTTTGTTTCGTACCTTTGTGTTGTGAATTACATACATACTCCATATCTAGTACGTTTTGTATCTCCCGGAGAGAGAGAGAGAGTTGCTCTGCGCTTTGTCGATCTGTTGGTTCTCTCTCTTCTAATGTGAAATTCTTTCTTGTGTGTTGCCATTGTTTCGTCTGGTTCAAGGTTCAACGATGCCTTACAGGATAGAATTTAAAGGGAAAGCTGTGGGTAAAAGGTACTGCGATTGCCTTTTCTGCATGCTCTAAAAATGTTTGATCTAGAAATTTAGTGCTGATTTTGGGTGGTTGTATTGATAACTTTTGTAACTTTACGCCTTACTCGAAACATTCCAAAGGACAATGTAATTGTGGTGCAAGGTCGTGAAATCACGCAGTTCAGCCTTCAACTTCATTGTATAGATTCACACATAGCACCAAAAGCATTTACCCACAACTTCAACCCATTTCATTACCGGTCCTTCCCAACTTCAACAGTGGCAGACTGTGTAAGTATTCATTCCTAGAATATCACAACTTCTAAATCAGCCCTGTATAGAAGTTTATATAGCACATCGGTCACATTTTTCATTGCCAGATTCATCTTTTCATGATACGCCATTCACGCATAGTTGTTCACTTTAAGACTTTGCCTTCACACTCAATTTAAAGTAACAAATAGCATAGTGTGGAAATTTGCAACATAACGGTATCCTTTACAACTATGCTAAGTATTCCCTCTGAGCACATTGAGCTGCCATCAGCTGAAAATAACATTCTGAGAGGTCTGAAGCATAGTGGCTACCCAGTGCCAGCCCGGTCCTGACTTGTCATTGGAATTGATAATCACACCAGTGACCAGTCGACTGTGTGTGCGAGTCACTTGATTTTAATTTTCTCTGTTGCGATCTCGGTCCAGTCTCCCTGGATCAGGACTCAGACTGTTGAATTTAGGATGGGACATACCATAGGATCGACACGGTACTGGCCTTAAACTCCGCTTGATCTAATTAATGTTAGTCTGTCAGACTTCTGGGTGGCTGGCGGTCCTTAAATAGATAATAATTTCATCATGATTATAAAATAATTAAGGTACCCTAACACTGGTTTATCTTACATTTTGTTGTGTAAGGAGCAATTGGATACTTCATCCCACGTCCCATTGAATTAACGGGCTGTTTTCCGAATCCCCTGCCGTCAAAACGAGGGGTGGTGGGGTTCAATTTGTCAATACCCCCTGGTTCTGAGACAGTAGGATAGGGATATATGCGACTAAAGTGAGATTTAATGGGTTAAACAATGTCAGTTCACATCTCGTGTAACTATTTTATCTCGTAGTCCCGTCAATAGCGGATATTAACTGCCCTTACGTTACGGAAACAGCTCTGTGCTGTTATCAGCCGACTTGTTATAGTCACCCAGAAATAGTAGCTGCTAAAGCGTATTGTGCAGTGACCACTGACCAGTCATCACCTGGCATTGTATTCCATCAGCTGTAGCAATGATATAATTTTACTTCATTCCACCTTATATCACAGAAGTTTTGGCAGCATAAGTCACAAATTTCGCAATACCATTTCACAATACTAAAATGTAGTGTTAACCATTTCCTCATTTCAGGGCGATGGTACCGGGACCTGGTGATTACGCGGGATACAAGCAGCCGGGACAGGGGATGCCGGCTGTTTCAGTGGTGACGACGGTTTGGGGGAGCGTCCAGGCCCAGCCTGTCATAACCCAGACTCAGGGTACAGCTGTGTACCCCACTGCTAACCAGTACATGCAACCTGGCATGAAGAGGAGACCTCCTGGCCCTGGTTTCTATCCAGGTTAGTTTTACAGTCCTTGAATTGTTACTCTGGTTTTACTTTTCATTTTGCTTCAATATCGTACGTGTTCAATTTATCAGTCAGTTGAGATCTCTTAGTATTAAGTTTTATGATCTGGGACACAGGTATCTCTAACTGTTAATGGTGTAATCGTATTTTGTTCTGCCATATTCGTACAATCATATATATAATGTAATGACTGTTCGATCGTGATATTCTTTATGTTGTCCCTCTTTGTTGCAAAAACCTTTGTAGCACATTACTGATATTATATTCTCAGAGGATCGAACCATATTTGCGAGAAATATTGTAGTGCCAGTGGCCATATAGTTCTCAAAATGGCATTATTGTGATTGCGTAAATTGTAAATGCTTTTACGTCAAATAGAGCTGAATTTAAAAGCCTAATAGTCGTGCCTACAACACCACTACACATGATATAATATACAGTATTTCTCATGATAGTAAATGCTTAAATGCTTGCCACGTGTGTGTCAAAATATCCAGAGATAACCAACCTCTCCATTATCAGTTGCCAATCTATATACTTGAGTTAAATGTTGCAAATAACCCGTACACGCGTCATGTAAGAGCTCACTAGAGCTTCAAATTATATACTGAAGGGCAAGACGCCAATACTACAGATTTCGCTGTAATGTCGACTCACAGCGGCCTGTCCAGATGTAATGCACACACTTAAAACGAACACGTTATGGGAAACATAATGTATTGTTAAATGTTAATATGTACATAATAATATAATATTATATTGCTTATATATTTTATATTTATGAAATTTACGGTCGACAACAGCCTAGCAGTACACCCACTCCGCTCAAGAGCTGTTTAGCATACGATATATTATGATAAGGAGGACACTAATAATAATAATATGTACTCCTCAGAGTTCTGTGATTTGCTTGCCTTCAACATATGCTGTAAACGCAAAACAAGCATGACAATCTACCGAAAATTCACAATCCAGCCATCTCATGATACGCGCCAGCATAGCCAGCACAGGCTTGTTCGTGTGCAGCATCGAGCAACTCGAGTGTGTTACATATCATAGACACAAGTATCTCAGCTTGTATGAATACAGCCTCTGCAGAGGTGGTCCAGACTTTCGAGTTTGCAGGTTTAAATTTGGAGATCTCGTCTTCTTAGTGGTTGGTACAAGTTGTACACACAAGAAATGATTTATGTCAAGTTACTTCACTCGCTCTCTCTTTTCTAGTTCTGGCTTCATGTAATACTCCCAGCATTCCTGTAAATGTCCTGACTAGTGGTCCGCTCTCATCGCTCAGGGTGCTCTCTCTCTCTCTCTCTCTCTCTCTCTCTCTCTCTCTCTCTCTCTCTCTCTCTCTCTCTCTTTCTCTCTCTATATATATATATATATATCTATCTCTCTATCTCTCTCTCTCTCTCTCTCTCCAGCTCTCTCTCTCTCTCGCTCTCTTACTCCAACTCCACAACTGGTTACAAATACTAATCTCTTATAACTTGTATGCCATTTTGTATGCTGTGTAAATGAAAAGTGCAGCCTCAAAAGTGCTCTAATCCACTGCGAGAAACGTCGACCACTGAGGTACCTCCAACTGGGTCACGTGATCCACAACAGCCAATGACCGCCGAGAAGTGACGTGACAAGAACCAAATTCTCTAATCTACACATACTTCCAATAAAGTGGCAGTTTGCACCGCCCCTACCTTTAGTCGACTGTCCAACACATGTGTACAGACTACACTTTCAGATTTGTGGGAGCGTGCTTCTAGAACACCTCACAGTGTACCGCCACCCCCAATTACAGCACCAGGGGGGTGCAGGGTGTCTATAAGTGTGCTTCTCTCGCCACCACGCCGGCTCATGAACAAGCATTTAATTAAACGTTGATACATTTATCGGGTACCCAGTTGCAGGCTCTTGTCATTGAGGTGATGGAGTATAGACCATCAGTATTATTGTGGAAATGTTCCAGATCGATTTGATTAATTTACACGCGGGTCGCTTGGTGTAACATTACAGTCAGCGACTACACACCAATTGGCATGCTACGCCTAGATTTGCTCGGCTTTTGTATGCAAAATATGGGAAATTCGTCCTTTTCAGGCTCAACAAAGTTTTTATTGAATATATGATTTGCTTCACATCGAGATTTAAACTTCATACACTTAAAATCAAATTTTCTTAACCGCATACCGGGCAGTAAAATCCGGAAATGTCAGCTGATAATGAAGCAGGAGGCCGCTGAGTAGTGGGCGGCATATTATTCACTGACAAATACATTGTGAATTGAACACGTTTAAGGTTGAGTTCAAACCTTGATTGGAAGTCAATTTGTAATTTGAATTTATGCGAACAAGTAAAATTAACGGTTAATATCAAGCTATCGTTTCCTCAGACAGGGACACTGGATTTTCAATATATTCTCATTTCACGATCCGTGGTACCAGGCACCATTACAATATCCTGGGTTTTTAGCGGCAATCAAACGAAATTTTGTATATACCATTCCAAAGAATATGTTATGTGCAGGATAAAATTATAAAAATCAAGCAATATTCTGTCAAGGTTCTGACTGTTTGACCCGCTCTCAGCTCACTAACCCCGGTATATATAATGTTGCTTTATGTATGTAATATGCTATATAATTAAATATTTACCTTCATAAAACTGACAGGATGTTTTAGCAAGTTTGATGTGAAAGCTTTTAAACACTTACCATTTTGACAAATGGCTAAATATCCTCCGCACTGTACTTTATTACGGATGTGCATACTTTAGAAGGATATTGTATATATAATGCTTTAAGGATATTATATTATACTTAAAGAATGTTATTATATACTTTAAGGGATATAATAATATATGATTGTAATAAACTCCTAATATTATCGAATTTACCAATGCTCAAGGAGAGCAGTTTGTCATGAGCCACCAAATGATTAACGACTTTCATGAACACGGTCACAGGAACTAGGGACTTGCTTAACTCGTGGATATGATATTTTGTAACATTTTATCTAGAGCTAACCCACCAAGAGTATTAAAAGAGGGATGTATGTTACAGAACGGGGTAGAGAATTATTTTCCCGGGATCTACATAATATTGCAGTAGTATATCCCGTGAATTATAACGGCGGGACCTAAGAAGAAGCTCTGAAATCTGGATAATACTAGCTTTACATCCCCATGCTCTGGACACTAGAGTGATCAAAAAAGTACTGTTTTCATTGGGTAGAAAAGTATGTGGTTCATCCGGCTTTCAGCGGCTACTCACTGCACCACCTCTTTGATGATTAATTAATCGACTGAAACCCTTACATGTCGTCAATGTAAATATTGGACAACTCCAGATTTCTGTGGACCATTTTTGAATCTCATGGTGATTGGTGATTGGTGAGATGTCAATGACTTGCAGTATATAGTATTAATACCAGTCATCACTCTACATATCACAAGGTGTAGTACTGTAGTACAGTATAGATCTTTACAATGGTTAACAATAATGAGAGCACATCACTGTATTAGTATATATACTCTATATTATAACAACAGTCAATGGTTGTAGTTCTATAGTCGTGAGGAATGCATTACAACAAGCCCTCATCTGTATATAGTAAGTAGCTGGACTTAATTTCACTTTAACTCTCTCCCTCTCTTTCCCGATTATCCATTGTTATGCCGCCTTCCCATTGGTGCTTCACGGCTCTTAATCCCCACGCTGATTGGCTGAGCCCTGTCATGTGACTAGAATACTGCTTCCTGGTTGGACGGTTTCCCCGCTGCTTTGTGTCGATAGGATCGTGTGCCTAGCAGACAAGGAGGGGCCTCTCTCCAGCTGATTTTCCTGCACAGTTAAATTTATCTGCTCGCTGATTGGTGGAACGGACCCACGTGTCTTGTCAGCTCAATCCCCACTGGTCAAGAGACCTTCAGATTTTCCTCCCTGTGTTCAGTTTAATTCCTGCTAAAAGTCCGCTATAATATTTTAACCAAGTGTCAATGTGAGCAATAATATCATAATACGCACTTCCTCGTCCACTTGTTCGTGTGGTGGTGGGGAGGCTGTGCACGGTTCGTTAGAGGGGAAATGACACTTTGTGTATTGAAACTCCGCCAAACTCTCTCCGCTCAATTGATCGCTGATAATGAATTATCACGTAAAGCGGATGGATGACCGTGTATACCGTATGATTCATGGCAAACTTTAACCTCTTAATTTATGGCATATTATGAGTGCCCTTGAAGTGTTAAAACTTACTGCAAGACCCAAGTCTGGGATCATGATTAATGATCGGAAAGTAACCATTTTTGTTTCAATGAAAAGCAACCACAATCTCAAGGCATAGCCTAGGCCTAGGTCATGGGTAACCTTAACTTTAAAAATTTAACAGGCTAGATAATTATAAAAATGGCTACATCTTTAACTACATAATATTTATAACTTATTTACCATGGAGGTGATGTGTATTCAGCGTGTTTATATAGTATATATTATAATACAAACAGTTCATTTTATGTAAACACAAGACCACTAAAAACATGGAACTGAGAAGTTTGTTTGTTTATTTCATTTACGACAGATCTCATGTACATTCGTTACTTCTCGTGTTAATAAAAGTGAAGAAATATACTGTCGTTTTGTACTCCTACAGATATAAAGGATTGGAAGATAGTTCTTAAAATCTACAGTTAGATTTAGTCTTATATTCTCATTACAAGCTATTTCGTATTATAAAATGCATTTCCTTGGCCTTGGTCAGCTCGAAAGGATTACACTATGTCGTTGGGCTGTAACAAGCTCGCATAGTAAAAGGTAAATGAGAAGGAGAGAGAGAGTTAAAGAGAGAGAGAGAGTTAGAGAGAGAGAGAGAGAGAGAGAGAGAGAGAGAGAGAGAGAGAGAGAGAGAGAGAGAGAGAGAGAGAGAGAGAGAGAGAGAGAGAGAGAGAGAGAGAGAGAGAGAGAGAGAGAGAGAGAGAGAGAGAGAGAGAGAGAGAGAGAGAGAGAGAGAGAGAGAGAGAGAGAGAGAGAGAGAGAGAGAGAGAGAGAGAGAGAGAGAGAGAGAGAGAGAGAGAGAGAGAGAGAGAGAGAGAGAGAGAGAGAGAGAGAGAGAGAGAGAGAGAGAGAGAGAGAGAGAGAGAGAGAGAGAGAGAGAGAGAGAGTGGACATCAGTTAATTGCACCAAGACAATAACACAGAGGCTACAGTATTACGTCTCATGACTACTACTTCTGATCCAAGTGTTCAGCATCGTCATCATCATAATATTATGTCTTGTTACATGTAACTAGGGATATTATATATATGAGTCTAATCAAATTGAGCTTGAGTCTCGGACCAACAGAACTGTTGAATATAAACCACGGTTAACCATGGTGAGGAACAGGTGGACAATTGTCATGCAGTCGTATACTTATTGAGGGTTTGGAGGCTGTTTTTAATCTCATTGAAAATTATAGGCCATTTAGCAACTAATCTGGTGGATTCGTGTAATGTTATAGAGTCTCATGATTTGATAGTTCTTTCATTCAAATTTCTAATTGTTTCTGAATAGACTCAGTGAAGACAGATTCCAATGGAAATAAATAGCTGAATAACGTATCGACATTTAGCAACTATATAAATCCTAATTTAGCAACTATATAAATCGATGATAAATGATCAAACAAGATGATTTTGGAACAGATTGATAGTGCAAAGAAACACTTAAATTTATTGTATCAGTTAAGTCTCCGTCAGAGTAATTCTATTTCAAGAAGTATAATTGTAGTATCTAATATGGCATTCATTTCATTCTTCCAATAGTTTACCAAGTATTTTGATGACCCCATAGGTTTTGACATGTGTCTATATAAAAAGATAAAAACAAGGTTCATATAAAGCAATTGTTAATGTATTCAGACTTTATAGCTTAATAAGGTAATAGTGGGCCTCGCCAGTAATAATAGTACTTACACACGTTGTCGACGGAAATAGAAGTTCTCAGTATTAATTATTACTTTTACTAAAAAATGTAGATTTGACTAGAAGTCATATTTTATGAATAAAAATACGACTGCAATATTATAATTATAGTTTGATCTATGACAAGAAATTCGGTTCGGGTTTCTTCTGTTTTTGCTGATTCGGTTCGACAAAAAGTTTACCAAATTTCTTCTTCCTTGCAGCCAAGGTTTCAGTATTAGTTTCGAAACCTGGGCTGCCGTGAAGAGGAACGATAACTTCCAAGAAAAACGCTATCGCCTGGTTACGGTTCGGCAGAAATGCCCGATTCGGCAGAAGTTCCCGATTCGGCTGTATCCTAATTTGCATTTTACGCTGGAAACACGTACAGTGTAAACGGTTGTTACTTTGGTCAACAGATAAATATAATTAAGTGAGAGCTTCAGATCACACAGCCAACATTACCTGCCAAACCAGCTCTGATACCATGTCAATTTGCTACAAATGAGCGGACGAGTAGTAAACAGCCAATCAGCAAGCAGAGTAGAAGGGGAGAGCCAATAGGGGAGCCCCGTGTCACGACTTAGTTTTACTATAGGAAATAGGTCAAACACCTTTTGTTTTGGTGGGGGTTTGCGATATTAATGATATTATGTATACGTACTTCTGTAGGAACCCTAGCTTACTATTCACTTGTTACAGGGCATGTTATTTATAATAAAGCAGTTTTATGCACACTGCAGAAACTAAGAAATATAATTGTTTGGTCAACATTTTTTGATCTTTATTTAATGTACTTTCATTGAAAAGAGGAATTGTGGTTTGAGACATTATTCATCGCTATACACATTACATTTATGTATTTATCCCTTCATTGAAAAATTATTTTATTCATAACAAATTTTCCATAGAGAAGGAATTTTTAATCTTAATTCCGATGTAATAATTAATCGTATTACACGATACAGACCAGTTTCTAAAATCAATCAACCTTGTCAGGAATGATTTTAATTTATCAAGAATCTAGTTTTGACTTATAATAATGGGGGGAATTCCCCTCATTATTGTGTCAACATTTCTGCGGATAGCCAAATTGCCAATAATCTATATATCTAATTGTGACAGTAATTTCAACTTACTCGGCAGAAAATTAAGTACATGGGTAGAACAAACCTTGACCTGGAAACCTTTTTGCCTGAACAAGAGCAATTATAACTGCACATCCACATATTTTGTGAACAAACTGATCTGCACAAAATTGTATGTTGTCTGCACACTAAACTTTTCTCAAGGCATGATTCAGCAAATGATAACCAGGAATGAATACGATATGCTTTCGTAAACAAAGAAAGCTATCGCGATCAATTCATCTGAAATATTCCGAATTTGTCAACAAAATTCAGTTGATTTAGGGTTTTAATTTCTAAGAAAAGGCTGTTGTGGACAATGCAATAGTTTTAAAATTCCTCGCACTATCGCCTCATTTCAAACGATCCCGGTTGCCTCCCCCGTACTGAGATCAAATACTTTCCTAAATTAATGAAAAATCACATAAAATTTATCCACCTAAACCTCGAGTACCCCGCACACTAAAAACAAAATAGTTAATTATAGCACTCACAATATTATAAATAACATACTCTAGCGCTCTACAGCAGCTCACTTGTAAGTTTTTGTCATAGTACATACCTGATATATTAGCGAAGCAGCGGAGAGCGTCCAGTGTCCGTGCTTTGCTGGGCTGCTGTACTACTAGAATTTAATACTATTAGTTAATGACAGATGATCGGCCGCAGTTAGCTGTAGTAGTCGTACTGTGTATTTGTACATTAGCCAATTTATACTCCTGGTATTATACTGGATCAGCTCTGATTTCCTGGACGAATTATTCGACGTATAAAACTTATAGAACATTTGAACTGTAAAAGATACATGATGATGATCTGATTGATTGCATCTAATCTCACACACACACACACACACACACGTCACACACACACACACACACACACACATGCTCTCGTGTACAATGGGTTTTCTTTTGAAATCGGAGTTAATTTGATGAGATTTCAGAAAGAGGGCATATATATAAAATTTGGGGGCACAACCAGCAATTGGTCGGCACTACGCGTGATCCAGGGGAGAGCAGCTCTCTTCAGTATTCGTGGTTTAACAGCACAAGCGCTGTTTTCTAATATTTTGGAAACTAAAATCAGCTGTATTCTGTATTATATAAGTCACGACGTTTTAACCGGTTTCACCTCTTTGACGTGGGTACTGGTGTGGATACCAGTTACACCACCCCTTTGAAACTGGTTTTTCAGCGTGTCAGCGTTATATCTGACTCAAGAAATGTATATAATAATACTTATAATGGTGCCCCAAATTAGTTATCTAGTATATTATTATTGAGCTGCTTTACGCGGGCACGGAGAACTGATTACGGTTGAGCTTGTTCATAAATCACAGTAAACGATGTAACTAATAGATGGATATTAGAGATTAAATACTATAGCTAATAATACAATAATAAGAATTTTGCAAGAATGATCAACTAACAGGCTTGAAGATGTTGCAATAATATCGCTCCAGGACAAAAGCCCACTTATTGTTTTGTTTCAACACATTATTCAATGGGGAAACCGCCCTTTACCTTTAGTGACTGTAAATGTAAACCGCCCTTTAGCTTTAGTGACTGTAAATGTGCAACATAACTAATATCATAATTTTACGATAATTAATTAATAAGTGAATGTCGATTATTTCGACCAAAAAGATATCCGTGACGTCGAAATTTTGTTATAGGCAAATTCACTGTCAAGATTTCATAGATTTTGTCCACGGCGATTGAAAGTTAAATAGTGTTCATGTGAGTTGATGTTGGGTTTCTGAAACTCTGACGTCTATCGCTTGGATTCCTTCCCTTCCAAAGATCATTCTTGAATAATTACTAGATTATTCTTGAATTACTAAATAATTATATATCATATTATAATAAAACATAATAATCTCGCATTATTATAATTGATTATAATCGCAGGCGGTCAACAAGTCGGAGGATACCCACAACAGGGACCAAGGGAGATGTTCATAATGCAGCAGCAGGGACAGCAGGTATGCGTAAGTTACTACTCTATCCCCACTTGTTATTGTGATTGGTAGCACTATGCGCGTTACTTATATTGTACAAAATATAGTAATTTGTTTGAGCATAAGTCTTTGTTACGAAGTGAAGTAGATTACTTGCTGCCACCGAGCTAGTCAATAAGGTCTAATACTCGCCGTATCGTGAACTCGTTATTAGCAACAGTAGGTTCGCCACATGCTGATCACATAAATCTGATACTAGATAGCGTCATGATAATTGAGAACTCTTTCTCTTCTTCCAGCCTAGCCAGCTTCACAAAACAGGAGCATCAGCTCGGCTGTATAAACTGCAAAGGAGTTTTAACTAAATACACTAATTATAGTGTCTCGCTAAACGTTTGACCACATGGCAGCAGCGCTCTCCCAGCCCCTAAACACACTGCAAGTTAACGTCTAGGCTTAACCTGCACTACGTAAATCACTCTATAGAGACATACAGTACAACTCCTCTAAGATGCTCAATTAATGTGAGCTTCGTTGGTGTAACAATGAATAACTAGTTACTGATCAGATCCTCTCTCTTTTACATGTTCGCAGAGGCCATAAACACGATCCAGTTACAGATATGATACGCTCTCTCTCTTTCTCTCTCTCTCATCTAGAATTCAGATCTAGCACTCATTATAATGACAGTGATTTAGAGTAAAATAACTGGCCTAGACAAGAGCAGGTGCTGGTTTATATATATTTTAAAGGGAGAACATTTTTTGTTGCAATTACTACATGAGGTGTGTCTCTCTCTCTGCCTCTCTCTCTCTCTCTCTCTCTCTGCAACGAGTATTGTTATTCAAGTTGTTGCTGAGGGTGTACTGTTCAAATAATAGAGCTAGAATTATCAGTGTTATCATAATGGGAGCGTTACTGTTTTGAATGTAAGCTTACTCACAAAAGATTTGAATCCTCGTAATGATGTTGTTGGGCGGCAATCCATGGAGTGCTATATATTAATTTTACGGAGAGTATTATATAATATAGTAGACGCCAGACAATGAGTGTTAAAGAAATTGTTCTGGTCTACATAATTTTATGATTGTTATATCAGCTATCCGGTGTGGAGGTTCAACCAGAACTTTCGTACAGACAACTAAATCTTAGTTCTGTGTAAATGGAATAGTCAGCTGCAGTATGTTAAATTGTTACAATTTTCAGATGGGCAATCCAGCAGCAGCAGCGGCGGCAGCTGCAGTTGCAGCGGCTGCAGCGACTGCAACTGCAACGGCTACAGCTACGGCCACAGCAGCCCTCCAAAATGAAGCCCCTCCTCAGCAGCAGGACCAAGGGTACGTAGTTAAAACAGCTGCTCTCATTTTGCATTTTACCATAAATTTAAAATGTAAACAATTCACCTTTCTTCTTAGATCTTCAAATGATGATAAATTAAGTTTGGTAAATAATATTCCACCACCTAACAGGTTCCTTAACAGGCAGCAACAAGGTCAGTTTAACCAAGCCGGCCCTGGAGGGGAGCAGCAAGGAGAGTTTGGACCCCAGGGTGGAGGACAGAACCAGGATGGTTACAATTTCTACCCCAACTCACAACAAGGACCTCCCCAACAAGGCCAGCAGGCCGGACAGTACTCTGGCCCCTTCCCTCATCCACCCTACCCCAACCACACTGTTAACCCCGGACACCCTGGTTACAACCGGGTTCCTACTGACACTGTGAGTAGTTTTGTAGTTTTAATTATATTCGTTCATGTCAAATTCTACCACCCGAGCAGTGGTTGCAAAATGCATTATAAATTGCTCATATTTTGTTTTTAAAACAATTAGAGCCAACCTCTTAATCACTTATGTGCGTCATATAATATTATGTTTCATGTATTTGACACTTAATGCTTGTTTTTAGGTACCACCACCACAGAAAGCTCCGATGGAGTACCCAGGACAATTGAAACAGATCGAGCGACAACACAACCACTTCTACAACCCGTCCGTCCAACAGTACCCGGGCCCTCAGAGCTACATGCCACCTCCTGGACACCCCGGACATCCCGGACACCCTGGCCATCCCGCACATCCTGGACATCCGGGTCATCCTGGACATCCTGTTCACCCTGGACATCCACCTCATCCCGGACACCCTGGACATCCCGGACACATGTACAATAACCCCAACATTAACCACGTGAGTTCACCTTTTCTTCTTCCATGAAAGATTCTGTTGTAGAGCAGACTTGCGAATGGAACTTGTTGTTATACTGCTTTGGTTAATTACCTGAGAGTCTTTCCTGCTCAGCTGTTGGAGGTTACAAGGTTTTGTTACATCCTTGTAGCTTGTGTGATCACATTTTATTTATTTCCGTTCGTTTTATCACTGTTTGTCGAATGTTCGGTTCCCTACCATTATTAAATCACACTGTGCAACCCACCATTGTTACCGTTATCAGTTGTAAAGGTGTCACTTGTGTGCCACATACTTCACATTACTCAAAAACACAATACGTCGGATGGTAATTACTGTCATCAGAACTCTCTCCATTCATTTTCTCGATGTCAACATCGATCCTCAGTCTGACTCTCAATAATAGATAATAGCTGTCATTCAGACATCAGTTACCCCCAAACTGGATACATATTTTGGTTCAAGTCATTGCTGTAGCATTCAAAATATGATACGTTTAAATCGGGTACTCCGTATCTACGTGGGCTGTTTGTAGCAGGATCCAGTATCAGATGTCGTTTGGAGCAGGTTATGATTTGATTTGAATAAATCAGGACAGTCAATGAGTCTGCATTCGCTCTTCACAGAGAGAGCACGTAAAAGAGAGAGAGAGAGAGAGAGAGAGAGAGAGAGAGAGAGAGAGAGAGAGAGAGAGAGAGAGAGAGAGAGAGAGAGAGAGAGAGAGAGAGAGAGAGAGAGAGAGAGAGAGAGAGAGAGAGAGAGAGAGAGAGAGAGAGAGAGAGAGAGAGAGAGAGAGAGAGAGAGAGAGAGAGAGAGAGAGAGAGAGAGAGAGAGAGAAAGAGTGGTCACCGAGGGGGATCTAGAAGATAACCTGCTACTTTTGCCAAGGCACGTGCCTCTAAAAACCGAATGACATAATTATTGGTTGTTATTCGATATTCTAAATTCATTAACCCGAACTCTCTCTCCAAATAAAGTGAGCACTGATAACCGAACTTTGTTTGCGAGTGTTAAAAAGTTTCAACGTCGTCAAAAAGAATGTACGGAACCTTTTGCTTTGGGAGTGTTCGACGTTTATAAATTCCAAGCAGCAATTAAAAGTTTGAAACACGAGAATAACTATACCAACGAGAGATATTTATAAATATCCATGTATTATGAGCGTGTTAAGTCATTAAGTGTAAACATTACCTAATGAACGGTGAGATAGACCTCAAAAGACAGAACTTTAGCCTCAAGTTGGCGTGTAGAGTGATCACGGAGCCCGCTCGTGCTGGGCTGTGTTATCTGAGATGTCCAGTGAGAAAGACTAAAAAAGAGATGACTGATTGGTAAATGATGATCGATCTTAATCTTTGACTTATTAGAAAGAATCTGTGTAGTATGTGGTTTGGAAAGTGATACTTGTTTCAAGTTGATTGTTACGTTATTTGTTGCCACGGTCAAAGACATATTTTATTCTTATCAACAACTTTTTCCATCTCTATTTGGTTCCTAAATACCAACTTCGTGTCGCAGAACCGAGATCACAACCAACATTCCGATTATCAATATATTCTCACGAGAAAAGGAATTTGCGATATCAGTTCCGATGTGTTAATCAATGACAGGGTTGTGAGCAACTGCCGTGTTATAATTGTCATAATTATGACACTTCTCATTGCTTCCTCCTGAGATCCTAGTGCTCATTATGCCAGAAAGAAAGGTTACAAGGGAGACAAGAACACAATAATTCACCTGCAGTCCAGTGCGTGTTGGAAATTTAATATCGGTTCTACACTTGTCAAATTTGATTATACTTACTGTACTAGATGGGCGGGAGAGAGAGAGAGAGAGAGAGAGAGAGAGAGAGAGAGAGAGAGAGAGAGAAAAAGATTGAGGTTTACTTTAAGCTCAGCTGCATTCCAGAGGCGCGGGCTGCCCGGACCAGCAGAGTGTTCTGAGCCGGAACGTGTGGTTCAGGGCTGGTAGAGCGCAACGTGCCGCACGTGGCATTTCTGGAATGTTACGAACTTCAAACGATGTGAACTCCTATCTACTAGGTTCCTGGGTAATTACCGACCAGTTCGCCCTGGATATTATTGAATTTCTGGTTGCATTAATGCCGTATTGTTTTTAAAATGTTACCATACCTGCCAGACCTGAAGGAAAAGTGAGATAAGTCTAGGAAAACCCCTAACTGGTCCCATCCACATGAAGTCGTCTTAAGTCATCCTGTTTTATAGTCGGAGCTTGTCCTGCATCTAAATTAGATCCTTTATTATCGACTATAGTCGACGTGTTGCTGTCCAGGGTACGACTGCTTCCAAACTGGAATCCGTTTATTTTCCGTCCACACTATAACAGAGCAGGCAGTGTTACGATATCACTATCAGTACTAGCCTGAAATTTGGCTATGAGTATGACAAGTAGGTTGTGTGTTGAGAAAGGAGAGAGAGAGAGAGAGAGAGAGAGAGAGAGAGAGAGCTGAGCTTGGAGAGAAGGGTGTGTCTAGTACTCTACTCCGACAGGAGCAGATCATGTTCCGGAGTCATAGGAGTTCCTCTGCTCTCTCTAGTAGAAGTAATGGAATTTGTGTCACTTGTCCTTCCGGGAAACACGTCTTGACGATACATTCCAGGAGTATCAAAGATTAGCTTGACTAAACGGTTTTCTTTTTATCAATTTTTGGTAATAATACGTCCAGATTGTAGTACAAAAGCTTGGCGCACGTGATTTCCCGATTTGGCATAGCGTGAGTTGTGTTAATTAAGTACCGGATAAGAAGCAGCACTTCTCTCCAGATGATGTAATGGGGTGTGGGACGACAGGGAAGGAGGCAGGATACGTATCTCATAATTATTAAATTTTAGGGATTTTATGCAGTATGCGCATAGGCTGAGTATACATAATTATCATATTGTAATGATATTATTATCATCATGAGATATGATTGGCCGAGTGTTAATTCATGATGCAAACTCAAACATTACGCTAACATTGGACGGCTTCATGTGCTACAATATACATATAATAACATTATGTACAGGTTTATGCGCGCTGTACACAGTAATTTCCGCTGCCCTGTACACGAAATAAATACTAAAGTCGGTGATAATTAAACATGTCGTGGTGGGTTGGTGGTTAACATTGTTGAGATTGTGTGTCGCGTGTGTGTGTGTGTGTGTGTTTAGAGTTCCGGTAAATGAATATAATGCGAGCTATGTTTGTTGTGATCCTCTTCCTCCTCCTCAGCTCGTACACTGTTGTACACTCTGCACAAATTATCTCCAGTTAAGTCATTTCCATGTTCCTAATGTATTGAACTTGTCCAATGTTATGCACAAACACGCACTTACCTCCTCCACCACTCCTTCAATTTACACCACATTTACTGTGCGCAATTTACCCAATTTTTATCCCGTCCACTCAGCATTTTTTCATACATTTGGCAAAATAACAATGTGCAATGTTGAAAAGATCACGCAGATCACAGATGGTTTATGTACTACCAGAATATCCTCCAATTTCTCTCTATCCCACAAAAATACGACCAGTTCTCGTATCAATCATGAACTTGCCACTCCATATCATCATCACGGTTCGCTCATTTGTCGTCTTATAAGTAGAAAGACGCGCCCTAACAATCCCCGACGTAAAACAAAACTTTTGTCACTTCTCTCTCTCAAAATGCCTGTCCGGTATTTGCGCGGACCATTATATGTTATGCAGTATACTTATGAGCATTATATGTTTAGTTGCCATAACGATTATGTATAATAAGCGTATGCACATAATATACAAATTCCGGGAGGATGAGGTGGTGAAGCTGTACATGGAACGTGGCTTGCAGATCCTCCTCGAGATGGGAGTATATAGTAATAATAATTTAATTGTTCGAGCTTGTTCTATATAATGGCACACACTCGCACGGACCTATAAAGCACCACGTATAACATTATATATACTTTTGTTGTATATAATATATTATATAAAATATATTGTGTATTTTCTGATTTTTTAGAACAAGAGGACAGATGGCTGAGTTGTGTAAATGAAGTGACCAGAAAGCACATTTTTTGGTACGGATACTCGGCGAGTGATGACTGGTTTTGCCTATTTTTATAGGATATGAAATACTCTAAATAAAGAAGACCTCCTGTAAAATTGAGCTTTATTAGCTTCAATCATTATACGGCACGCGTTAGCCTGCTCCAGGATAAGTCACTGAAATTGAGAGAACAATAATTAGTAATCACCCGAACTAAATTTAACTAAATTTAACTAAACTTTACTCGGCTGACCTGCAGTTTGATCTTGTTGAGAGGATTTACAACTAAATGTCTCTCTGAAACTCTATTCAAACAACGTGCCTCTCTCCCTCCCGCGCTGACATATAAAGATAATAAGCTATACAATAACTTATATAACATAACATAACATACAATGTGGTTTAAATATGTAGGCGAAGTGTCGGATAATGCAATGTTTTACTGTTGCCGATTACTGGGAGGTGCAGCTCTACTACTACTGGTAGTTTGATCAAGAGAGATTTGTACAGTGCCAGCAGGTGTTATGGGTCACGTGGTGCCCCCTCCTCGCCTCTCATTGGTCCGCGCTTCTTTCTCTCTTCTCTGATTGGACAAGGGTGGACAGATAAGTGGGCTTTGTACAGTTATAAAGTGAAATTTAAGAAGCGTGCCTGGTGAGTCGTATATATATTTTACTGTTAGAGGCTCTGGTGGGGGATAACGTTAAATGTTCCATTGTTATGGCTATTATATAATGATATATTTGCTAAAACTTGGAACATGACAAGAGACCAATATAGCGGGACTAGGGACTACGCAGTAAGAAAGTGTCGTTTATTATGTAGACGACAGAGAGAGAGAGGAGGCATTACATAATGGGATGGACAACTTGATATTTCCTTTGTTATAAACATAAGAGTTACCTTATAACTTTATAAAGGGGCTGATTCATTGTGCTTAATTAGCTTGAAAAAGTATAGCGATTATCGTAAAAGAGTTTACTACATAGTACTACTATGCAATGATAATGTTACATACTATTCTTTGGACGCTGTCTTGACTAAGGCTTTAGCTGGCCGTCTCTCTCTATAAAAAGTAACGCAAATGTTTATCGTTTTGCTTTATCATTACAATTATTTTACATGCGCTATAATGCGTGTGACAAGCTAAGCTGCCAGGCCAGCTCACCCCAAAACTAGACGAGAATCACGAGAAACGCGTCTGGAAAAACCTCTCCATAATCCATTGTACCCCTTACCCATCACCGCACTGTCCTAACTCACTCGCTCTCTCTCCGAATAAAACACTTGACTCGAATAAAACACAGCGGACACTGTATATATAATACATTAAATTTAATTGGATATGAACGGCTGCTACATTTTATGTGATACACCAATATATTATATATAATGTTATAATATATACTCCACAAGACACACAAGGTACTACTGTTCTCCCTCTTATCTGGCGGATTGTCAACACCACAGTCAACGGTCAGGGTCGCTCGTTTAACATGCTGAACAGAGCAGCACTGCGCAGGAGACTGTCAACAGGACCTAGCAGAGAGGGAGAGGAGAGGGAGAGAGAGGGAGAGAGGGAGAGTGGATAAAATACGTGTACTCACCCCCACATCTAGCACCTTGTTAACCCACACTTAATGCGCTGCACTGCTATTATACTGCTGCCCCGGACGGCTTCTAACTGGATAAACCTATAAACTGCACGGAAAATCTGGAGGACCCTTATTTGGTGGGAGTGCCAGCAGTGGAAACTTCCGAAAACCTGGATATTGAGCTATGGAGCCTTTAAAACGGTGACCATTGAGTCAAATATTGAGCCTTGTTTCTTTGGAATCGTTTGCGGAGCATTTACTTTTGCCATTTATACCTAAAATCTCAAAAGTGATGACAAAGAAAACGGCGTTAATTGCAGTGATTCCTCCAACTGGTTCTGCTGAATTCCCGAAGCTAATATACCAACGTAAATTGCACCAATTATTCTTGATTTTTAGAACATTTGACTGGATGAATGAAGCTGCCCCGCATTTAAATCACCGTGAGACAAACATGTATAATGTCCTTGTATTTCAGTCTATTTTCTGTCGATGACGTGTCTCGTCGACCTTCTTAGAAGCAACGCTTCTTATCAAGCCTATTACTCATGTTGACAGATTCTTGATTATTCTAGAATGTTAATTTTAATGGAGGATGGCCATGAACCGCTCCGCTAACCTTTCCTATTTCGCAGCCATTTCTCAAACTTGTAATTATAAAATGGTTTCATAGTTCAGGTGTCCCCCCCCCCCCCCCTCCCACCACACTTCCAATTTTCGGGGTAATTTGTAAACCAGTAAAACCAACAAGTTGAATTCTCAGAACCATAAAAACTGTGAGCAATTGATTATTGGCATCTGGAAAACGTTAAGAAAGAAAACGTGTCAAGTGTCAATAGATGACAAACGTTCTCTCTGTGTTAAGTTTAACAATTTAGGCTGGTGACCTAGACATTTTCGATAAGAAACCAATAGAAAAGGGCAATATGCCAAAAAATATGGCTCTTGATTTAATCACGTGTATTATCGCCTTTTGAAAAGTGTTATTGTGTACGGAGTATATATTATGGTCACTTTAGAGTTTGCCTTGTCCAGATGTAAGTACCAAAATAGACCAAATTTAGCTTGGTAAGCTATTTGGAGGTCTAACACCCTTCCTAATTACTTTGATACTTTGATGAGGTTTAGTAAAAAGAGTCAGGGCCATTGTACTCCACATATAGACATTAAACTACATCCCAGTTTAATTTAACAATTTACTGCATGGTGTACTGTATCCTGGGCCGTTCCGATACTTTTACTATCCAATATCTGGCTTACATGATTTATGGCCTGATTTATGACCTAGGAAGAAGATTCCACGGTTCGGCAACTCGTACAGAAAAGGAGTTCTCGTAGAGGGTCTGGTCAGACGAAGGACAGCTTTTCTCAGACTCCAAGACGGTGATGATCATATTATCTTGATTATATCTCACCTAATGGCTAAACCTTTTCAACAAGTATGCAAATGGGCAAGGCAAACTTTAATTGACCAATGACCATAGAGTACTAAATCACTCAGCTGAGCTATTGATCGGCATCCTTTTAATAGATCATTTAGATCTTCTTATCTCGCTTTGCAGAACCACAAAATTGTTTTGCAGGATTCCAAAATTTCGTGGAATCGACTTTCGAGGTAATATTCCAAAAGGAGATTTTGTTCAACTTTAGTACGCAACTTATTTTCGGCCTGAAAATATAAGGTGTGCTGTTGAACCAGATTTCCATTGGCTGAGCCACACTTCATATGCTGAATATTCATCAATCTTATTGGTTACATGCTGAATCCGTGCGTTGAGTATCATATTGTTCGGTTGGAGTGCGAAGTGTAAAGCTTTATAATAATCAGGAGGGACCTGGCACTGTATCCTGTGTACAATGCGCTGCAAATATATATTACATGTATATATAAATATATATTATATATTATATATATATTATGTATCTATACAGAGTAATTTTTGTTACTACAGCCTTTGGAGAAATCTAGACACATTTTGGAGAGTTAAAAGTGAGCATAATAAATTTGTAACAGGCTGCAACTCATGCATCTTTATTGGATTAGACGTGCATTGTGTGTCCATTAACCTTCCAATTGAGCTTTTCTCCTTCCTAAATCAACCTTTGAATAAGCAAAAGTTATATTATAATAGCGTTTATTGTTCGGTTTCATGGTAAGATACCTCCGGTAAGTGGGTATTGATGGAAGCGTGGCATTAACAAAGCTAAACTGCATTCCGCAAAAGCTTATTAAAACAGTACAAAATTATAGCCGTACTGGGTCCAATCTGCCGTAAAAGAAAATATTTGAATATACGTTCGTGTATGACGTCCATTATGTGTGAATATTTGAATATTTTACCCATCTTGTACTACTGATAATACCCGCATTTTCTTCCCTTTGAGAAGTTTGTACTAAAATATTCTCCATTAGACATTAATAATACGAAGTGCAATGGATTTCTCCCTTTGACCGTGTATTAACACCGTTCCTCTCCCGGGTCCGAGTCCTGTGTCACATTTGAAAGATCAGGCACCGAGCGTGGAGCTCTCTCTCACAGGATTGGTCGGTAAAAGGAGAAACGGACTGTTCATTGGCCAGAAAAACCCGGGTGTTTACGTGAACCCATAGAAAAGCAACTCTAAATTGATAAGTACTGTCTCATAACAAATATACCGAGTTCTAGAATTACGCTAATTGTGAGCCGAAATTTAAGCGTGAACAACGACTTCACCTGCGTAATCACTAACCCGACAACTCTGCCGCGGGTAGTTGTGGTTCTAAATGTCTCCCTACGTCAAACCAAATCCAGTGGTCGCCCTGTTACAGATCTGAGCAGATTTACTCGTGCGTCCATGCCAGTAAGTCTTCTCTCTAACACACTTCAACCCTCTGAAAGGGAGGGATAAAGGGAGAGAGAGAGAGGACAGATGGTAGAGATAGAGAGAAACATTTAAAACAAATTTTAGCTCCATGGCTGATCAAGGGCGAGACGTTTATTCGTATAGTAGGTATAATAAAGCTTTGTCTGTCAGGGTAGCACGCGGTTCCCAGAACAATCAACATTTGCTGAACGTGCTCTTGTTAACTATCTCCACACCCTTCATCAGTACACCACTTTAACATTCCGCGTTCCTGTTATTAACATAAGTTCAAACCTTGCCTGGTTACGGTTCATGCTTTTATATTCATATGGAAAAGGTTTATTCATGCAGCGTTAACATAAACTGTAAGTTGTAACTGTAAGTTGTAACTGTAACTGTAACTGTAACTGTAACTGTAACTGTAACTGTAACTGTAACTGTAACTGTAACTGTAACTGTCAACCTAAACTGTTCCCTCCTCAGGAAGGACCGCGACCTGGCTACGTAGGACCACCCCCTCACCAAGGACAGGGAGTGTACCCCGGTATGATGCCGGGGGGCATGCCCCCACAAAACAGTCTAGTATCCCAGCTACCCTCATCTCTGGTTCCTCCCAACCAGCACATGTACCCTCCAGACATTAAACCGGATATTAAACCCATCATCAATCCGGACGGTTAGTTTAACTCCCGCTATCCAGGTTTATAATCTATTATATATATTATATATATATCGGGTATTTCTAGTAGTAGTTTTAACCAAATCAATTATGAGAGTTCCCAATATGATCTTATTGAGTTGTACGGTGTGTGACTACTGACTATCCTCTCATTTAACTTTTGTTATATGCTTATATTTATTATAGTTTATAGAGTACCGGCCTAAACTTGCCGGAGATGTAATTATGAGCTTCAGCAAAAAGTTAATGACAGACCTAATATTCGCGACGTTTAGCGTAACGCGTGCTATTTTTTATGGGTTTAAGAACAAGTATATTAGATTGTTGCTTAATTTGTAGCTTAACTATGTAGTTTTACGAAAGTAGGTGATGTAGCATAGTATCTCTGCCAGGGAAACATAAATAGTGAGCTTGTTCTGCGGAAATAGTGGAGCATAATAACAATAGTTAAGCAACAATCACAATGAATGGAAATACCTATAATTAATAATTTGCCACGTTGCTTAGCAGACTTTTAATCTGGACTAATCTAATGAATACATTGATTCACGATTACTTTGCTGCACGTCTTATTCGATTGATCTAGCGGTCACAGGATTATAAATTCAATCTCAACTTGTGGTTACAATTGTGGGAAATTGTCTCAATCTTTTAAGCAGAAAACAGAATTGCCATTGTGTCACGGGGTTCTAGAAGTGGCTTGCTCCGTTTATTATTTTTCGAGTTTACGTGAAACGATTACACAGAGATCTGTGAATTGTAAACAATTAAAAATTGCCGTCAAAATTTATACACTTAAATTCTGGACACGACAAGAAAAGAAGTGTCTCGTCTCCTTAATCTCTAAAAATAGCTCAGCTGGAATATGTTTTCACTTCTCACGTGATTATTAGTAGTGAATTACGGCACAATATCCGATACATGTAATAATAATAATTCTCTCTCTCTCTCTCTCTCTCTCTCTCTCTCTCTCTCTCTCTCTCTCTCTCTCTCTCTCTCTCTCTCTCTCTCTCTCTCTCTCTCTCTCTCTCTCTCTCTCTTTCTCTCTCTCTCTCTCTCTCTCTCTCTCTCTCTCTCTCTCTCTCTCTCTCTCTCTCTCTCCCTCTCTCCCTCTCCCTCTCTCTAAGTCTGATGACAAGTTGAGCACATACAACTACAAGACATTTTGGTACTTCGAAAACTGGGCTTTAGTAATTTTACGCACTTATGAAGCGTGCCTGAGAACCTTGAGTTGGTAGTATTAATATTATTATGCACTGGGTACGCATGTTTAACTTGTAACTACGTTAAACGGAGTTAACCGTAACGCGAACTTGAAAATAATGTTAATGTAAGTTATACCTATTTTGTAAACAAATTGGTAAATTATTGAGTGTCAGCCCGCTATGTTTATAAATATAAAATAAGTATTAATAGTTGTAATTATGTCTTCAGTTTGAGGATACAGATGGCAAAGTAGCAGTAGTTAAAATAACCTTGCTCGAGTTATAGTCACGTTTAGGTTTTAATTAATGTATTTTTTAAAAGTATGTCGGGCACTCACCCAAACCCATTTAACTGTAAAAAATAAATTTATCCATTATCCAACACACTAACCCTCCCTCCCTTTCTCAGAAGAAGGACCCAGGTTCACCTTCCCCAGAGAGGACCACTGTCTCCTTCCCGCCTTCAAATTGGAACATGATAACCCCAACATGGTCCGAGAGTTCATCCTCAACAAGGACATGTACCAGCAGCTCTTCTCCAAGTATGTACATTTTCTAACTTCTCCAAGTATGCACTTTTTCTAACTTCTCCAACTATGTACATTTTCTAACTTCTCCAAGTATGTACATTTTCTAACTTCTAAAAGTATGTACATTTTCTAACTTCTCCAAGTATACACATTTTCTAACTTCTCCAAGTATGTACATTTTCAAACTTCTCCAAGTATGCACATTTTCAACTTTGTTTTCGTTTCCAGTGCAGCGCCGTGAGTTTTTATCGAATCGCGCGTTTTTTATTAGAAATTTAACTGCCACTTAGTTGGATGTTACCATGATGGCCTAACGCAATTTAAGACAAGAGAACAGCAGCTGTTAAACGTCTACCTGTTGCGAGTTTTATTCACCGAATACACGCTCTCCTGTTCCCACTTAAACACTTAGACTCGATTGAAAATACAGAAATCTCGGGTTGAGGTGTCAACCATCGACGTTTACCCCGGTTTGCCCTATTTAGAGAAATTAAATTCACGTCAGTCCCCGACTGGAGATCTTTAACAGAATTAGTGTTTTCTGGCAGCTCTCGCTATTTCACAATAATACCATATTTTTCGGTGTGGAAATTGGGTCCCCCTCCTCAATTCTCAAAGTATGTCTTTAATTAAATGATAATAAATGAATTTCATTACATTTAGAATATGATAAACGGAGATCATTGTCCAGGATGAATGACAAGGGCCATCTCTTATTATAAAACTATATATTTGTACACCACCCGGATGAAATAATGAAGTTTGAAACTGCACTTCTCATCTGTAGACCATAACGTCATAATATAGCCACTCAAAATTCCTGCCAATTTGGTTGATATATATTATATATAACAAGGAATGACAGCGCATACCAACATTAAACTAGGATTATTCCATTTTAACAGCTGATAATGATCTCGAATTGGGGCACCTTGCTGGGAAATCCTGTAATCAGGGTACAAAAGCCGCATCGGATTGGCGTGTAATGAATTTGTCCTTTGTGCTGAACATTACAAATACCATGCCAATATGGCTGTCTACACTCTCTAATTAAATTCCTAAAGCTCTGATCTTATTATCAAATTCTTATCCGACACATCCAATATATTCATCACGGGCCGAACATTTCAGCTGTGCAAATTATCCTTGTTTTACAAAGTACTAGTTGATCGAACTGTTCTCTCTCCTGGTAGAGATTCTATTAATAGCACTGACGCTTACGTCTGCTTAAAAGAAGCTACAAGTCAGCCCGCCGAGCCGCTGCCACGGAACCACCGTACCGCCTACTTCACTCTTCGTATTATGTAAAGCCACACATAATTAACGAAAATTAGATTGAATTAAGTATGTATAATGTTATAATGTAACATCGCACGGCGGCTGGCTGTGCTGATAGTCGTATACCTGCCTTCTCCTCCGGGGGAAGAGAGAAGATTACTCAAGGAAACAAAAACCGCCGCTCACCAACACTGATAATTGTACTGTTTCTACGTAGCGTAATAACCAGTAAGTGAGGATTACTCTACTGTTACGAGGTGATATTATAATCTGTATTCTGTATTTTAAAATGATGTATATTATGTTATGCTGTTCAGTGCTCACATTATTATTTGTCAAACTTACTGTACATGTTGTAACTGAGCACGTTCCATGGTAAGTTTTTATGTAATAACCCGATATCACGTAGTACGCTTAAGGGGAGATACACCAAAACCGTTTTTGCTCCGAACATCGATTTTATTTTATATTATTTTTAAATAGACAAAAAGAATAAGATTGTACACCTTCAAAAATTTTTAAAAATATTCCCTCATCGAGAAAAAAAATATTTTTTTCTCGATGAGGGAATATTTTTAAAAATTTTTGAAGGTGTACAATCTTATTCTTTTTGTCTATTTAAAAATAATATAAAATAAAATCGATGTTCGGAGCAAAAACGGTTTTGGTGTATCTCCCCTTAACAGCTCACTGATTGCACTTACCCTTCATCATCCATTACATCGGAACTCTCTCCCTTTCTCTCTCCCTCTCTCTCTCCCTCTCTCTCTCTCCCTCTCTGTCTCTCTCTCTCTCTCTCTCTCTCTCTCTCTCTCTCTCTCTCTCTCTCTCTCTCTCTCTCTCTCTCTCTCTCTCTCTCTCTCTCTCTCTCTCTCTCTCTCTCTCTCTCTCTCTCTCTCTCTCTCTCTCTCTCTCTCTCTCTCTCTCTCTCTCTCTCTCTCTCTCTCTCTCTCTCTCTCTCTCTCTCTCTCTCTCTCTCTCTCTCTCTCTCTCTCTCTCTTACGTCATGATCTCTCCTGATGATATCCCAGGCAAGAACTAAGCAGGCTTCGTTAAGAGCCATGTAGCACAGCACGCATCTACGTTCAACTGTTTCGCAATTATTGTAGGAAAGATGTCCCCATTTAATTAATTAATCGTTTAAATTATCAAAGCCAACCTTGTGATGTGACTCTCTTTTTTTCTCTCTCTCTCTCTCTCTCTCTCTCTCTCTCTCACCCACTTTATCGCTCATTGAACTGCTTCGTACTCTATATAATGTGTCAGAGCATTGATAAACCTCTAATAGTGCACTGCGATCTTTTACTTTTAAAACGCACAAAATACATGTTATATAATATATATACTCAATATATATTGAGTAGGGTATTATTAAATCTGCCTGATCTCTATATATATATGATCTATCTCTTGTTCACCTCACCCAATGGGGGCCCTGCACCGCAATAACCGTCCAATCGCCGTGTTTCGCGGGTGCAAACTATCTGTACTGAGGCGGTTCTGCTGTCTAATTAGACTCAGTAGGGTATAATAGTGGAGCAGTGTTGCATCACTGGGGGCCCTCTCCGAGCTATCAACCAATCACCATCTCCCTCCCTCTCGATAATCAACCAAACACATCGTTCAGTAAACAAATGGCACCCAAAATGGAAGGTTGCAGGTGTATTATATTGGACATTGGTAAGTGTCAACCGTACCTCGCACCATTGAAAAAATGTTTCCATTCTGATGTACATCAATATTCTTTCTTTATGCGTGGAGAATATGTGTGAAAGGGAACCCTAAAAGAGGGGGGATCTCACCTTATAGACCCTAAAAACCCTGAGATTCATTACTGAAGATCACCAATTTTAATAGTGTTACACACTACATGGTATAGATTGAACACACAAAATGTGTTTCGATATTATAAATGACATTGAAGGCACCTGCTTTACGGAGCTCGATATTACCATATATCGATTTGTTGAAGGTTAGAAAAACGTTTTAAAGTTATTATAGTGGATGGAGAGTGCAGTGGGCGAGCAAGCTTAGCGTGACTACCTGGTGTTAAGCGAGCATTTATTTTTAACGGGATTTACCTGAAAGAGGAATAATTCCACTTAAGCACTTAGTATGTAACCTTGTATTAGACCTGCTCCAAGAGCCTTCTTACTTTAATCGGGCACTTCGCCTAACATCTAAGAGGGTATTTGTAAATACAGATTATATGATTTAATTATATTATATTAACCAGCAGCTGGTTAAGCAAAGTTTAATATTGGTAGTATAGTGGCCGGGTGTTTTACAGGGCACCTTTGTTGTTGAGCACTACTTATTACGTGAACAGTTTTATTAAGGGAGAATATTATTAGATTTAGAGAATTAATTAGCTATCATAAGATTACATAATATGATACAGCTGGTCAGCTGCTGTAGATACAAAATAAATTGTGACCCACTTCGTTAAGAAAGGTTGTTCTGTGGTCGACCGGGGGTAGGATTCTGGCCGGGGCCGGGGAGCCTCAATATAGCCGGGGCCGGGGCTGACCACTGAGAATTGGCCGGGGCCGGGGCCGGGAAATCTTCCGTTTTGCCGGGGCCGGGGGTAGTTTACCAAACTGAAGTCAGAAATTGAAACATGAATTTGATAATAATTTAGGCTGGTGGGATGCAATCAGGAAGGATTAAACTCGAGGTGCGGCTTATCCTCACCGACTTGAGGATTAAACCGCAACTTCGTGCTGTGAACCAACTCAGGATAATCCTCATTATCCTGAGATCCATACTTAATTTCTAATCCTCAACTCGGAACTGAGGATAACCCTCAGCTGCTACTTTATCTGGACCTCGGGATTTAAAAGTAATCCCACATCCAAATATGGCTCGGTTCACAAAAATTTACCATATAAATGTTAGGCTCTGTAGTTTACGTTGAGCCGTAATTTTAGCTGCAGTGCAGTATTTTTACTTTTTAGTTTCTACGTATGTTTTATCGCAAATTTCTCGGAGACGATTAATTGAAAAGTCATATACTGAGGAAGAACTAGCCATAGTTTAATTTAAGCCGTTTGTTGTATTTTCTATATTTAAACGTACCCAACGTACGCAACAATAACTTTTTCAACTTTGAAATTTCAAAATTAAATTGTGTTTGATTTTTTTCAAAAATGTGCCAAAATCATTTTATAAAATCCCCGGCTGTGCCCCCGGCAAATGCATGGTCTTTGGCCGGGGCCGGGGTTAAATTTATTGGCCGGGGCCGGGGTTTACCCCCGGCGAATTGCCAAATTTTGGCCGGGGCCGGGGGTTGTGATTTTGGCCGGGGCCCCGGTCGACCACTGAGGTTGTTTATTATTTTTTAAACATCTCGTATGAACTGTTGATAATATGAACACCATTGGACTGTATCTAAAAGATGATTTAGCCCTATTAATATGGAGAGCTCCAAGTTGACGTGCATGGTTTTTACTGTACTCGATTGATACCTCGCTAGTCGCTAGTCTCTAACATATCTCTAATATATATGTTTCTAAATTAATTTATGTCCTTGCAACTTACAAGTACAAGTGTTACTGTTACATTATAATATAACATGATCAAACAAACAAGTCACGTGATAGCCTTATAGCTCGAGGTAAAGTTTCTTATCTCATATTATAATCAACATTATTCAACTATAACTATCTGATTTGTATTGTCGTCACTACAAATCAATATAATATAATATAGCGCTCAGATCTTCAATATTGATTAAGATCTGACACCTATCTGATCAGATCTCTCTAAATTCTCTCTCTATTTACTGAACACCTCTCCATAGTATTGATCTCGAGAGAACTAGTTACAACTTTAACTGATATAACTCTCGACATTATTACTCTCAGATAATAGCTGCTCTCTCACCCACCTTCTCTATGAAACATTCATCTGAGGACCGTTGCTACAGAATGAGAGAGAGAGAGAGAGAGAGAGAGAGAGAGAGAGAGAGAGAGAGAGAGAGAGAGAGAGAGAGAGAGAGAGAGAGAGAGAGAGAGAGAGAGAGAGAGAGAGAGAGAGAGAGAGAGAGAGAGAGAGAGAGAGAGAGAGAGAGAGAGAGAGAGAGAGAGAGAGAGAGAGAGAGAGAGAGAGAGAGAGAGAGAGAGAGAGAGAGAGAGAGAGAGAGAGAGAGAGAGAGAGAGAGAGAGAGAGAGAGAGAGAGAGAGAGAGAGAGAGAGAGAGAGAGAGAGAGAGAGAGAGAGAGAGAGAGAGAGAGAGAGAGTGTGTGTTATAATTCGTATCAAGCACCCACTGAAAGGTCTTCATCAACATCAGATCGGACAAAGCCACCATGCCACTCCAATGATCGATTATATTTTATACCATGGCACTCTCTACACCTATCACTCCGTTATAATCTGCACTGATCTAAATATTATTTTAATAATACCTGTCATTACTTTTCTCGGAGCGGGAGAGAGAGGGAGCAGGGTCTGTGTCTCGTAGTACACTGTTCTCCCCCTTATCCTCCTCCTCCTCCTCCTCCCCCCATTATATGATACAGAGCTAATAAACATACTCACCCTCTTTCACCTGTTACCATCACGGCCAATAATACGACACAATTACTCGACCAGTAGCTATACCGACCCAGCGTCACGTGGCCACACTGTGTCCAATCAGGGAGCCTCGTTGTTAGCAGTTAACCAATCATTGTTGAGAGCTCTAGATTTAGCGGACACTACGTTCATATAAAGCGGGGGATCATCAGTAAGTTTAGTCCCTCCCCATAATGGGTAGATCTATATAAAGACGAGTCAGGGCTATAGTAATAATAATATAACATTCGTGCCAAGATCCCGTAAAACAATGAAGGGGAGAGCGCGGGTTTAAAAACACCAGTTTAGACTAATTCAAGGGATGCAACTTCTGAAGATACAATGAATGAGAAATTGTATGTTTATCCTCGTTAGAGTGAAAGAGAAATTGTATGATTACCCCCGTTAAACTTAGAAAGAGAAGGGTTTAGTGTTAGCCTGGTGTTAGCCGTTTGATTCAGATCATGGACCGACCAGTGTCAAGCGTAATCTGCCCTGAAATTAATAATGCCGTCTAACGTCTAAAAAGCGTTTACCAATAATGATTAGATATGATGATTCCAGCCAAGATTGTCTCGGAAGATTGTCTATCTCTATTGCCTTAATTGATAACTCTCTCTGTTCCCACAATAGTACCCTATGTTGGTAAACGAGTAATTTCATTAGCCCGATATTAGACGCCAAAAATATTTCAAACTCCTAAAACCAGTAAAACGAATTTCATTGGCAATAATGGCGCCTTGATATAATCCCTTTTTTCGCATATTATAACTCCTAACTCATGTGTCAACAAGTAAACAAATATTGAACTGATTGATTTTCCGTTGCCGCTAATTAATTAGACCGAACCCACAGACCAGCTAGGGTAGACCGCACTGTTCCCCCTTCACAGTGTTGCAATGTGATCACTCACTCAAGATCATCCCTTTACTACCTCCCTCTCTCTCTCTCTCTCTCCCCCTCCACCTATAGATGTAATACTCGATTAGTAAACAGAGCCTATTTTATCGCACCTGTTCAATCTATAATATATACTCCTTCTTGGTAGGGGGTCCCGAGTTAGCATGCACAAAGTTTATTACTTTATCGAGCATAACTTTGTGTTGCTCGTCACTCGATATGAAAAGTGTGGTTACACACACACACATACACGGGGGCTACTAGTCATTACAAGCAGTGTGTCACAATCTGTTGTGCAAAAATAAATATATATAATATAATATCGTCACAACTCTTTATTCAACCAGCAGGTATCAGAGTCATTTTTCAGGAAATTTTCCGCAAGTCAATCATTTTTCTCTTTTAGAGACAACCCCAAAGGAGTGTCTGCTTGTGTCAGACTATCTTGGGATATTTAGACGTTACTTCTAAGTTATCCCGTCTAAACTTCTTAAATACCGTCTGGGTGACTTAAGGAAAGCACGGGTACTGTCTACCTGCCTAGACAGTCTTCCTATGCAAACCTATCACATTATCAAACAGAACCAGTGGCTGGTAGGACGAATTTTATTGAAATTGAGGCAATTTTAGTGATGATCCGGCTTGTTGCTGCTTCGTTCTGGCCACAAAGTGCAACATCAATTAGATTTATTTTAAATCGAATGTGTGTTCCGACAGACAACACTCTTCTATAGCCACTCTTTTATAAGTGCATGAAAACATACGAAGTTTCTACCATGCAGAGTTTCACTTAATGTACATCCCTTCTTACGAGCTGCTGTTCTGACGATACTTGCGGAAGTGAATTGTAACAACCTGATATCTAATCCCCTTAGTTCCGCTTACAAGGGGCTGGACTAAATTTACCCCGTAACGTCACGACTATAGCATGATGACTTGGTGTCCGCTTCCATTACGTCACAATTAACCAAAATTTTGCTCACCGAAGCGCACGCGCGAAAGTTACAAAATATTTTTCTTCGCGCTTTTCTTTATTAAAATCCTGCGCGCGCAATGAGCGCGCGAACTAGCTCCTGTTCAAAGGAGATCGCCAATATAATGTTCGTATGCAGTATGCACAGAAGTTATCTACCAACCGCATAATATTTTGCTCGAATACAAATAATATGCAGGTTTCAAGTCGATGCTTGTATGATTCAGGGCTACATCTTACAGCGTAGTAAATTTAATCCCTATTTTTCAGGTCGGAAATGGAGATTCAGTTCAAGTGCTATCATTTTAACGACAAATTCATGAACACCAATTGGCCAAATCATGTGTCGGTCATGATAAACAATCAGAACGTCCCCATTCCAGTGGTATGTCGTAATAATTTTACTCTAATGCCTTATAAAGTCATTTCTATGTCGTTTTCTAAACGCAGCTCATATTCGAAAATGTTATTGTCGTGTCTTTTCTCATGAAGTGTATCATACGATACCGCAGAATCTTCCATTTTATCATCGAACCACTTATTTCAGACCTCAAACATGCAAAATCAGCCGACGCACATGCCGATGTTTATCAAGAGGTACTGTAACCCTGGTCGCAACGTCATCGCGATTAATGTCAGAGCTTGCTGCTGCTCTCACCTCTTTACCCTACAGTTTGTGAGCAGACCGTCCGTCAGGAGCATTCTTGAAAGTAAGTCTAGCTGTTAGCTTGATTCACTCTTATTTCAGGTGTTAAGTTCGGATCTCCTTTGTAGTGACCCTTACAAGGTTTCCAATCTAGCTCAATGTACAAACCCCTACTATCTATTTCACCACACCAACCATTATTGACTTATACTCTTACTTACCAGACCCCACCCTCAGGTATTAGCAAACAGAACTTGTTGAAGAGTGAACAGAGCCAGGCAAAGATAATACGAAACTTTTCTGCCAACGGGGGCATGGCTGGAGGTGTTAACGAGGACGCGATAGAGCAGACGGCGATCACAGTGTCTCTGAAATGTCCGATTACCCAGCAAGCTATCAGGTTGCCAGCTAGGGGTCGTGACTGTAAGCATATTCAGTGCTTCGATTTGGAGAACTTCCTCATTATGAACTCGAGGAAAGCGTCTTGGAGCTGCCCTGTGTGCAAGTATGTTTTTTTGAGAAGTTATTATGGATTTAATGAATATTTCCATCGTGCCCTATCAGTGACTCAAAATATTAAACCCCTTAAACTGAAAATGCAAGCGTCTGAATCTATTTTGTGAAATATGGCTTGTTGCTTGACAGTAAAGTGCTTTTTTAAACATAATTGCTTCGTAAATTGACCTCGAGTTCTTTCAGAAAACCAGCGGAAATACGAAATCTGGAGGTCGATGAGTTAATTTGGGGGATCATTAACGAGAAACCTAAAGTGGACGAGGTCAGGATCACGCCAAACGCTCAATGGTCCCCGATTCAAACCATGGATGTCAAAAAGGAACCAGATGACAACATCGGTCTACCAATCAAACGGTGTAGAACTGACGACTATCAAATACGACCCCAAAATCCTCCTGACCAAAGGTATGGCAATTTCAAAGATTGCAACTCATTGTAAACTGAGGGCTAAAGATAATATCTATTTCAATGCTTTGTTTTATACGTTAACTCTTAAATAATATCACACCCTCCCTTAGGATAATGCCCAATTCTCAAATTGGCCCTGCTGCTCCAGGAGGTGTCCCAGGTGGAATCCAAGCTATGCAACAACATCAAGTCAGAATGGCTGCTCAACAACAGATCAACCCCCGAATGCCAATGAACCATCCTGCCATGATGAATTCACACCCTCAGATGCATCCCGCGATGATGAACGCCATGGGAACGCCCAACATGACCATTCCACCTAACCATCATGTTTCAGCTAACCCTAACCTTGTTACAAACCACACTGTTGCAATGTCTCACCCAGCAATGGGTCCAGTGGTAACCTCAATGGGCCCGATAGGACCTGGCCATCCGGGACCAATAGGGCATGGAAATATCACTCCTGGTCACCCTCACATGGTTTCAAACATTAATGCTCATCCTTCTCAAATGTCTCCGAGTGTTCAGACTTTACAGCAACAGCAGTCCATGGGTAGTCCCGGTATGCCGATGACACCTGGTATGCCCCATACGCCTAATATACCTGGCATGCCACCAACACCAGTCATGACTCCCAACAACAGTACCTCCAGCAACATGCCACCCAACCTACCCCACTCACAGGGACTGCCTTCTAACGGCGGCATGCCTCCTACTCCCGGAATGCCACATACCCCAGGAATGCACCCTGTACCAAACATTGTGCCCAGTCCTCAGATGGTTGGAGCGCCGACCTCTCACCACCCAGTGAGCACTGTGAGTTATCCAACCTCCGTCATGCTCTCTTCCAACGCTCCCGGGCCTCTGAAACCTCAGACTCCTCATGGGCCAATGCTGAAACCTCCTACTCCGATTATGAACCCTAGGACTCCCAAGACGCCCCAGAGTATGGGTCAAGTAACGACTGCTCACCTTACTTCACCTCATCCAGCGCCCTCCCCAGTCCGGCCCGACTTACCTCAAATTGCGCCATCCCCTCAAGCTACACTTAACGGCAACTTCAATTCTCCACACGCTATAATTAGGTAATTTAGAATGGTTTAATTTTCTAACAACTTTAATTAACGGGACGTGGTTACGGCCTGATTTCTCTTTTCTATCTCATTGTTTGGTCGTCAGAAATAAAACTGACATGTCTCAAATATTTGCGGGAGGAAATTTTCTTCATCGGTTACCAAGAATCAGAAGATCTAATTTTGTGATCGTTTCAGGTCGCCAAACACAACTTCAGTCGGCTATGACCCCACGTTGCTGCCCCACACCACGGCAAACGACACGATACCCTACAACTCGATGGCGTCGCCCTTCTCACCACACAGCAATCTTGCTCAGACACTTACTCCCCTCACAGAACCAACTACTTTGGTGAGCTTTTACTTCTTTTTGCCTCTTTTATTTTACCTCATTATTTACCTCCTTTACCCTTACTTTTGTCTACTTTATTTACGTTCTTTACCTTATTTTGATCGGACCCGAGATAAAAATCATCCTGGTATTGTCAATGTATATTGTATAAGAGATAATCAGAAATGTTAGCAAGTACATTCTCAGGTGTCAAGTGGAACAGCAACGACAATGTCTTTCCCTACCCTGCCGTCTGACGACATTACGCAGTCTGCACTTGACGCCAATGTGAGATTACATTATAATTATCATTACATATTATGGGCCGTTTGCATATTGCGCTATCACTTTTTGGCCATCTTTATATCCTTTATCGCCACCTCTGAAATTACTTTTACACATTTTGTAGAAATTACATTACTGATTACCGTAATCATTTCGAAACTCCCTCCCTCCATTCCTGTGAGATGTGAACGGCCCCTTATTACTAAGTTTTAACTTTTTTGGGTGTTTGTGCATTTTAATCAAAATTGTTCTAACGGATCACTTTTAAATTCCGGTCTCTAGGAAATACTAATATCACGGTTTTTTTCAGTTAGATGATGACGACTCAGAAATATGGAACCTGTTTGACAGTCAGGATTCCGGTCTGTTCATGTAGACTTCATGGATCGTGTTTAAGACACGCTCGACACCTCATCAAATCTACAATCAGAACTTCTTGCGAAGACAAGCACTGAAACACGTGCAGACTGCAGAGAGATTGCTAGTGCGAGCCGCGCGCGTCCCGGACAAAAATTAGAGAGGGACCAAATCCTGGCAATGATGAAATGTACATTGTACCATAAGTGATAATGATAATACTAACTCGTGATGTGAACTTATGATAACGTGGAGATATATTTAATTTAGGCAAATTATCTTCAAGTGCAAAATTGTTGCAATCATTAGTGTACAATAACATTATAGAAATTGTAAATATATACATGATCAATTCAGTCACTGATTCGGTTATTCTATTCTGTTAAAATTTGTTTCCTTTCATCAGTGAGAAGCAACAATCTATAATTTACAGTTAGTTCGATTTTATGTTTAGCTAATATATATATAAAGCCCTTAAGATGAGTGATCCTGTAAGAAAGTGTTCATTTAAACCGCTCGGTGCTTCGAATGCGCACTCGGATATTACCAGAATGCGCACTCGCAGTTCTGATTCATTAGGTGGACCTTGAGAGAGAGGATTATCACATTATTAAATTACGATATGTTTAATTTCAGAGCCAATATCACGACACCTGCATATTGCCACTGAAAGGGTCCTTGAACAAATTTTCTGGGCTAAAACATGACATCGTCGGCTCACCGAAACTTTACTTGAACTATCAAAATTCATATGTGCGTCTTCGTCAGTGAAGATTTATTCCTTATCACACAAATATGTCCCGTTTGATGATACAGTTCTCGCTATAGAAAACTTTGTGTCATAATTCTCAACCTTCGATTGTGAACAAATTCATTATTCGTTTACATGGTCCAAGTTCAGGACCCTTTCTCGTGGCTCTACAAGAATCTGTTAGCTATGGTATCAAGGAGTGTAGCTATGGTAACTGTAGCTATGGTATCAAGGACTGTAGCGCTTTTCATTTTACGAGTTTTTATATTCGATCATTTACGGATCTGTCAAAATTTGTCTAACTGCATTAAATTTTAAAATTGAATGATTTTTTACTTTTTATTTTCATTATATTAGAATGTCATGATTATTAGTAAGTAGAGAGATTTGCAAACTTCCTCCTAATTGAGATTTATATTCGATCGTTGATGTTAATTGATTTACTTATTAAGATCACTGATAGGTAAAACTTAGTTAATTATAAAGTCTAAGAATAATAATTGCATTTATCGTATAAATCCCCTTATATTTTAGTTGGAGCCATGATTTTTAAAGAAACATATACATTGTACATGTCCCCTTGTTACTTTTGATAAAGTTCGGTCTGTGAATGATGTAAGCTCAGAGAATCAATGTTGATGTATCATCCTCGTTATAATGGTTCTAGTTGAAGTAGACTGAACACAGCCATCTATTTAATCGTGATAACGTTTCTGGTTGGAGAAATATCTCTACTTGATTCAGAATTATTCCACCCGTATTGATCGGTCTTACTTATGTTATGGCCATCAACTTTTATCACGACTTCAACTAGGAACTGAGATTCTCTGATTATGATGTAAATATGTACGTTGTAAGAAAGAGTATGTTTCATAACTCATAACATTTTTCTTAATGTTGGATTCTTACATTGATTGTACTTAAATGTAATTCAACGTATCATTAAATTGATGTGATCCTAATATAAGGTAAAGAAGAACTAATGTACTAAGATAAATCCTTGTTCAAAAAGCTTTTGAGCAACTACTTAAATATTTAAGAGAGTCAGTTAATTTATTTCATGTGATACGAATTATCTGAGCTGCTAGCGTTTGCCACGATGCAATACTTAGTTTAAATTTGACAGCTTAGTTATATCATTATCATATATTTACCTATATAATATTACTCTATAATTTAGCTAAATTATTTATTAAGTAAACTAAAATAAGTTGTTTTACTTGTTCACAAGTTATGACATATCATAGGAGTCATGTGTTCAAAAAATGTAGAATTGCTGCTGAATGTGCCACCTTAGAATTGTGTGCCACTTGGGACTGCAGCGAATGTACGGCATACGGAAAGTGTATTAATGATAGAAAGCTGTGTATTCGACGAATAACAGCAATGTATCGTGAATAGTGAATAGTAGCATGGAAACGTTTTGCAAGTTGAATTGTGGATATATCAATCGCAATCAACATAATACAGTGATCGTAAGTCTAACGGCCGTATAACCTGGCAATAGCACCATCTGTTCATGTCAGTATATTTTCTCGTTGTTATATCAATTACAAGCACACTTATATAAGAGTAATTGATAATAACATGTCCTGAAATGCTTACTTTTCGAATTATTGGCGGAACAACTGATGTGTTAGGAAGAGACTCTCAAATAAGTGCAGCGGCAATAAATATATGCAACATTTGCCCTGAAATGATTTCTTTTAGAATTATAGTGTGAAGAAGAAACAAATTAACTAAAGCTATTTAAGCGGATGATGATTAATCACTCTACACTCGACTGTCACGTGACTTTTTCAACCCGTTTTCTAGCTGGCCTTGAACGACTATTCGGAATCCTAACCCTCTTATCTGATCCCAACCCTAACCCAATCCTTAACAAAAGCGTATGCTGAAACCAGCTAACCCTAACGAGAAATTATACTAACTTCCTTATACGGTCGTATCACGTGATTGAGACAGTTTTTCGCCAATATCTCGCCAGGGGAGCATTTTAACCCAATGTCATGGTGATCGACATGGTATGGGGGATTCGGAATCAGCGTCCGAAAATACATCGATTCAAGTTGTTTTCATGAAGGGCCCTTTTAAAACAATCTCGAAGATCGAGTACTGTAATTGACCATTGTTAATAGTCTGACCCGGCGCGCGCTACTTCGTAGCACTTGCCATCGAGAAGCAAGCGGCGCGCGCTACTTCGAATAAATTTAGACGAGTAACATCCGTCAAGTACTGTAAGTGTAAAGTGATTTAGCACGCGCACGCTCGTATTTATTTAATTTTAAGCTACATTTGCATTTTATTTTAAGGACTACGGTTAACGGGTGATACTCGTAAAATATCTGTTCCAACTCGGCGCGCGTCCTGGTAGGTTGTAAACCTACATCATACATGCTACAAAAACAAAAAACTACGGCCGCGGCATGGTTTATATTTTTATTTAAGTCCTCTGCAGTCTGCACTTCTAGTTCTAACATTAATAATGATAGCACGATATACAAGCTTTATATTTTGACTGTTATTACCGTTGGAAGTGAAACAAAATAGATTAGATAGCTATTAGCTAAGAAGCCAATTTATAATAAAACCCAAATACACTATACAGCTATTATATACCTTTACTTGTTATGTAAAACTATTGTTATAGTCTTGTACCTGATTTGATTGACGATGTCAATCCTTCGCATCTCGCCGATCTGTGGTTGCGAGAAGCATTATTTGATGCGCGCGCGACCCAGTAGTGCATCGCGCTACAAGTACCTGATCTGAAAAAACACTTCTTTTTTAATAATTCAGTGTTTTTGGATTACTAATTATATTATGTCATCTGACTTGGATCAGATCTTTACACATAATACGTTGAGTTTTTTGTTTCAAAATTATAGGGGGAAATTTTCTTAATGAGCCGCGCACACCAGAAATGCGAAAAAAATTGTAAGAAATCGAGCGCTATCGGGAACCATTACAAATCTGCATACAATCCCGCGACTGGGAAGCAGTAGCTGGACTGTCTTTGTTCGTTTTTCTACTTTGTCCAGGTGCAGCATATATGTGCGGTAATATATTGAAAATAGTGCGATACCGACTAAAATTGTTGTCTGTGAGAAAATTTTGGAGAGAAGAAACTTCTCAATTTAAAGCTGAGCATTTCGCCAAAGTTGCAGACTCAAGGTTAATGGAATTCTCAGGTTGGATTATTCAACAGCGAAAGTTATTGTCTTTCACCGAGATTCCTGACAATTCAAGATGTATAAATCTATTGAATTACCCTCATAGAATGTTTTACAATCAGATCGGCAGATGACTAGTTGAGCTGGTAACATTTGAAACAGGGTATTCAATATTATTTTTTTATTGAAAATCTTTTCAAAATAGTACATACATCAATGTAATTGCATGAAAATAACACGGTCAAAAAGTGATTTCTATGTACTATAATGACGGGAAACCAGAACGTAGTTCGTGCAAAAATTACACCTACAAAATATGGTCCCTGACAAAACATTTCATACAATCAACACATATAAATGTAAGATATATAGTAATAGAGATGATTGTGCAATGATAAAATACAGCGTGCATAAAATATCATAATGTTAATAATTTGTTAACTTTTTAATGAAATAGATTATATCATACAATACTTTTAAAAACCCAACCCACAAGCCAACCCACCCCTAACCCCTTAAATAGTTTGGATCGGTTATTTTAGATTAGAGAATTGGCATTGGGAGAAATGAGATGCATCTAATCATTATCAGACAGGTAGAATTCAGCGTGACTATCGTTTGGATCTGTGGGTAGCATTTCCGACCATAGGTGATCCTTAAGTTTGGCCTTGAAGATATCAGGACAGCTATGGTCTCTTATTTCGAGAGGAAGTTTATTCCAGAGCAGATGTGTCCGATAAAAGAATGATTTCTTAAGGAGACTGCTATTACACTGTGTTTGAACAAGAGTCGTTACATAACTTAGGCTGTCATGGTGACATGATCTTAAGCGTGTGCTTCCTTTGTATAGTTGTAAGTAATTAGGAAGCTCTTGTGTGCATACACCATTGACTATTTTGTGAAACAAGGTCAGGTCATTCAATTCAAACCTCTTGCTGAGAGGAAGGATTTTCAATTGATGACATTTGTAAGTATAGTTTTCAAAGGACTGATAGCTTGTGAATTCCTCATCAAAAATCCACTTAATACACCTTTTTTGAAAAGCATCCATCTTATCTAGTTGTGTTTTATTAAATGGACGCCAGATTTGGGAACAGTGTTCAAATTGACTTCTAACAAGTGCAAGGTATAAATTTCTTCTTCGTCTCTCATCTTGGACAAATGAGCAAGTGCGTTTCAGCAGCCCAAATTTTTGGTTAGCTTTGGACAATATTTTAGTTATGTGTTCTTCAAAACGAAAGCCCTGATTTATAACGACTCCAAGATCTGTTTCCGTACTGGTGTAATCTAAGGGAGTATTACCGAGCAAATATTGAAATCTGATAAATGGAATAGGTAATATCCTACTGCTGAATTTCTTTCCAGGAATAGAGAGGACTTTACACTTTGATGGATGGAATCGCATCTTATTTTCTATGCTCCAAGAATTAAGTTCATTTATGTTATTCTGAAGTGTGCAATAATCGTTGTATGATTTAATAGGACTCCATATTTTCGTGTCATCAGCATAAAGTACCAAATTTGTGCACCTGAACTTAATCTCATGGGAAGATCGTTTATGAATAAGACAAATAGAATGGGACCTAGGACGGAGCCTTGAGGAACTCCAGACAAAACAGGTTTGATCTCTGAATGTCTACCATCAACTAAAACACATTGTTCCCGTTCACTAAGATAGTTGGTTAGGAATTTGAGTAGCCTTCCTTCAATATTAAAGACGAGTTTAAGTTTCTTAAGAATAAGATCATGATTTACAGAATCAAAGGCTTTAGCAAAATCAAAGTAAATGATGTCTACACTTATAGTCGAACAGTCATTGAGGGATAGCGTGACACTGTCAATAAAGTTAATCATATTTGTGGTACAAGATCTGTCTCCAAGAAATCCATGCTGTCTATCATCAAGAAGATGCATTGTTTTATTCAAGAGTTCCTGTTTTATAAGGCGTTCAAATGTTTTCATTATAAGACTAGTTAGGGAAATCGGCCGATAATTCTCAATGTCCTCCTTACTACCCTTCTTGTGAACCGGAACTACGTGAGCCAGCTTCCATTCAGTTGGAATAATAACGGAGTTATATGATATCTCAAATAAAATTGAAAGTGGGCAAGCGAGACTACCAGCGCAGTTTCTCAGTATCTTACCATGGATACCGTCAGGGCCGCAAGCTTTGTTAGAATTAATGTTCCTTAAGAGATGTTTTATATTCTCTGCACAGAAAGTTAAGTCGAATTCAGTATCACTTCTCCAATCAATATCAATATCATACTTAGATTCGTCAGAAAATTGTTCTGAGAAATACTGATTGAACATATTTGCTTTGTCTAATGGAGATTCTCTGTATGTTTCTCTAAGGTACATCCTATCCGGTATTCTTGAATTCTTTGAAGAGGATTTTACATGCGACCAGAATTTCTTTGAGATCAATGCAGGGTCATCATCGTTATATAGATTATCGTTCATCTTCTGATCAGATAGATTTTTGAACTGTGTTCTTAGTGAGCAAAACTTAAAATAATCCTTTTGTTGGCCGGTTAGTTTCCACTTTTCATGAGCTCTTTTTTTCTTCAAGTATGCCTCATGGGCCTCTGAGTCAAACCAGGGATTTCTATATGCTAACTTTAAAGTAATAGTTGGGATATGCTTTGAGATACTTTTCGATATTACAGACTTTAAGGCAAGCCAACAGTATTCAGGATCTCCTAGCTTTAAAAACATAGCATTCCAGTCAATAGAATTCAAGTCTTCGTTAATGGCCGTCCAGTTTGCCTTCTTAAAGTTGAGAATCTTTCTTTTAGGACATTTAGAATAAGTGATTTTTGTAGCAACTTTAAAAGCTATTGGATAATGGTCAGATTTGCAAGCACCGTGACCCTTCAATACCGTAAGATCTCTTACTAAATTTTTACAATTACTCAAAAGAAGGTCTAGTATGTTACCCTTAACATGTGTAGGACTACTTATACATTGATCTAGATCAAAGTTATGGAATGTTGTAATGAAGTCCTCTTCAATTAAACTAGAAGGTGTAACAATTCCGTCCTCAGAAAACCAATCTACTCCATTGAGATTAAAATCACCAACGATGAAAAGTTTTTTAGGGCGTTTGCTTGAGTAGAAAGACTTGATTGTACTGGCAATACTTTCATGGTTTACTGTTCCTAAAGTTCCGACTCTGTAAACCACACAAAAAATGTATTTACTTTCACCTATGTTTATTTCAATAGCGGCCATTTCGGACCCCTTACGTACAGACAGTCTTTTGATTTCAGCTTGAATATCAGATTTGATTGCTATCAGGACTCCTCCACCATTTTTCCTATATTTTTTCGGATTGTTATCATCAGGTGGATGTGATACTTTTGAGCGATCATTTCTAAATACTTCATAGTTAGAGCTTTGAATGACCTCTCTATCCATTACAGAGTTTTTAAGCCAAGTCTCTGTAAGCAGAATAACGTCAGGATGTGAATCTTCAATATGTGCATTAAGTTCATATATTTTGGATTTATCAAGATGAGGTTGCTTACTGTTAAGTTGAGAAAACGGTATCAAGCCTTGAACATTCTGATAATAGACTGATATGTGATTAGGGCCGGGATTAAGCATACTAGGGTTTGATATTGCAATAAGCAAGAAGTTTAAGGTCAATAGAAGTAAAATCGACATACTCAGAACTTGCCTAGATGTGCTAGTTACTGCACCAAACACTATATTAGCGGCAGTCAGCCTTTCAACTCGGTATCTCCGACTGAGTCTTTGGTACTGAGTAAAGATGAAGTTCTTAATTGCAAAACCAAAGATATACAGGTATGCACAATTAATATGAGACACAAGTGGGAAGGCCTTACTGGTATTAAAGTAGAATCTACTGGGATGAATAAACCTATCAATCTCATTGGACTCTTTCGAGCTTGTTAAAATCATACCAATTAGACAAAACATGATGAACAAGTGCAGAACATAGATACCAATGTTAGATGGTCTAGAATTGAAGATAAGTGCATCTTCAAATATCCTAGTCCTGATATCCGATCCAAACCTAACCCCCCTACCCCAAGCAGAACTATCCACTTGACAGGAATTCTTTGGTGCTCTAGAATTACAAAAGCAGCCGATTCGCATCCTGTAAAGTGTTAGATCGATCATTGTCAAAAATTTAATTCAAATGTAATTTAAAATATGCATACAGCCTACCAGTGTGAACCATTGGGTTGCACCCTGGCAATTAAAAATCATTTGTGTTAATGAAAACATATTTCAAAATTGTTCAACCCTGAATTGACTCCATTACCGCAGCACAGTAGGTATCAAATTTTTAATTGAATTGCGGTTTAGAAACCAAGAGGATTGAACCATTTTGAATGAATAATAAATATGTAGAATCTTGCAAGAACACCCATGCCTTTATTATTTGGGTGAATATCAAAACGCTGTTTCTTAGTGTCAAAATGCGGGAAAAGTCTCGTGTTGATGCAGCCCCTAGCATCCAAGAAAGCAGGAAAGATATCTAAGAAATAATGCCTATACCGGGAGCACATATTGTAAATCAGATTGTTCATTCGAATAACATTTCTCTCAGTAAATTTACAACCATTAGGATTAATTGGAGGAACAGATTGAAACCATACTTTTGCAGTTGGAAGTATCAACTTTATGGAACTCATTAAACTAGATACCGCACTTTTAAGATGTGCTATTCCATTATCACAGTACCGTATATCATTAGTACCAACAGACACAAATAATTTAACAACTTCTAAATTAGGGTTATCTTTCACGAATTTCTCGATATCTCTCTTGACCTTATCAAGTTTACTGCCTCCAACGGCGATGTTCTTAACTACTTGCTTATTCTTTCCTAACAATTTTTCATCTAATCTAGCAGCAAAAGAGTCCCCAGCAACAAGAACAATCTTCTGCTTTTTCGTGACTTGTTCATTGACTTGGGATAAATCCACTTGATCCTCTTCAGGAGGTTTAATCTTACGGAACGAGAGACTAAAACGTACTTGTTCATTTTCACCGACAACATTACCAGAATAAACTGCATGTCTCATTTTAGATTGAGCACCAGGTTTCATAATGTTCATGGTTTTATCAGTGGCTGGTAGCACATGATCAGGACTATCGCTGTTTTTATTACTATCAAGAACGATTGAAAGTTCTCGTGGTGCACCTAGTGAAACAGTACAAATTGAGCTAGTCTGAGATATGAGTGGCTCGTTATCACGATGGAGTCGGAGAGTAGACTTGCTCGATGCATAACGAGTTATCAGGCAGGAGTCCATATCACCAGATGTTGAAGGGTGATTGTTAACCACTTCCATGAGCTTGCAAAAATTGGGGTAATCGTTTATAGGAATTGGTTTGTTCATAACATGACCATAGTTATAAGAATGAGTGGTCGGACTAAGCCACTGAGTAGTGACTGGACGACCCCTCTGTTTTAAGTTAAGAGAGTCAAGCTCTTTTCGGAGGTCATCACAAAGGGTTTTGTCCAAGTTAAGGTCGTTAACATGTTCAACAAGGGATACAATGTCATCAGACGAGGCAGTAGATTCTGCAGCAGATTCAGAAGCAACGTCGAGGGTTAGGGCTTCCAACATTGCACGTTTTTCAGCTAGAGTGGCTGTTTTGAGAAGATCGACGAACACTTTGGGTAATTCTTGCATTGTTTGTCGAAGTAGGACGCCAGGTGATCAAGGGGCAGATCAGGAGTACAGCAGTGTCGGCAGGACAACTATCAGTGATCAGAGACCTGGGAAATAAAAGGGCCGAGCAGATCATGTAAATAAAAGGATCAATGACAAAAGAATGAGAGTGAAGGGAGATCTATGTAGAGTAATAGTTAGTAATGAAAACTATCAATCAAAATGTAAGTGAGCTAGAAAATTGGAAATTGAATAAATGAAGTTAGAAAACTGACCTTGTTAAGATTTCAGAGATGTCCCAGCCAAGCTGGGACAGAGAATAAAAGACTGCCGTACACCGCTACACTGCCTCACTACCCCCGTCTCAACCCGGGACACCGGCTGACTTTACTCCAGCGACATTCTGTCCACGAGTGGACCCATCGTCTTAGCCATGCCTAAAATTATTTGTTATATAGTAGTGTTGAAAGTATTAAATTTACAATGCAATTTTTCCCACAGTACAGCTTTGATAGGTTTGCTGCCTAGAATTTCAATGTTTTGATACATTGTGAGAGAGAGACATGAGCGGTGAGTCCTTAAATTTGGTCACCAGCTACATGTAAACTGTAGTTTAAATCAGTGCACCGCTTTCTGACGAAGTTAAGTTGTGAAATGTATGCAATTTACTAATTTCCAACGAAGAAAAGGCGATTTTTCTTGTTGTAACTTTAATAATCTTTGATTTTGCTGAAGTACTTCTGACAGCATAAATGTGCTGTATTTGATAACTTAAATTCTAGATGTTTTTAGATGCCTTTTAAATTATATTATTAAATAAATACAAACTAGGATTAAATCCAGCCATGGAACTCTGAATTACATTTCAATTACATTAACAAGAATTGCGCCCGTTGTTTCGTTTTGGCGGACGCTAGATTTCCATTTCACATTTACTATAAATTTAAGTATAAGCTCCAATCAGCTCACTTCAATCTTCATAATATTAATAATATTGATAAATTATGCATCAAATACGGGAAAAAATTCAGTTCAATTGCCGTAGAACTTAACTTGTATCTGTAATTCAAGAAATGATCAGCAAAGGTAAACTATACTCGTGTACAAATCAATACACTACGCGTGCCACGTACAAATTGGGCGTATTACCTAATAGTAATATTATACATTACATGCATCATATACATTAAAACACAGTCGCGCCGCGCATTCATAGATCACAGGCTATCTATACATCACATCTCCGCAAGCAATCCTCGCGCGCGCGCAACTTTTTCGTTGCTTGGTAACGGACGGAAGGAACACGACATACTCAGACCCACCTACTGCAATCTCCAAAATCCACGTTTTTCTGCAAAAACCTCCATTCGTAACCTTTCACTATTGCCTTTTTTCAAAAGGGTGAAAAGGAAAAAATCTAGCTGCGATAGAATTTCATGCAATTAAAGCCGTCATAAAAGCCATGGTTGTGTATTTTATGTTATTGGATTACATGGTTCCTCTTTAATATTCCTTGAATAATTTTCAAAATAATTCCTGCTCCATAATAGAATCTAATAAGGGAGTGGTATCAAGTTTCACTATAATATGTTATGAGGCTGCTACACTTCCCAATATATCGCATCTAATATAATTTATTGCAGCTTGTTTTTATCTCCTAGTGCCATGTAAGGCTATAATCTATGCACAGTGCTAATTAGCAGGTTTTTTCTGGTTTAGTGCTATGCTAATTCACTGTGGTTAATGCTTTACTATGTTTTTGTACGAATGTGACAAATTTATCTTACTTACATATCTCAGACACACTCTACAATGGCTACAGTGTCAGCTGACATCAAAAAGAAGTGTTTGGTGGTGAGTAAACACACATCACATTAGATAATGGATGTTAAAATGTGTTATTGATGTTCTTAATTGATTGACTTTTGACATACATTGTTACAATGTAAAGGTAATCCAATTTTAGATATTTAATAGTTTTCTGTGACACAGTGTTGAGTGTCGTTAATACTTAATATCCTTCAATTCTTGACAGATACCAGATCACAGTGGATATGATACCAACATGTTCAACATACCTGTAAAGTATGCAAACTTTCTCACCTCAATCCTTATCCCTAATGGTCTCGTCAAAGACAGGTAAGAGGGTTCATATTTAAAATAATACTTCACTTAAAACTTCATATTGCCAATTATTATAATATTCAAATCGAGTGTGCATAATATTAGTTTCTGTAATCTTATGCTTAATTTTAAATTTTGAGATGTGATCACGAGACTTTAATTAACAGGACACAGAAGTTAGCAGTAGACATTCTATCCTCGTTACCAGAAACCAAGTCACTTGTGGTTCTGTGTGTACTCAAAGGAGGTTCGTTAATTAATGTTAGATTTTGTAAGTTAATTATATTTACATTTTAACTAAGATAACATTGCCTTTACTTCCTTTAACCGACTTTAACACTTAGTAATCAGAACTCACGTAATGAAATCCACTGCACAGTTCAATTTAAAATAGCAGTGCGTGGTTTCTCAAGTGACCTCATATTACTAGAGTGCAGCTGCTGTCAAACAAAGAAGCAGTTCCGGCATTTTTCCACTTAATTCAATTTGTTTGCAGGATACAAGTTTTGCAGCGAACTTGTTGATGCTATGGAGCGTTACATCTGCTCGTGTGAGATCAACATGTCTGTTAAAGTAGAGTTTATCCGCCTTAAAAGCTATCATGTAAGTAAAACTCGCTTACCCATGTTTGTTGAATTATAAACCTACAATTTTTTTAGAAGTCGTACTGTATGTCTTATTAATTTTCTGAGACCTTACTGCCCCCAATTTTATAAACCTAACACAATTCATGATGACGTATTCTTCAGAATATTTCTAGCACTGGTGAGGTGGAAGTAATTGGGCTATCTGACCTATCTCACCTGACGGGAAAGGTAAGCTAATAACATTACCGGACTGATTAGCAATTCAGAAACTTTCACTTTAACAAGTTAAGATAAGACTTGTACAGACAACATATTAAGATAAGAATTTAACAGTCCACATACGATACATGAAATATGTAGAGCTATGAATGCATTCATTACCGGCAGTAAATTAGATTAACCACGAGTTCCGTATGACATCATGCTAAAATCACGTTTTTGGTTGTGCATTAATGGAAAACAGAGCTGCTGAATTTAGCCTTAAAACTGTATTGTAGAGTACAAAAATCTAACTCAATCTTTATTAAATTAAATCCCTTCCATACCCTGTTATAAACTTATAAAGAATTCAGTATTCAAATCTTACGATATTTTAGCTTTTTAGTGAAACAATAATCTGTCGACAACTTTATAAGGGCCGCTCACTCCACTCACTTCACTCACTCCACTCACTCCACTCACTCCACTCACTCCACTCACTCCACTCACTCCACTCACTCCACTCACTCCACTCACTCCACTCACTCCACTCACTCCACTCACTCTACCCACTCTACCCACTCCACTCACTCCACTCACTCTACCCACTCCACTCACTCCACTCACTCCATAGGGCCTGTCATGATATCATGGATCGCTTAGGTTCCACCAGGATCTGGTAGTCCTCATAATTCTGCGGCCTCTATGTATCGTTATCTCGCACAACTCTGTTGATTGGGTCTGAGGTCACGTGATTATGAGCCTGAGGGCACGTGACTGTGACGTCACCAGAGCTTGTTCTCTGGTTCCCGCTAATTGGACCAGATGTGTTCCTGATCATCATAAGCAGGAGCGGCAAGGTCAAAAGGAAATCGCGGCTCGTGCAGAATCGCGATTTTTCCCATTCCCGCTGCGACAAATCGCGATTTTTGACGTTTGCCGAGACAAACAGATCTCCGCGACAAATTGCGATTATTCCAGTTCTCTGAGGACCAAATTTGCGCATTCTCCTTTAAATCCGAGGGCAAAATATCACGATCTTTATAATTATATTGAACTTATCACATCCACAGCCTTTCGAATGTAGGACGTAGGTACGGACCGAAAAAGTATTTTCGGCTCATAATGCTCAGGGAAGCATGAAACATGAACAAAAGTAGTTTCCAGAAAAACTTTGAAAATAATTTTAGAAAATTTTCGGTCCGAGTCATTCTCGATAGGTACAAGAAAAGTGCCTCAATATGTAAGTTACTCTCCTTGTTTCTATATAAACATAACTTTTATTATAATTCTTACGTAATAATTATAATAATTTTCTATTATCACTAGAAGCCGCACAGACCTACTATCTACACACAAACCAACTAGTAATTTTCATTACCCTAATCCTATGAACCAGTTCATCCCTAATTCATAATTCGTGGAACAACATCATGAAGAAGAGTCTGTTTAGATCTTAACACTTAAGATTATTAATGTAGATGCTATTGTTTTGCCTAACGAGCCTGTCGCTCCCTAATCTATCTATACTCACAAGCTAGTTAACGAATTTATGACATCTAACTTAGCTATATATTATTAGGAATGGTCATCAAAATAAGTTTATAACAATGTCGATATTTTGGTAAATTTTTAGCTTCTGTCAGAAAATAAATTTACGGTTTCTATAATAGCGAGTAATTAGATATAAACTACAGTACAGCTGTACTTACACCCACATTCACAAGCATGCAAGCTTACCTGGTCCAATTAGCGGAAAATGGAGAACAAGCTCTGGTGACGTCACAGTTACGCGACGTGCCCTCAGGCTCATAATCACGTGACCTCAGACCCAATCAATTGGGTTCTGGCCTGGTCAGCCCCCTGTCACCCGATCTTGAGGTGACGTACGACACCTCGTTAACCCAATCAATGTCTGGAAGGCTGCAAATTTTTACATGCCAAACTCACAAGGGTCTTACAGAGTTGTGCGAGATAACGATACATAGAGGCCGCAGAATTATGAGGACTACCATATCCTGGTGGAACCTAAGCGATCCATGATATCATGACAGGCCCTACTCACTCCACTCACTCCACTCACTCCACTCACTCTATACACTCTACTCACTCCACTCACTCCACTCACTCCACTCACTCCACTCACTCCACTCACTCCACTCACTCCACTCACTCCACTCACTCCACTCACTCCACTCACTCCACTCATTCCACTCATTCCACTCACTCCACTCATTCCACTCATTCCACTCATTCCACTCACTCTACTCGCTCCACTCACTCTAACCACTCCACTCACTCCACTCGCTCCACTCGCTCCACTCACTCTACCCACTCCACTCACTCCACTCACTCCACTCACTCCACTCTTTCCACTCGCTCCACTCACTCTACTCACTTCACTTACTCTACTCACTCCACTCACTCTATTCACTCTACCCACTCCACTCACTCCACTCACTCCACTCACTCCACTCACTCCACTCACTCCACTCACTCCACTCACTCCACTCACTCCACTCACTCCACTCACTCCACTCATTCCACTCACTCCACTCATTCCACTCATTCCACTCACTCCACTCACTCCACTCCACTCACTCCACTCGCTCTACTCACTCCACTCACCTACAGTAAACACCGTCTCACCCTGCAAACACCCCTGTTAGTGTTAGTAAACCCTCTTCATTATCCTGGAAGTAACACTTTGCTGTTGACAGCTTGCTGCTTTACCTGCAATGTACACTTCACAGTCTATGCTGTGTATTGACATGCACACACACATACAAAACAGCAAATATTGCAAATGTAGTAGTGCTACTTTGGAATTGTCGCTGAGTGCTGACTACTACTCTTTTCAGGATATATTGATTGTTGAAGATATCATCGACACAGGCAGGACCATGACAAAAGCTCTGAAATTGTTAAAGGAATACAGTCCAAACACTGTGCAATGTGCTAGGTTTGTAAAACTTTGAAATCTACAGATTGTTTTATTTAGCTTTTCATAAAATTAATAATTCTAAATTGAATTTATTAATTACTATTTATAATAAACGGAGTTAAAGAATTTATCTATGTCAGACTAAATTTTTTAGTCTCTAAGACGATTTACGGGAGTTTAAATCTAGAGCTATGATACAGATGTTTCTTTGACGCCTTCAACTTAACTTTCTATCTACCACAGCTGCTAAAATCTAGATAAAATTAAAGCTTAGGGAATAGGGTTAGCTTATCAAGGCCGCTGTGTAGTCTATTTATAGATCGTACTTTATCATCAGTAAAAGAAGAGGGTATATTTTAAAATGTAACATAATTATCAATTAAATGGTACGGGTGCAGAGTATAGCCTAGAGGCTGCAGTCTGCACAGTCCTTAAGTCCTACAACTGATGACGCATTAGTATGTATAAATAACTTTCTCCACAACTGTGTGATAAATTCTGTGTTTATACTGCCCGGCTGAATATTTTATGTAATAACACCAGTGTTCAACTTGTTTAAAAATATTCTCCTTCACTAATACTTCATGTTAAAGAGGCAAGGAAACAATCACAATAACCGTCTTTTAGGCTAGTCGGCCACCACTCATGTCCTGTAAAATTGGAAATAGCCGCAAAAAATTTGTGTGGTCACTGTGAGGAAATGAGACTAGTTAGATAAACATTGACTAGATCAGGGAGTTTATTTCAGGGAGTGTGGGTTATCAGTTATTTTACAGAGAAGTACTAAATTCGGTGATCGACCGAGGCCTCGGTTTTACCTAGGAATGACAATTTTTCCTCGGCCTCGGTCAGAAGAATGATTCCTCGGTTTGCCTCGGCCTCGGTAAAAAATCGAGTTGCCATTCCTCGGTTAAATTATAATATGCCTTCCTCGGCTTCGGTCGCAAATCCTGCCCTCGGTCGATCACTGCCTAAATTCCATGCTATAATTAATACAGAATAACGTGTAAAGTGACAAATCGAGGCCCTAGGCTGACTTTTTTAGATATTTCAAAACCTGGGAATTCTTAAGATATTATGGCTCTGAAATTTAACTTGGTACACTTCTGGGATTAGAGGCTAATTTCGTACTGGATAGTTAGGGAAAATAAGGATTTTATAGTGTATAAGTGTAGAAAATTTGCATAGCTCAGTTCGCAAATGAGTTAATTGGTAGGATTGTTTCCACATCTAAACATTAGTCATCGTTGACCAGGATTATATTTCAAGCTGGCTTATTAAAAGAACGCCATACCAGGATAACCAGGGTGACCAGTAACCAGTAATCAGGGTGACCAGTATAGTAATCAGGGTGACCAGTAAATATACTGTGCAAATATGCTGGTGACATAGGTAGGTGGTAACAGAACCAATTACCAATTGGCCACCTTTTACCTTAGCTTCATTGTAAAACCTGGGGTAATCACTAATCAGGGATATTGCATTTCCACAAATCACACGGATTCTCAGTGCATGAATGTTACTTACCAAGGAATGTTCAGGAGGAATGATCAAAATCAGGAGGAATGATCTGAATCGGCGAAACATATTTCTGCTGCAGAGTGCAGACTCGCACTTTGGAGTGGAATTTGCATGGCAAACAAACTCGATCGGTGTCGACTGTCATATATGTATAATTAAATACTACAACCTTTTGCAGATTTTGTATCACTTTCAAGATCAATATTTTCAGTTTACTACTTAAAAGGACAGACAAGAGTTGTGGCTACGTTCCAGAATGTAAGTATTTAACAATGAGGGCTCTCACAGCATCACAAACTGGATACTGGATAAAGTGGGGATACTAGAACCAGGGGGGGGGGGCGCATCCCCCCTCATCTCTTTTAGTCATCCCCAAACTCGGCCGATTATAATGATGAAAAATTCTTGATACGTGATTGGCATCCCGATTTGATTCTCTACTTGATTTATATCATACATTAGACATTACTTCTAAAATTAAGAGACCGCTTGATTTTTCTCAAGTTTAAAACATTAAAAATGTCTTAACTTCTATCAAACGGAATTTATTTTGAAATTTTAAAAATTCACAAACTTACAACATACGATCTCCCTTTTAACATTTACAGAGCTAATACTGCTAACCAGAGGCAACATTTGGTTGTGCAGTCGGCCGTATATATTTTGCATTTTTATGTGTTATTTGCGATTAAAGAATCAAAAAATGCACATTTTACCGCCCAAATTTTGCCTCTGCTGCTAACTACATGTTTTTGTGAAAAATGGCATGTGCTATCGTTATTTTGAAGCACATTTGTCATCTCAGCTCGACTTCTATTATCACATTTTCACCGATTCATGTTACCATTATTCTCTACGGCACTCTATTTTTTGATATGAATGTTACGGGTATTCGATTTTGATTTTTCTTCAGTTATTGGGTTTTCCTGTCCTGACGAGTTTGTTCTAGGATATGGGCTCGTAAGTCGATTTATTTGTTTCTTTCTAAAATTGTATTTTTTACTTTCTTACTGTATTTTGATTTAAGATGATCTTTTAACTCAAAAAAACAATCTATATTAGTGTTATTACCCGAAGTAGTGCAACTTCAAAAATTATAATTCTGAATCAAATTTTTAAAAAATCAAAATAGAGTCTCGATTGCAAACACTGTAGAAAATAAGACATACTCGAAAATAAGTTTAGCACCTTATATAATGGTATTATATTAAGAATTAAGAATGGAGGTAGCAATTTCGCATAGGAGTGAAGCATAGTCTAATTAGCTCACTCATGGTTTAATGAACCTAGTACATAATAGATGGTCCTCATTTCAGTACGATTTAAGCCATGGAATTTAAGAACCTGTTCTGTTAAAACATTCACAATCCAGTTCACTTTGTTTTTTATTGCTAATCCCTCCTTTTAAATGTTTCACTTTTCATCTTCATCTAGCTGAAATGACCATTTAATTTTTCTATGTGAGTTCAAACTCTTTCGTCGCCTTATTTTTTTCTGAAAAAATCTTGGACGTCGAGTATAAAGCCTTTTATTCCTAAAGCATGTTTTCTTTCCAATATTTGTAAACTAAATTGCTTTGGAGCTTCATTATCATATAATGCTATTATTATATGATATAATGATATAAAATCGGAGATGTTTTCTTCTTCGAATGAATATGCTCAAGCCTCAATCTTGAAAGCTCAATCCTTATCTTTTATTGATCATTGAACATTCAGATGTGTGAATTGTGAGTTGTTTCTGCTATATCAACTGCTTTGAGCATGCCATGATGTTACTATAGTACAGTAAAATCCCGATTAACCGGGAAAATGGATTCAAACCTGAAATTCTTGAAAACGGGATTTTGATTTGAAATAAAGTCAGGGTTCCCGGTTAATTTGGATTTATCTGTATTTATTTGCATTAAATATAAATAATATGCTTATAAGCTGACATAAAGTACTTCAGACGTAGGATTCACCGTTGAGGACAGTTTCATAGTCGGTTTTGGAATAGTGAGTCAAACATTAGGATTTTCCGTTTTGTTAATAATTAATATACTGTCACTGTAACTAAAGCACCACGTTCTCGTTAGATCAACTGTATGTTTGTACTTACAGCCCTGCTGAAGAACGCTTATTGAGAAGTACCCGTAAATATAATATGCACTAAGGGGTCGTTCACATATAACTACTGTATAGAAGTCACGTGCTACACTAGCGTTACCATTTCCAAAACCCCTCCCCATACGTCATATATGTGAATGATCCCTTATCCTCTTTTAAACGTCTTGTATTCTAAGTTCTACGGTTTCTTTTCCTTTTAATCTTGTAGCTGCTTATAGAGAATAGTAATTATAAAATTATATGAAATATGCACAATTCAATAGTGTGATAGTTATGTACTTTATGTAGTTAGTTATGTAATTGTAGAATTAGGATGGTGGTGTGTAAACTTTGTAGTAAATAGAGAAAATAGCGGGTTATAAGATGGAATGTAATGATTTATCAACCAGCAAATCTATGCAGTCTCTTTAATTTACAAGCCCACATTTCAGGATTACAACGAATTCTTCAGAGACCTTCCGGTAAGAATTTCTTCGATTAGCCAAATTTTGTCATTCTACTAATAGCGTGCCAACCATTTAAAGTACCTTGTTGGAGTCAAAAAGGTCAAACTGCTGTATAATTTTTCATCGGCAAAATCTCAGCAGACTGCAACCAACTACGGTGTACCATGAAACCAGATTAGGTACTACATAATGCACGCATATTGAGGCCAGTGCACCAGTAACTAGTCATTATGAACCAAAATGAAAGGAACTAACGTTTGCACTATTTTGCATCTGAACTTGGGGCGACATTCCTTTACAATTCTTGTCTAGTTCAGAACATCTACTGAAATAGTCTTATCATATTTGTGTGCGTTTTAAATGAGCAGCTGATAAGCTCGTACATCGTGGGCGACTGCTTATACTTTACCAACTATACTACACACCATGGCCGAAACGGACACTACAACTACGAACCTTCCTGATGGAGAACTTCAGACGGAAGATAAGACGACTACTCCCGGGCTGCTAGGTAGCGGGCCGCCCACCGCTACCAGTACTCAAGAGGGCTACCTAGCAAACACTCTCGAAGCAGGTACGCAAGTTGAACATTTTCCACGCGAATTTACTGACCGGGAAACTCAAACCACAAACCTATACACCTTCACACCTGGACTATGCCTTGAGTTAATTCGCGACCGCCACCTCTCAGTTGCACAAATGCGCAATGAACTAGCTCTAGTTCTTGACGAGAAAGCTCTGAATGAACGAAATACAGAGAGGAAACTCCAAAACGCATTAGAAAAGCGTATTGCACCTGAGGTTGAGTTTTACAACAAGGACTTGACTCGCAACACTAGTGAACTAATATCAATTTTTACGAGGCACGAACAAGAAGCTGCTGCACAGATGGAACAGCTTAAGAAAAGCATCCAGCACGCGACTACACTGATAACTGAAGTCCAGCAGACAACACACACTGATACGGGTAACGAGGAGAACACAGGTACTTTCCTCGGCCTTGCCTATTTGACTTTCCCCGGTACACCGTTTGAAAGCTTCACACCTGACCTGTTAGACGCCGACACGGATTATGACCGCACATTCAGTAATAGGAAAGTGGCCTACTATGGGGACGTACCCTACAAGTACGCAGGGGGGTCACACAGTCCACGGGACATCAGCACGAATCCGTATCTCAAACAAATTGTTGAACACTTTAAAACACTTGCCCCCGACCAAACTCATCACTACAACAGTTTTATGGTCACTAAATACGACAAACACACGTCCAGTATTCCCCCACACAGTGATAACGAAGACTCAATAGACCCTGAAAGCCTCATTATGACCATCTCTCTGGGGGCATCCCGCCCAATTACCTTTCGGAGGAAACTAGCCTTCGGTTATGGCAAGGGAGAACTTACACCACACCACGGCTCTCTGTATGCTATGTCACGTGCCAGCCAAGACATGTTTGATCACAGCGTTCCACCCATTCAAGAATCTGATTTTACTGGGCCTAGAATCAGCATCACATGTCGAGTTCTTCTAGATCACTCTGCTAGATCAACCAGGCCGCCACGCAACCCTGCCAGCACTGCGAGCCGACCTAAAAAGGTCCTCATACTATCAGACTCTAAGAATGCGTCCTTTGACTGTTCCTTATTCCGTGAGCCTGTTATCGCATTTAGAGAGAACCTCTTCTTTTTGCGTGATCTCCATGAGCACAGCAAATCCATCGAACAGGCTGACGTGGTTTTGATATCAGCAGGCATAAATGACATGATGAAAGTCTCCGCAGCTAACCCGATAACACTGCACAACCACCTGAAACATTTCGTGCAAAAATACAAAACACAATTCCTCTTTGACTGCATCACAAACCTCTCCATGTCCGCTGATCCTTACAACAACATGAACAGACGCATTAACTATCTCAATGAATTACTTCTCAAACTGTCACTCAGAACTCCAAATTTCAAACTCTTTGAGAACATATGTTTCGGACTTCCTCACCTGTCACGTGACGGCTTACACCTGAACCACGCGGGGAAATCAGCAATGACTGACTGCTGGGTACACTGCATACTGCTAGCACTCGGCTTTAGACAAGGACCATTGCCACTACGCCGTCAATTTATTAGTATAGTTGAAGAGTTTTACTGCAAATGAGTGTTGTAACAAGATATTATCATGTACTATGAGATATGAGCTAAATTTTATTCTGAACAACATACCACTTTTGGTCCCAGAACTTAATTCTATGCTTGCCACAATCTAGCAACGAAACAAAAGAATTACCAAATCTAAGCAACTAATTCTCATCTTCATTCTGGAAAAATAAACATCGATAAAATCGCTTATCTTATATTATCTTAGCTCAATTTTTCGTTATATATAGTCCTTGATTAAACTTAAAACCTCGCCACACAGCTGCGTTCTTCTTTATACATTGTACATTACATTACACACTACACATTGTACATTACACACTGACAGTAGACGACTAACACAACTGACAGTAGACGACTAACATTAGACTAACATTAGATTAGCGGTCGCCCCACCCTGTACAGTGTTTACATAATTTCGAAGTAAAAGTAAAGTTTTCTCATAGTTAAGAACAGAACAGTTAGAACAGCAGGAGGTAATTAACTGCAGGAGGTATTAAGGTATAGGTACAGGAAACTAGGAAATCACGGGCTGATTTACAAACAGGGCTGAGCAGTCCTCGCTAAACAGTCCTGATAGGATTACGTGCTATATTAATACTACACATCATATCATTTTATTTTTACTTTTACTTTTACTTTTACTTATTGTTCATCTATGAAACCATGTGCGAGTTATGTAGACCAGATCAGGCCAAACCACTGTGACAAATGTGAAAAACGGATCCCAAAGAACCACCCTCATCTTTACTGTACACTGTGCGAACGATTGAAACATTACAAATGTGAAAAGTTAACTAAATTAGAAGCCGTTGAACTAGCTAAAACTTATTGGACCTGCTACGAATGCCTTAGTAGTATTTTGCCAATAAGAGCCTGCGATGAATGTATCTTAGATTCGCACAATACTTCAAAAAAATACAAGCAGCAATGTCACAGTTGTCTGGGCTGGTCTTACTCTTCAAGAAATGTGAGAGAGTGTGATTGGTGTGAACTAGCAGTCCACAAGAAGTGTTATAGATATGAGCTAGGATGCGTCAAATGCTGCGTAGAAAACATACCTGGTTACAGCACTAGCAGTATAGATCTAAATGATGATTATAACTCCTCCTCAATCCGGCACACTTACAACCCTTACAATAAATCCAGCCTCATAAATTCAATTGGTAACCAAATAGAGGAACTTGAGCACGACTCCATGTATTGGAAAGATCTTAGTGAAATGCTAACAAGATGTGAGTACATTCAACAAGTCCATATCTCACCATCAAAAACCAATGAACTAAAAGTATTTTCATTAAACGTACGATCTTTACACAAAAACATAACTCATTTCCGAGAAGAACTTCACACGTATCTAAATTACGATATACTGAGTTTCAATGAAACAAACTGCACTCTAAGTAAGCTACCTAACGGTATTAATGACATACTTCTAGAGGGATTTCATGAGCCGATAATACAGGAACCAGCACGTACATCTGGCCGTGGGGGTGGACTGGTGTTATACGTAAATAGACAGGTATGTACAGAGGAGCAAATAGAACAGTACAGGCCAAACTTCAGCTGTGAGGAAGAAACAAGTGGTGAATTCCAATTTATAAAAATCCACAACTGCAAAGGTTTTAACAAGACCAAGCTACTAATCAATGTTTACCGCTCACCATCGCGTAATGTTGATAAGTTCATGAAACTGCTAGATAATGTACTTAGAAGCCTAGACAGGCACTCACGTAAACACATTTTATTCACGGGTGACTTCAATATTGATCTAATAAAATACGATAAGGACGTGCACAGTCAGAACCTCGTTGCAACTTTTGAAAACTACGGTTTCGTTCAAATGATTTCAAGGCCCACCAGAATTACAGACCACAGTGCAACACTCATAGACCACGTGTATTCTAATGACATCAAGAACACGGCAAGTTGTCAGGTGCTTACTCTACACGTATCAGACCACCTAGCCACCCTTACTACGCTTCTACTTGGGGACAGAGAGGGGCCATGCGGGAGGGTTACAAGTAAAAAACCAAGTATCAAACAGGCACGGAGATTTGGCGAAGCTAACAATGCTAAATTTCAAAGTTTGATCGAAAGTGAGGACTGGTGTGAAGTGAGTTTACACGAAAATTGTGAAGTACAGTACGAAAAATTTTGTGAAATTTACACCAAACATTATGATGAGGCATACCCCTTGAACAAATCCAGGCCGCGGCGTAAAAATGAACGAAGAGATCCAAAACCTTGGATTCTTCCCTGGCTAGAGGATGCGTGTGCGCGAAGGCATAAGCTCCACCACCTAAAAATCACAACTTCAACCAAGGCCAATGATGAAGCGTATGAAAAAATTGATAAATTCTGCAACAAGCACATTGACTTAGCTAAAGCAAAATATTATAAGAAATTTTTTGACGAGCATTGTGAGAACTCTAAAAAGCAATGGCAAATGATTAACACGCTGTTGAACAGGAAGTTGAAAGAAAAAAATTCTATAAAACTGAAAGGCGACGACGGATCTATTATCAGCAATGGCACCGATGTTGCAGCAAAATTTAACAACTACTTCTCAAATATAGCTTCAAACATTAAAGCACAGATCAGTGCTAGACAAACTTTTGATCCTGGGGGTTTTAGTAGATATCTTAGGAACCCAACATCGAATTCGATGTATCTTAGGCCGGTAACACCAACTGAGGTGAGTGAGGTGATTCTAAAATTTAAGAATAAGTCAACACTGGATACCAAAATTGGGCCGATGAAAGTCGCAAACCATGATAGCAAGTTCACCGGTGTGATTTCTACTATCATAAACTCATCATTTACACAGGGCATATTTCCAACTGCTCTTAAAACTGCACGCGTAATCCCTATCCACAAGGGAGGTAGTAAGACAGATGTCACTAACTATAGACCCATATCTCTTCTTAGCTCATTCTCAAAAATTTACGAAAAGTTAATGCACACTAGAGTCCTTGAATTTCTTGATAAAAACGGCTCTCTGTTCGAAAGCCAATACGGCTTTAGACCGGGGATGTCATGCGAGCATGCTCTTCTTAATGCACAGAACTCTATCCTTCATTACCTTGGCAGGAAACAAATTGCGGTGCTCCTACTGTTAGACTACTCCAAAGCTTTCGACCTACTTGAACATAAAATTTTGCTTAAAAAACTGGAACACTACGGAATTAGAGGTATAGCACTAAGCTGGTTCGACTCCTATCTTCACGATCGTCATCAGTTCGTCACAGTCAACGGGGTTGATTCCAGTCCCAAGACGATCAATTATGGTATTCCTCAAGGCTCTATTCTGGGCCCCCTACTCTTCGTCATCTATATAAACGACCTCCCCGGAATCTCAGACCTGGCCAAGTTCATACTTTACGCCGATGATGCAAATATTATAGTCACGGGCCATAACGAGGAAGAAATTCAAAGTAAGCTCTCCATGATTGCAACACTTCTAGCGAATTGGGTAAGTAGCAACGGGCTTTCTTTAAACCTGAAGAAGACCCACTATATGGTCTTCAGTAACCGTAAAGTAGATTATTCCAAAATAAGTCTCAACATATCTGGAACAAACATTGAACGGGTTACTGAGGCACGGTTTCTGGGTGTTATAATTGATGAGAAACTAACATGGTGTAAACATATCACAGCGGTAAGATTAAAAATGAGTAGGTACATAGGCATCATGTTCAAATTAAAACGACATCTGCCCCTAAAAGTGCGACTACAACTTTACCATAGTTTTATTGAGGCACATGTTAACTACTGCTCGTTAGCCTGGGGATTCGCGGCAAAATGTCACATTGAGACATTATTCCGTAGACAAAAGCAAGGAATGCGGATGGTTATGCCAGGATATGTAAATTACTTTTACAAAGACGGCAAATTGCCAGCTCACACCAGAGAAGCATTCTGCAAATTTGAGATTTTGACAATACACGGCATCATCGTAAAGAATGCGCTTACATTAATGCACCGCATGAAGCACTTTCCTAACACAGTACCTGTATCAATTAGAAATTTGTTTCCAGATAACATACCCACGCATGGTTCAAATCATGAGAACAGTAGCGAATGGCTAGATACGTACAATAACCGATGTTTCAAAGCATCCATCTTTTTTAAAGGACCTTTACTAGCTCTAACAGACACCAACAAGAACATCACGTCCCTACCTAGCTTATTTTCAATAAATATTTACAAATCGAACGCAAAACGCGTGCTTCTTGAGCAACAGTCAACACTAGCTAACTCAGAGGACAGCTGGCCAGCATTTCTGCTACACAACGTACCTGGTTTGAGGAAGTCCAATAGATGAGGGATGATTGAGTAATACAGCGACCAATAATCGCTAAATCATGACATCATATCATAACATAACATAACATAGGACGACAGCAAACACACAATAAACGAGCAGTAATAAACAACGTTCGCTTAATGGACTGACATATTTCAGCATATTTTTCACTGCCAAAGCGCTGATAACAGCAAGCCTTACCCCACTCCGCGCGGCTTTTTTAATGCACTAAATCTTAAAGATAATTCTCGCGATAAAATTTTCATCGTCACGCTTGAAAATTTCTAGAAATTAGAATAGCCGTATATTATAACAAACTATAACAAGCAGAATTAAAAGATAAAAGGTTCTGGGACTTGAGTGGTACAAATAAAATGAAAGGCATGCTAATCATGCTCACGTACTGTAATGTGTCGAGAGTTTTTTTTTTTTTTTTTTTTTTTTTAATTTTTACTATTTGACAAAATAATTGATCTTTTTAGTGCGAGTGTGATTTCAACTTTGAGTTTGAAAATATTTTGAAACGACTTTCGATATTATTGATTATTATATTTAATAAACTGTCTCAAAGCCCTTAGAGGTGGCTCTATACGGGTCTTTACAACAAATAGAAACAGAAACCTTCCCTTGTGAAAATGGAACGCGCCAATTTTTCTTATTTTTGAATGAAATCAAGGCGCTCACAAACCGATTAAATTAAATTATGTAAGCTATACGAGCACGCACGGACGGTCGAGCGCAGTGGCGGCCTGAAGTTGTGACGTCAGGTACCAAGCATTACCGGGCACCGGCCTATTCACTATTACTAGCTTAACTAGACAGAATAATTGACGGAGATCTTAAATCACTACATGCATATGTTAAACTCATACCAATTATCATTATTAACGTGATTACATAATCACGTTATAATTTAATCCTGTATCGGAATCAAGAAGCCAGGCTAATGTAGTTCAACTTTCACATAGTACATTGTGAGGTGCCCTCTTAAACCCGTTAAAAAATCTAAAGATTCTATCTGAATATGTTATCGTAATATTACTTCAGCACATCGGAATAATCAACGAAGAGGGGATTAAGCACTTTGCTGTTTAAATCTTTAGTGAACTCTTGGTCGTTCAATTATGGTGAGTTTATATGCCACTAATTTCAATGATTTTTATTTCAAATTCAGAGACGTAAAAATGGGAAATATCCCTGCTTCAAAATGGATTTTACAATTCTTGTTGCCATTCAAGTTTCAATTCGCAATTCGTCAATAAATTATTGTAATATTTCAGGAATTATAACGCATACGATCGCCTAATCCTTTAAGTCCTGACGAGGCAATATTACTGCTGGGAATAATTCTTCTTGGGACTCCCTCTAATCAGCTGCATTTATTTTATCTATATTCTGTGGTGTTATATTCTGTGGTGTTAAACACTATTGCCGTCATACCACTGTCTGGATATTATGATTTAATAATGAAAGTTACTGGCGATAATGCGATATATCGTCTTATTTTTCTGTCTTTCGTCAGCCACGGTGTTGACTTATGTTTTCTGAAGTTTATATATACAATTAAAGTGTACGACTGTTTAAGTTTTTAATATATTATACGTTACTTATTACAAAACGCATGTCTTGAAGAAGTTACTGTACAACTGTCATTTAATTTCATCAGCGCAGAAAAACACATTTTTTCTCTTTTTGTTTGATATTAAGGCAAACAATTGACATTTGATGTCTAAAATTTACAATTCATATTAACACAAATAAAGTCATTCAAAACTATTGCTAGCCCAATTAATTATAATCCCAAAATCTTGTACATATGATATATCCATATAAAATTATGATTATATGATATCATAATTTGTTCATGTTAAGAACCGCGTGATTGACTACTGCAAAACGTGTGTGATAAGTCTTTATAGTTCTTTTATAGTTCCGTGATTCTGAACCTCTGTGAGTGTTACCATCTAGATATTATCTATATCTACCTCCTGATTCTCGTCCCTTGCTCCTTCACTTTCTGTAGACTCGTTGGAGACTGTGCGTCGGGGCATGACTTTCCTCTCTTTTTCGTTGTTGTGGGAGTTCATCATGTTCTTCGTGATTTTAATCTTGCTGGCAAGTTTGTGTCCTTCTGTTACGTGACTCTGCTTTTGCTTGGCAGCCTGAAAAATCGACTGTTTTGTATTGTCTTCAAATATTACTGATACAATTTTGGTTCATCATAATTTTCAAAAATTAACTGCATTTAACAAAATTTGGAAAAATGAAGTGAACAAACCTCAGTCTTGGATCGCCCTTTTCGACCAGCCCGTCCCTGAACCTCTTCATAGTCGTATTCCTCGTATTTATCGGCCATTGTTACTATATGAAAATAAATACAGTAAATCTCTAAATACGGGCCTCTCGGGGGAAGTGCACGCTATGAAGAAATCTGGTTTAAAGAGGTCCACATCATCCCAATCTCTTTAAGGGATTGGGATGATTGGGACAACACCGCACAATAATATTGTGCGGTGTTGTGATGGAATACAGCTTGATATGTACTTAAATCTCCACCAAATGAGATATGAGCTATGATAAATCAGATCTTTTGTACAACACAAGCTAGTTAACTAAAATTTTGGGGGAAGAGAAGAGGCCCGGCATATCGAGGTACCCGGTATAGTGAGGCACAGTTTAGTTGATTGTACAAATCCAAAACAAGGATAGAAGATAACAAATAAACAATGAACAGAGAAAATTGATATCATGTTCTGCGATACCTAGTCAGCAAATACGGTACTGGGTACGTTGCTTCGTCCTTTGACAAAGCATAACTGTATTGGCTGCATTCCAAATATGATCTGATACTGTAAACTCTCAGTTGATCGATGCAATGTTATGTAGACCTGTTATTGTGTTACATTTCTACGATGCCAGACAAGATCGAATATTTCAAATTCAATACTGGCTAATATGTATTATCTATGAGTATGATATTATACTCTAGATCATGCTAAGATTTCATAATCACCATGCAATGGCATGAACAGATCATTTACCATGCATAACCACGAAACAGATTGATAAGTCTGGAGTCGCAAATTCATCAGAAAAAGTCATTTTATGTATCGTGTATTTTAAAGTAAACTCATAACAAACGAAGCAGGTGGCAGTCAAGTTTAGTGTGCACTGTGCAATCAAGTGACTCCATGAGATAAATGCTCCTTCAGAAAATTAAATGTTTCTGAGTATTGAATGTCTTGTCCGCATGATGGGGTAACGGGAATTTCATATCAAGATCTGAGGCCAACGAGTACGTGAATCTACGGGCGATCCTGAAAACTCGAACTGTTACAAGCGATCATTTCTGAAAATTGTCTGACTACATATTACTAATATTATTTGGAAAATAAATCGCCTGATCTGAACTAATGTACAAACTTAAAGCGGATGATGATTAATCAATTTACGCCTACAGAAATTACTTAAAAGACTTCTCTTACGATAATTTTTGCCTTGGAATTGGATTGGTTTAGCTGGTTGCGGATATTTAATTGAGGCAATTTTGAATTGGGAACTGTGAAGCTCCCAAAATGCAAAAACGAAAGACTAAAAGACTTAGGGTCAATTTATTAATTAATTTATTATCATCAAGTTGATAAGGTTAACAATGTCTCATTTCACTTTTTCACCGTCAAACTTGTGCTACTTAAACCACCAAGCAAGAGTCATCTACAACAATTGTAGTACAACATATACGTTGACAACACTTTGCACTTAGTAATTTAACGTTAAAAATAAACAAGGCATATGTCTACAGTACATTAAACTGAACACTGTTATTAACAGTTTACGTTACTAAAAGTAACCTAATGAATATTATTTAAAACTTCAATACAACTTGAGTCTGAGACGAGGAAGAGCCGGAGTAAAAATGTAACAGATGTGACTGTGAGCAGTCAGCTATAGAACTAATTAAAGTTGTAAGGTGTGCGCTGTATTTAAGAATTTAAATATAGCACTGTCAGTATATGGCAATCTGGCACCGCAGCAAGGGCATTCAATGTAATAGTAATACTAAATAAAGCTGTAAGTGTACGGCAATTTTTAGCGTTATGTTATAACGGATCCAGCTTTGAAATCAACGACGCCGCATATTCTTATACTTTTTAATTAATCACATTCGGTTGTACTAGCTTCAAGACAAGCAAAGCTGTGCGGCCTCGCATAACGTTCTATTCAAAATAACAAATGAGATTGGGTGTTACTGGTTACTGTTGCTGAACTAAAGTATCTTGCAAAAGGCAATCAAGATAGGTCTAGGTGAAGAGAAAAGCGAACGGTTAAATGAGGCGTTACTGATGAACCAAGAGCTCTACAAGAATACTCAATACTGCAGCAAGATACTATCATAGTTAATCACACATTTACAATTTATGTTATATATGCATAGATTATCTCTCCGATTTTTAGATCGACACACGACAATTAACATAACTACAAACAACATAAAAAGTAGTCAGTAAGTAAACCATATAAACGATATTGCAATTTGAGAGTTTAATAAATGGTGCAACGATCATGGCTTTTTATTTTAAGTGAATGACTTTATCTCTTATCATGACTACACATATATCATGCACGATAAGTATAAAATGCATACGTGAACATGATTGCAATAAACGCATACGGTTACACTCAAAATAGATAAAGACGGCTGTCTCAGTTCTCGCAGCGTTTAGCCTTATTAGAAGACCTTCCATAAACTACTGGCTCACAAAAATGCAGGCTCAATAACTGTCATGGTCACACTCACATCGGTCACAAGTTATACTTATAGACCAACGTAACCACGGTAACAATTACACATAATCATGGTTCTAATATTTATATTATCAGCTCACACAATTAAGTAATGACTGAAGAGGATTATTCACGTTGATTACATTATACATCTGCAACAAATCACACTAAACAGAAGCAAGCCAAGCAAAGCCGAGATTTGACTGTCTGCCAAACGAGGCACCTGATCACAACACATCAGTATTCAACATCACGCGCACAACACCACATAAGTCAACATGTTAATAATAGCTGTACACTGTACAGTCAACGAGAGCATTGTGTTATAGTAACATTTCACAGAATATATGTTATATTAACAGTGCTCAACTGAATACCGCGTTTCAGAGAGTACATATTAACAGTGCACTCAAGAATAGACTACTTATACTTATAGAAGTGAGTGTACTGTAAAGCCAGGTCATTACATTTCATACATATTATAACCAGTGTATAAATAATAGTTGTACTTCCTGTACTGCGTCTGTGATGAGTCATAAGTGGGCAATGTGCACGTGTACAGTGTGATGTCATTCTCTGATACATTTCAAAACTATGAGATGAACTGTGTGATCACATGATTTTCGTAAATTTTAACCGCAAAACTGGGAAAATCATCGTTATTTTTGTGTTCTCGCACACATTCTTTTGATACAATGATTATAAATATATACACTATTTTCATTCAATTTGGAGGAGAGCAAATAGGAATTTTTATTTCTTGAACCACAATCTGCATGAGCTAATCACATGCCTCTGAAATTGTATGAATTTTATTAGATTCAACAGTCACCTGACTTCTACACACAAATCACACAAATTTACTTATTACTAAGGAAGACACAGGAATAACAGTAAATAAGTAAGAATAATCTTGAAATTTTCAAAACTCAACACAACACATAATATACCAGACTCAAACTGCAACACAGGTGCACAGGAGTCTTCTAAGGCTTTAAATTGGGCTTGGTGCCAAAAAGAATTGGCACAGCTGTGAGGGAGTATTGACCCTCAATACCACTTTGAACAACTTAAACTCGAAATTTTAAATAGCAGAAATAGTACAGCTTTATTCTTTCATGATATCGATTATTACTTAAAGGGCCAAAGTAGCACGGGGCTATCAAACAGACAGTGGTTTGGATACCCATTTTGGTTATTTTGTATTCATTATTCACGAGAAATGTATTTCAAAATAAAAACAATGCATTTTGGAAACTTTTTGTAACGTCAATTTTAAAACCAGCGTGAATTCCAACCAGCTAGACAATAAATCTCATTAACTTTAACGAACATTATATTACAGTTTTTCAGTCCGTTCGTTTGTCAGAGTCCTGGCTCTACAATAGCACTCTAGCTCTCAGAATAATTACCATCGAAATTAATTTCGCTAGCAATTTAGAAATAAATGACAAATATGGTGTATAAAATTTATACCGCTGTTAAATCAGTTTATCATTTAATTAACTCAAATTCGAATAATATTGATTGTTCCAGTAATATGGGCGTGTTTAAAGTTTATCAATTACAAAACAGTCACAGCTATAAAGTTACGCTTCTCTCTCTATCGAGCGTCAATTCCGCTTGTTGGCTGCACCACAATATCAATACACAATTACAAGTTATACATTTCTTTGCAGGGCAGTTTCGTGCATGAAAAAATAATAACTAAAATATATAGCTAGAAATCGTATATGTTTGTTCATTAATATCGTAAAAACATTGCTTTTCGAAATCAAAAAACAGTTTGCAGGTAATAGTTACCTACGTTCATAAGGCTGTTTAATTTCCTAATAGTGTATTATGTATCAAAGCATGCAGGAGTCGATAGATATGGTTGAAATATCGGGGGATGATCCTATGCCCTAAATCAGGATTTTTTTTCTCAGAACAGTTTCTTAGTGCTCTTGTTCTTCTTTCCTGAGATCTTGTCCTTAGTGCTGAAAAGAGAGGGATCAATCACGGGAAACAGGGATGTAATTCAGACAACACGGCACACACGCGGATCACACCCTGGTCTTACCCGGCCCAACCACAGGATGGAACCAGGCTGGAACCTGGACACAACTTAGCCAGCTCAGTCTTTCGGTTTTGTTTTACCACACGCGGCAGAAATCAGAAAGACTGAGAGGACCCGGCTAATAAATATCTCTTTAGTCTGCTTTATAATCACGATGTTATTATATCACCCAAATATTTTATATCCCGCAAAAAAACATGCCACATTTTAATTGGTAAACACGATAATGATCATTTAATCAAGATGGTGAGTTGCCACAACATGGTGAGTAGCCACATTGCCACAATAACACTAAGTGTGGCACCACAGACTGGCCATGCTCGGCCGTCTAGATTTATCTTTAGATGAGGACCTGTTGAGCGAGGAAGTCGAATTGTTGACGGTCACACCGCTGGACAATTGCAGTTCGTCAAAGGCTTTCTGGGCGTCTTTCAGTTCGGTTCGTTTTGCTTCGATCTCCTTCTTCATTTTCTCCAAGTGCTTGAGAGCTTGGTCGTGTTTTACCTTCAGCTGAAAAACTCGTATGTTAAATTCCTAGTTACTGTCCAAAGTATTGGTTTGTAAATGGGTGACCAATTATTTTTGGTATAATATCATGGCCAGGTATTAACGAGTGTTTCAACTGTAAAATTAGATTAGTATTACGATTGACGATAAGAGACCCAACCGGATACAGTAATTCAAAAAAACCTCGTTATCCTGATAATTTGATTCATGATTCTGTCCAGTTTTATCGTAATATGGCTCCATAATCAGACCATTTTACATTTCCATTTCAAACCTCAAATCTCACAACTCTTTTTTTATACCCACCTCACTAATAATAATGTAATGAGTGAATGAAATGAAGGTTTCTATAAATTTCAGGTCCATCCCACTTCGATTCTCCTATTCCATTGTGGCTTCCTGACACCAAGTCTGGCTAGTACTAAGATGCGACCATAGGGGTGGTATTGGCGAAGTGACCTCCGAAAGCGAAAATACGATAATTCTCGGTAGAATTTAGGCTAACTCAATCAGCGCCTCCCCATCAGGCATCACGGAAATAATAAACCCATTTTTTAAACATTTAAGATAAGAATCAGCAGATGAGCAGATGCCAACCAATCAGTAATTCTCCGACTTGATTGAAAACGCGTGAGGATATTGCTATAAAGCCACCTGACCGGTAACAATTTTCACTCTTTCTTTTGCAATCATGAAGAACTTTTCCTTCGTTTTGACTATCCTGCTCCTCTTGGGAGTCCTGGAAAATGCATCTGCTCTAGACTGGATGAATGGACCTATCAGGGATATCTACTATCTGGGAGTCTCGTCGGACAACAGAATGGTAATCGCATACCGTGGAATGGGGTCTGTCTACATCAAGGAGCGCAGAGGCCTGAGAGAGTACCGTGACTCAAACTGGATGAGGAAGAACGCAAAGTATGGTAACTATCAGTGCCACTACGCCGAGTTTCCCGTTATAAGCTTCCCGATGACTATTTCGATTGTCGGTAACACACTTCCTCACTCGGGCAGGAGTGGAACTGTGAGGAAGCCAGCCGTTGAGACCTGGACTCGAGCTCGGATCGCTGCAAATGGAACCCCAATATCTCAGAATATGTGGAGCAACAAGAGTTGGTATTGAACTTTGAAGTTAGTTTTATTGACTGAAGATTCGGACTATATTTCAAGTTATGATAGTAAAGATTTAATTATATTTTTGGGATTTTATTGTCTAAACGTTCATTCTTTCTGACCTGAATTAATTTGTACTGTAATAATTATACTATTATATCCAAATTTTGTGTGACAATTTCTTTTGATTTTATCGAATTCGAAAACCGGGCAGGTAACCCTGAACCCAAGCAACAAAAACTGCCATTTATAGAAAAAGTAAAATTAATCAAACGGTAATTTACCTCATTTTTCTGTTCATCCATTTTGGTCATTTTCTCCTTAACTTTTTCCTCCATCACCTTTTCCATGCCAGCCTTCATGTTCTTCAAACGCTCTTGGTGTTCTTTCTTTTCTATTTCGAACTGTGCTAGTGGGTTTCTGAAAAATATTAAATCTTCCAATTGTTAATCCGAACTAATGAAGGCGAATTCTTCCTTATCTTGTAAAAACTTGCGTGGCAATATGCTTTCGTGCAGTTTTTTATGAAATTATTAACCTCAAATCATATAGGATGTCAAATTTGAAACACGATGAAAACACAAATTGTGCCCACATTCCCATGTATTTTATAATATTAACTCCTTTATTATATTACCTGTTGGAAGAAGCAAGTTTGCTATCCAAAGACACTGACGTTACTGCTGCCAACTTATTACACCTAAAGTTCTCATACAATACATTATTCGTTACATCCTTCAAGTCCTGCATATGAGTCCTTATCAACAGATTCCTCAAGAAGATAAAGTCGCAATGATCAGGATTTTCCACCTCGGCGATACCCCATGGATACATCCGTCCTCTCAATTTTTTTCCGTTGATATCGAGCATCGTGTTGCTGCCCACCACGGCGAACGGTAGCTGAGCCTGTGGCAAAGTGGGGTTAATTTCTGAGGCTTCACTTCGAATTACAGATTCTTTGGAATGAGGACATATTTGTTATATATTCTAAGGTTTGAGTCATGGGTTGTGTCAAAAAAGTTTTCGGAAGTGATTATGCCCGGCTACCCAAATGATAGTTAAATAAAAGTGAAATAAAAACAGAATTATTTTTACCTGCAGATCCTGAGCCTCCTCTTCCTCATCAAATTCGTCGATAGGGAACTGGTAGATCTTTATATCGTGGAACTCTATTTCTTTCATTACGTTAGCTTTGAATTCCACGCATTCCTCAGGAGTGAGGGTGTCTGCTTTGCCGATTACTGGTACGATGTTTACCTTCTCGTGAAGCTGTTTCATGAACTCGATGTCCAGCGGCTTCAATCTGAGGTGTAATGATTGAAGAAGTGAGCTAATATGCTACAGAATTAACCAGAGTGGCTGCGGTCTTTCTAGAAACGAAAGAATGCAGTGATTCATAGTTTTAGCTCCTTTAGGCTGGAATAATACCTTTGAACAAAATCGTGTATGACGCAATGCTAGATTGATAAATTATATCATAAATATATAAATTGCGCGTGATGACAAGACGTGCGCGAAAACAATCTTTCCCCACAAATATTTGATTCGGCAATCGCGCGCGCTGCTAAAAATACACGATTCCCTTCTTCTTAGACTCGATTTGCTTTCCCTTCTATTCATTTCCGTGCATGTCGTGACGACAGAGTACAAAAGTTCCGGTCTTATGTTACCAACTTTACGTAGATAGATAGGTTGGCGTCGTCAAGCCATCACGTGACTGACTTCAGACACAAGTAAACATGGCAAATCCTTCGTTAAGCAGATAAGTGCTTGCATCACCGTGTAAAGAAGCCAAACCTTGTTTAACATGTTTAGGCACGGGAACAGTTTAGCAGCTGTTCACAATTAATGCGGAATAGACGTTAACGTTGGAATGTTTGTTAAAAGTATTCGAATGCTGTTAAGTTATATACGTTATGCAGTATTTTTCGCCGACCATTCCTATTGAACGTCCTACTCAGCCGGTAAACTTTAGACGAAACCCGACTCTTAGACTGAAGAAAAGATATTCCTCTTGCAATAATTGGTGTTAATTTTATCCATTTTAGTTTATTTCAGCGGTTATATTTCAGGAGCTGCTTAGGCGGGATTTTATTAGCTCATAATTATGTGCTTAGCATGTATGTCGGAGAAAGTAAGGGTGAGATTCTAAGGGTTTCGCATAAAGCGTAGAGCTTCCGCCGAATTCAATGTAAATGTCAACTCTTAGAAATATACTAAAATAGATTCTCAATCTAGAGCAGAGAGGATACTTACACTGTACAAGTCGACTCTTAGAAGATACCAGAAAACACGAGAATCAATGTATTGTAAATCCAGTTAGAGGGTCTGAAATTAATTCTCTTGACGTGCTTTAAACATTGTTTCTGTAATCACCTGCGCCGGGGAAATGTGTGAATGTTGCTCGCACAGGCCAGCTTCAGTTACAGTCGCCCAGAAAGTTCTATACAGCACACCAGCTACATTATTATGTTCAAGATTGGAGTCTGGGATTCACGCTGTGTCAATGAAACCTCAGTTTTTCTTGTCCAATAAAGAAGCTGTCACATGTCAAACGCGCTGGTGCATTATAACGTTATTAGTGTCACAGCAGTAAAGTTCACATTTCTAGCAAAATGATCACAACTGTACACAAGCTGCCCGATCTTTAAGTTATTATTAAAATAGCAATAAGGATGTCTCGGTGTGTTCAATAACCAGTGTTATTAGAATATACGCAATCGAACGACCATGCTATTAGTCCAATTAGTGAATTAGTAGCTCTCAACCTATACCCGGAATTAAATATAATATCCCCGCTGATCAGCTTTAATTTCCTTAATTACAGAGAATAAAATAATAATGTGTACACACACTCTCTCTCCCCACACTTCACAACAATAGTAATTATCTTAACGACAGTGAGACACGGTGATCAGGTCACAACAGGTTATAATCTCCAGCTGCTGTGTAAGGAGTGAGGAGATAATTATTTGTGTCATTATGTGAGAAGGGTGGCTTGTTTAGTAAAGGTTCACCGTCTAGGTGGAGAGTTACGTGTTTCGCACGGCTGGTAAGGCTTGTGGTGTCGCTATGTATGGCTAAACGGTACAGGTGTATGCCTAATGGCTCTCTTTAAGAAATCAAATGCTTGTCGGTTGAGATAATCGTTTGGCTTGAAACATGGGCTTTTGAGCTGGAGGTGACGTTTTTAGTAAATCTTTCTCACGCTTGCGCGGTGAAATGACATTTTAAAAGATTGTTATGTCAAGATAGCCTATATTTCCGTCAAGAAGGATTGCAATAATGACCATTAAATAAGACAGACTATTTATAACAAAAACAGCGCGGAGAAGACAGTACAAAATAATTTGTAAAACAATTTGAAAACTGTAATTTATCACAACAACTAACCCGTGTCCGGGGGAGATGAAGTAGAGACAGCAGTGAACCCTGTTGTCCACCACGGTAGATCTGTTAACATGCCCCTCTGCGTTCAGGTACTCCTCATATTTACTGTCTATGTACTCCAGGATAGGCTTCCAGCTGTGAGATAACGATCATCATATAGACTGACTTATCATGACTAGTCGTAGTAGTCATGATAATGATAATGAGAAAGATGAATGGCCCACATCCAGAAAGTTTTAAATTTCCTCGCAGTTCAATGATTCCCCCTAACAATTTTCTTTAAAAAGTTCTTCTAAAAATGTCCTCTTTGGGCACCAGATTTCCTCCAAAATCAAAAATTTCCTTGCAGATTATCTGCTGATCTTTCTGGATGTGGGATAAATGGTATACAGATGTTAAGGGGAGATTATTGTAATGTTAAGGGAGATATAATGTGTACAACAGACAGCTCTCTCAAGTCCACTCTTCAATGACTTTTAAAGAATTTTTTGTCTTCTGTTTAAAATTTTAAAAGGTTGCAGAATGCAAAGTGGGTCTCGCTTTTCAAGGTTTGAAATTCAAATTTACTGTGACCATCACTGCATCACATCACTGTACTACAACAAGATAGAAATGTATATTGAAAGCCAAAACATCATGCAAAATCTTGAAATCTTAGATTTCTCCCACAATGACCATAATATAGCTTTTTAAAACCGCATTAACCTGCCATTGCTTTTTTCACATAAAGCAGCCATCCATAGCCGATTCTGAATCCACAAATAAAAAATAACAGCATACAGAAGACAAAAAATGCATGGTCAGATCGGGTTATTTTATCACGCATATCGTCAAGACTGGCATAATAAGATGTCATTTTGGATTTTTGCTAAAGAGCATGGCAACAATCGGCTAGGCATGGTCGCAAGTTTAGATATTTTGGTAGTCAGTGTGGTACAGATAAAAAGAACTAAACCCCTGAGGTCAGTTTAAGGTCACAGTTTCGCAAATTATAAGAGTAGCACTTGCTAAACTTTGCACACTGCCGAGGTTCTGCATCAGCCACTACAATTTGAGTAGCTGTTTAGTCAAGTCAGTTAAGCACATTTAACTACCTGTACATCGCCTGATACTTCTGAGATTTTGCACAGACCTTCATAAAGGAGCCAAAAGAGTTTAAATCATGGGCTTAACCCAGGGGGTCACGCCCATTTTTATTCTTCAGCTTTTGAAGGTCATAAAAACTTATGAACGGGCTTTAACAAAACAAAATCTCCCTATGTTTACACAAGTTGTTAAGAAAAAAATATTGCCTGAAATCTTTATTTTTCGAGAAAATCACCAAAAAAGTTTTGGGCGTGGCGCCGTGCTCGATTTTGCCAAATTTTGATAGAGTATGATGATAGAGTCTTCCAGAGAGGTGCAAAATAACCGAAACTGACATTGTTACATATAAGGAATCTAGAAACAGGTGCCTAAAAATGCTTACTTTTTAAGTTACTGTTGAAAAACTAAGTTTAGGTCCCAAGAAGATCATGCAAAAAAACGGACCTCAGTTAAATTGGGCTAGGAAGTAGGTCCGAGAAAAACGTTTATTTACACCTTAAGAAGGACAACATGTACCCTACAAAATGCTTATCATCTTTCGAGTATTCGGCAAAAAGAACGGAAGGTCTGTGCAAAGTTTCAGAAGTATCAGGCGGTGTGCAGGTAGATGTGCATAAACGACTAGACTAAATTGTGCCACTCCACAGTTCAATCCACGTACCGAGGCTTCTTTTTCCTGAGGCCACAGTAATTACCAAAAATTTTCCGTACACCACTGCGGTAAGAGGGCTTGTGTAGATTTTGCGGTCTGTGAAAGCTAAGTACTCTCTCCGCTCTTATCTCGGCCAATATATGTAGTGTTTGTTTTTATTTTTATTGTCAAACAGTCTTCCACCAATTAAAATGTAACAATAGTGCCACAAAAGAATTGCAACAAAATAGCTGCAATGATTGTGTGCTGGAATTTGATTGCAGCGGTTGCAATTGTGCCGCACAATAAAACAATTTGTAAAATGCTCTTCATTTCTATGAATTAAGATGTGGACTAATATTTATGAGGCACACTGCATAATTCCGAACAAAAATGCAAATATTCGAGGAATCTACGAACCATTTAGTGTTATTGATAGCATCACCGAAGCCAGGGGTATCAACCAGCGTTAACTTCAGACTGACGCCTCCTTCGACAAGATATACTGTCGAGTTCTGCACCTGTAACGTGGGGTTATTTCAGAAGAGAAACCTGATTTTCGGGTACACAAAACAAAAGTCTTGATCTTCGTCTTAATCCAATCAAAACAATAAAATGTCGGTGTAAATTCCATGTAAGCTATAAGCGTATCACCGAGGTATTCGAGCGTCGAAATTCAGTCCATGAATTGCATAAAATATTGCTAATCTAATATACTGTAATATAGATTATACAGGGGCGCCCACTGAAATATCTAGTTACTACCTAGAGAACTGTGTTGAAATAGCAGGTAATAACAATAGCAGGTAATACTGTATTATCTATGTAATTTACTATTCAGGTCGCTGATTTCACGACTCCAGATGATCTGTCGTACTGGTTATTAGCTAAACCTAGTTATCGGGGGAGGGAGGGAGGGAGGCGATGATTTATGCACTAAGTCATGCTGCCACTGTTATGTAGTAACTAGCATTACTGTTATCTGTACAGTAAATACCGGTCTGTTAGTCTGACTAATACATTCGCTGCCTTGTACAGAGCTTTGTAGAGGTTTTATAAAACAAACCCCCGGTTTTATTCATAGCCCTTTAAAGTTTAAAACAGTACAAATGTGTTGATGTGTAGTGTAGAGGATTATAATATCGTACTCTTACAATATCATTAACATCGGGCCGTGAACCCCCTAAACTTCACATAGTTTACACACTGCAGAGATATTATCCGTGAACCCCCTAAACTTCACATAGTTTACACACTGCAGAGATATTATCCGTGAACCCCCTAAACTTCACATAGTTTACACACTGCAGAGATATTATCCGTTAACATAAAGGAGCGTGCTGTCGGGTTTCTTCGGGGCTCGCGCCTGACACCACAAGTATCTCAAATATGCAGTACCACATTAACAAAATATTCGCAATTCCAGCCGGCTGTATTATAATTCCCCCCTCTACAGCTATCTTGTATATTAATGAGTGTAGCATAATAATAATAAAATATGCAGGTAACTCCAGGATGTTAAACTAAACGTCAGATTTTTCTCTCCCTCTCCCGAATAATTTATAAATTTCTCATAACTAAGTTTAAGCTGGTACAGAGCTAAACTAAACTATGTTTGTAAACATTCACGTCACTGACCAGGTTTAATGTCGCGCTCCAACACTGACCCTGTCAGTCAGCACTGACACATACTGACAGACCCCCGCTCACTCCCACTGTGACTTACACACTCTCTCTAAGTCAGACTTTACACTAGAGCTTCCCCGGGCCGTGAGTTGAGGTCATCTGGTGTGTGGACAGCGGAACTGGACTCCCTGTTTAATAATCTGACGTACAATAACCCCCACCCAGACTACACTCTCCAGCTTCGCGATACAGCAGGGCAACTTGCAATTAGGTGTGTATTGTAGAAACGGGTGTTGAAAGTCGCGTAACCCTTGACGGCCATTAGATCAGCGGCTAAGAACTTTTAATATTATATTTAGAGGATTTCTATTCGTCCACAGCTCTCTTCCCGCGTGCACTATAAATAAAATACGCCACACGCCCAACACGGCTGAAATGCTGTAATTTTTCGCCTCAAATCCGTATATTTTTCTAAATTCTCAACTTCAATACAAATCAGGTGATTGTGTTGTAAGGCGCCTTGTCAAGACTAATTGTTGAGTGTAACAAAGGTTTCGAGTTACACACGACGCACTCTTTCCACGCACAATCTCGCACACGCTGTACCAATTGACGGGAGCTGAGTTACACGCCACATTTCAACACACACTCTCTCAGGAACACATACAATATCCCTCCCTCCGTGTAGTAGCTCTCTTTATGTGTACATATTCTTATATACTGTGCATTATTTAGCTGTCACGTTCTGTTGGGAATATAATGTGAGAGGGGTTGAGAATGGATTGCGCACTCCCTAATCGGTGTAATGACCCATACTCAATACCTCCCCAAATGGGAGATTACGTAAGAATGTGTCACACTATTCCGGACAATTTCACCTGTTTATAACAAATACAAATGCTCTTTATACGACAGATTACAGTACAGTGGTAGTAATAGTAATAGTAGTAATACGTGTGCTCCACGTATTTCCTGTCTCTGTTAGAACAGCAGGTCGCTAATTTGAGAACTCGTTCGCTTCCTTGAATTGCGAGAACGGCTAGAACCTAGACACTAATTTGTCGTGGTGACGTAATCTAATAAAGCTCTCACGAATGGAGGAGAGAAGTTAGAAATGTAAGATGATTTAATCAGCACGTTTGAGTCGAGCTTTCAGAAATTGGCTTATTCTCAAGCTGAGGTGGCGGTACAAAGTAAGGGCTAGGAATCTGACGCCAGAGAAAGTTTGGGTAATGTAAGGCTTTGTTGCCTCTTGAAGGGAATTCTGGAACGTAAATATATATGATTATATAACAAATGTAAATCGTACAAGTGAAAATACTTTATAAGGACATGTTGTGGCGAATAAATTGAAACATTTAAAACAGCGATGGAATCCCGTGTCAGCAATGGTAGACATATTTGCACGTGTGAGAGACGGTACGTGTTATTTTATGTTAATCTTAAAACACATACCTTAACAGTTTTGTTGGGTGTTCCAGCGACTGGATACTTCTCATCCTCGTAGATACTTGAGAGAAAGAGGGAGTTGATAAGTGTGCTTTTACCCAAACCAGTAGCTCCTGGGGGTATAGTTCATTAGTCAGTTTATATTTAGTAAATACATTTTTCAGGTAAATCATTTGAGAATATAAGCTAGCAATTGTTTTTCTTCTTCATTCTTCTATTAGTTTATGACTGATTGATAAGTTGGGATAAATTGACTGTAAATCGCAAAATACACCATATATTTAGCAGAGTTATAGCCTTTCACTGATAACATTTCTGAGCAATAAGCTCTTTAACTTATAATAAAAAATGTCCAACAAAAAGGGAGGAAATGGTTATTGTAAGTTAGAACAACTGAAACTAAATAAGAAGGCGACGATATAGCTGTCTATTGACTCGAGAATTTCTTTTGACAGACACGATAACTAAGTTGTGATCAGACTAACGAAATATCAGTAAAATAGTCTGAAGTATTGGGCATCTTATCGTTTAGAAGTAGTTATTTGTACATGAGACGCGATTCACAAATTCTTACTGAGGAATTTCTCGAATAATCCTAGGAAATACATTGTCCTGGGATGAATTCTGACATTTCGGTGTCTGGTTCATAGACAGGTTAATGTTTTGAATAACTATCCTGTGGCACTAAGTCAAGGGAGATACCGATGGCGCCACGATAAGGTGCTTAAACAAATAGCAGACCAGGTTAAATTCCATTGTGAGCGGAGAGTCAACAAGAGGAAGAGTTCTTGTGTCACTCGGAAAGCCATTGAGTTTGTCCCAGCAGGAGGGAGGTTTAAGGAGGTGAAGAGGTCGAAAGTCAGTGGGTTTGGGATTCTGAGTGGGGCCACTGATTGGATAGTATTAGCAGACCTGGATGAGCAGCTGAAATTCCCGTCGGATATAGCAACGACCAGATTAAGACCAGATTTGGTTCTTTTCTCGAAAGCTTCCAAGAGAGTAATCTGGTGGGAGCTTACAGTACCGTCGGAAGAGAGAATAGCTGCATCCCATGAGCTGAAGCTTGATCGGTATAACAGTCTACAAGCGGAAATACAAGCTAATGGGTGGTCATGTTTCAGCTTTGCTGTTGAGGTTGGTGCTAGAGGTGTGGTCGCAGCAAGTTTGGAGTGTGCATCAAGGAAGATTGGTCTGACTGGGAGAGCCCTCAAGAAGTTGGTCAGAGATTGTGGGAAGGATGCAGCCCATTGTTCAAGATGGATTTATCTGCTGTCTAGGAAAAGAGAGTGGGAGATGAGAGCTGTTTGAGCTTTATGACTTCACCTAACAGCCAGAGGTGCCATAAGCTAACTCGTCGTAAATCGCGAGCTCTAGCAGGTATCCTCGGGTGATTGTCAGATCAGATGGTGGTCCAAGAGAGACTGCTGGGGCACCTGACAGAAAACCGTATCGCAATGAAAGCCCCGAAACGGTGTCAGGTTTGTGACTGAAGATTCTGATCAAGCTCAGGGTTGAGTCTACACAGTGTCGCCACTTGCCGATGCCATTTGATGCGAGAAGACACTGATGTAAGTGGGAAGTTATGTCTAAGAAACAGCGTGTGGTTCGGGTGCCGGTTGAACGCATGTAAAAGGGAGGGTATATCCGTATTTCGCTGCTAGTGATGCAGTCCTTGGCCCGGTAGCTAAGGCTTCCCCGTTTCTCGCTCATTTGTGCTCCGATGGGCTTGTGACCTCTGCGGGGGTCAAGTGCAGGATGAGGGACATGGCCGACCAGGAGAAGGTTGTTTTTGGGAGATAGAGTAGGGTTGGTTTGGTGTTGTGCCTTCGCAGTTTAACTGTATCTTTACCCTCGGCCCCAAAGATATAATATGATCAAAGCTGAATGACAGTCATGGCATATTTCTAATTTTTAGCATAACTCATGGCATTAAGAATGAGCTATGCTGGTAAACTTTTATACGTTCATATAATGCATCATTTATATAGGAGGTCATATTACTTCCCATACAATACTAACATAGAATAATTGTATTCCTCAGAAGCACAATAGAGTAGGCCGCACACAACATATAGTACACTAATTTATCATTACATCAATTATGGTATAAGCAATAAGCATTAACTTATAATTATTTAATATAATAGTAATTACGTACCTACTACCATGAGAGTGAACTCAAATCCTCGTTTGACAGATTTCCTGAAAACCTGATTTGGGAGGTTGGCAAACCCAACATATCCATTCAACTCTTTGTCAACACACGTGACTGCTGGGGGCGTCTCTGTACGCAGGACCATTGTTACAATGAACTAGGTAGAGAGGTTATTCAGTACTGCAGAGCAGGGAGAATGTATTATTATTAATATGCTTGTTTAATGTGTACTGACATTGCTGCTCAGGAGATTAAAATTCCGTGCATACTAAAACTCAAAACTTGATTAAATATCATAGTACTTATACTTGTCGAGGAAAATGTTCAGTAGATTAAAATTCCATGCATAAAAAAATCAAAACTGTACTTAATTTCACAAAACCGGTTGAAGAAATTAAATTATAACAGACATAATACAGAAAACAAACAGTTTTTGAACGTTAAACTTATCTATTAAAATATACACACAACAATTAAATATTATAAAATATCTTCTGGCAAACCATACAAAAATAATCAATCTGTCATAATAAAATTACGTCATAACTCTGTAGAAGGTACGAATGTCTCAACAATTAAATCATTAAAAAATCAAATTTCAGTATTAAAATTAAATTTGCAGTCATGACATCGACTAATAACCAAAATCCAAACATTTAAACATGAATGAAATTTCCTTAAAAATGCATCTGAAAACTACCGAGTACCTGTTAATCTGTAACTCCCTCACTGCTTTTAACAGCTGACATTATTTACTACAGTCATATGCTAACCTTTTCCCTAATTGACATGAACGTTAAACTTTTAACAGCTTCTTAAGTACATATCGGCTTTGTAGGACAGTCCTCTGTCATCCCAACAGCAGAAATCATAAACTCCCATAAAATGTCATTGAAGAAGCAGTACATCCCTCCACCACGCCTAAATTGGGAGCTCATTCTGTTAACACCTCCAAAACACAAGTATTTATACTGTTCATCAGCAGATATGGCCCACTTAGAGTGGTCTTGAGTCTCTTTATAATCCAATTGATCAGCATAAAATGCCATGTAGACGATATTCTTAACAAAGTAATTATCAGTACAGTTGGAGTGCAACTTACTTTCGCCATTCTGCCAAGTTTCAGTGTAAAGACTCATTGGTGGATCAAAATGTGGACTTATCAAAGCATCAAATATATCAGCTCCGAATGAGCCATTTTTGTTGAATGCAGTTAAAATTGTACTGTCAGTCAAGAATAGAGTTTCGATTTTAGAATGGGGATTCCCATTAGCAGGCAAAGGCTCTCCTTTGATAATTTGCTGGAGGTTTTCATATTTCCCGTACAGATCCTCTTTAATCTTGAAGTTGTAAACAAAAGGCCACATCATCCTGATTTGATAGAGCAATTTGGATAATTCACTAATCGGCAGTGTAACACAGAAGAAATGTTGCCCATAATAAATGCCTGTGTGTGGAAAACCATATCCTGCTGTATCATTGTAAGGAAAGTGAGGTGTACTGTGGATCAGGTAAACAATTCTTGTTTCATCAAACAGAACAGTTCCTTTTGTGTGACCATGATCGAAAGATTTTCCCCCACCAGGCACTTCATCATTAAACATGAAGTAGTTCAAAGTTCCATTGACAGAGTGATCTGAACCAGGTATATAGACACTCTCCATGGTCAGTTTAATGGGATTCGTGTCAGAACTTATTTCAACATCATGATGAATTAGGTATGGTTTCTCTTTGTCAGCATAGAAAAGTTTCTCAGAGTGAGGAGGTTTAAACATGAAGTACCATGGAGTTTCTCCTCTCAAATTTCTGCAGGACAAGCTTGAACAAACTTCTACACTAACCAGGAAGGTGAGTGCAGCTAGAACTGTTCTCATGTTTTATTTTATATTCAACTTCCTGCAGTAAATTTTTATAAAATCCTCAGTCATGGAAAACAAACTTGCAACAATCAGATATTTTGAACACGAGTACTCAGCAAAAAAAACGAATTATGAATGTTGCCATCTGTACAACCAATCATTGCCATTGAAACATTTTATAATACACTCTAATAATTTTAACTAAACGTGACCCGGTTGATCAGTTGATGAATTAAAATCTTTATTTAGTATTTATTAAATCATGTTCATTTGAAATCTTTAAATGATTATGTAGCTCAGATGATGATTAATTGCTCTGCAATCGACCATCAAGCAAATAGCTTCAACACGTTCTATACTCTGACCCCTACTCTTAACTAAATCCCAAGCTGAAGCAAATGCTAGAACCCTAATTAAAAATTAGGCCAATTCTTTGTATGGCCATATCACGTAAGCATTTTAACCTTGTGTCGAGTGAGTGATTCGGAATCAGCTTTTAAAAATACATCAATTCAAGATGGCTTCAACTGTCATGGGACAACTTTTAGAATATGCATTATGCGCGCGCTATATCTCCACCGAAAGCACGTCCAATTTGATGTGTATGAAATGTGTCTATAGATGATTCTGCACTAAGTTAGTGTGTCGACAAAAATTGAACGGGGAATCGTTTAAGATCAGTTTTGAGGCACCTCAACAAAAGCTACTCATGCTATTGTGTTTTTACGGAGAAATTAGACAGTAGCGTTTTTGATCATGTTATTCTCTTTCAAAAGTACTTTAAGTTTAAACTATTCAAACAACATACACATAATATAGCAATGACCCTATATAAAAATTGTTTAAAAATGGTACAAATTTTAAAAACTGAGGTAAAAATAAAAACACTTTGCAATAATATATAACAAATTCACATCACAACAAAAAGCAGTTTAGACCCCCATCCAACAAGCACTCCATGACCTTTTAGGGTTTAGGAATGTTGATCAGGTTAAGGTCCAAATCACGTATTGCCGTGGGTAGAAGAGTTCTGGTACCTCTGTATCCCCTGACAGAGATTATACAGGTTCTGAGTAGATGAAAGCGCAGTCTGCGTCTGACAAATGACATCACATCACAATAACGTTTACTGGGCCGCGCTCAGCCTGTCATTCCGCCAAATCTTTATGTTAATGACCATAATAGCCTGGGGTCCTCAGGTAAAATAACGTTGGCCTTTCTTAAGGCTGATCTTTAAGCTCAATAAGGAATAGAAGTGGTACAATATTTCGAATATTTAAAATTTATATTAGTGCACACTATTTGCTTCTGATTCACGGTGTCAATCCTTCGCATCTCGCCGATCTGCATACGTGGTTGCGAGAAAATGCGCGGCGCGACCCAGTAGTGCATCGCGCTACAATATCTGCATTAGCTAATAATTCATTTATAAAATATGCAGCTTAAGTCACGCTTATGGGGTGCGATTAAAGTTTTACCGTTCTGTGTACATGCTTATACTTTTTGTTTTATGAGTAAGCTGTGGGATTGTGAAAATAAGCTATTTCAATGTATTTTGACGCTGATTTCGAAGAAGACCTATTTGCTATTACTGCAAAAATAAAACAAATGCAATATGCGCCGAATAAATTATTACCAGGCGCAAATGTGAAGCAAATTTAATGGACGGCCTGTACAAACTTTTCAATTCGAAAATTTATAACTATATCATATATATACTTTAACGGGTGATACTCGTAAAACATTTACTGGGCCGCGCTCAGCCTGTCATTCCGCCGAATCTCTATATGTTAATGAACATGATAGCCTGAGGTCCCCAGGTAATAAAATATCTGTTCCATATGTTGGGACCGTCGACGAGTCCAACTCGGCGCGCGTCCTGGTAGGTTGTAAACCTACAATATATACTGCTTGAAATCTTCCTTTTTCAAATAAAAGCAAAGCAAGGTAATTATGCATAAACATGATGTGCGCGGCACGTCGACGTGATAATGCAATCTCGCAATGCTGAATGCACAATTCCAAATTTAATGAGCAAATGATAATAAATTTTAAAAACTTTTATTTGTACTATTTACTTAAATACTGGATTATCCTGATTCCTGCTGATAGAAATTAAATTATTTAAATGTGTCTAAATTATTAAATTAAATTATTTAAATGTGACTATACTGAACAATTTATTCATTTTTAGTTCGTTAATATATTACATTTTTGGGTTAGCGCGAACTACTTCCTATTCGACAAAATTATTCTATCATCTGCAATCTGTGCTATTCTGGATACACTGACCTCAATACAAGGGTCTTTGTTTAACCACAAATAATTATTGCCCAAGCCTGATTCAGTGGCCTTGTGTCTGATAATTTCCAGCTGTAAATAATTCGTATTATTACTTTTGGATGCTTGGTTGGATTATCTGGAAACTGATTCAGCCCTTCGAAACCATTGCCAAAGATGAAGGAAGACGATTGAGATCCAAAACACAATCATAATTTAGATCTGTTTTTAGATCTAAATTATGATTGTTACTTTACTTTTTCTTTACCTACAGAGGCGGCTTGTTGGATGTCCAATCGACGGACTGGGGAGGAGAGGGGGTGGGGGACTTGGGGCTGGCCAAAGCTCCCTCCAAACTACTGATTGCATTACACACAGGGCCTCATGAATGTAATGTGTCACACTTCACTACACAGGGGACAGCAAACAAAAACAAAAACTTATAAATTGCTATGGACGAAGCATATATTTCATGAGCCGGGGTCAATGTTAGACCGGACGAAAATATGGCTACATCTCAACAGTGGATAACACAGCAGAGGTTCTATTACACTTAAATTCTGTTACCTGAACTCAACTTAACAGTTCTAATATTATAGCATATACTATTGACTATAATATTATGAAGACATTTTGTGTCAAAATGAGGCTGTTTAATCATTCTTGTGTGTTTTTAATTAATTTATTATTGTTAAAAAGTTTATATTGAGAATTTTATACAGTAGTCTATAGACCAATTAAATTATTTACCGGTCACATATGGTCATTGTAAAGTTTGCTTTGCCCAAATTTGACTGCCAAAATTGGTACAATTTGACCGGTTGAGCTATTTAGTGAGCTAGCATGCCACCTGGTGTTCACCCTTTGTTAATATTTCACCCAGATGGAAACAAATGTTCACTGGACACTTTAACATGTAATCTATATGTGTTACTCAGCCAATGTGGAGCATATCAGTGCTTCAAAGTGACATTTTAAAACTTTTTGCAATCTCGTTGGTAACTGAATCTGGCAGTCAAAACAGGTTGAGACTCTCAGAAAAAGGTCCCATCTACACAGAAAGCCCCGGTTGAGACAACTTTTAATGCTCAGCCTGTGTGGAGCAGTAGCTTGAAAGTTAGGCAATTTTCAAGACCAAAAATCATACGCTAAACAGTCAAGTTTTTGGTTGAAACTCTATGAACTTTGATCTCTGTGATCTCCACCTGCAACATCTCCTGATTAAAGAAGACGGGTTGAAGTCCCATCAGGCTCAAATGAAAAAGTTAGAAGCAGCACTGTCCTCATCATCCAGCTCTGCCACAGACCCTCTAGAATACAGCATAGAGCAGCTGAACCAGCAACTTGCACAGCTTCAATCGCATCAAACTGCAGCATCTGAAACACCTGCTTGCACTGCCACTCATGAGCTACTTGAGAGAGTCTCACAAGAACTGAGTGAGCATTCCACCCAACTTAACAACTTAAGCAGTCAAATACAGGATTCTAAAGCATCTCCTCAATCTAAAGCACCACCTGTAGCCCAGTACCCCTCTCCTCCAGTGCAGGCTCCTCTCCTCTCCTCTCCCCTACAACCTGAACAACCTACCCCTCACTTACCACATGATCAGGTGCCAGTAACTGAAACCAGGCCAGATTTCATTCTGACTACTGAATCTGAGAAAATTATTGCCTTTCTTCAGTCATGTTCTTTCAAACAAGAGAACGGTCACTCCGTCACTTCATTTGGCACCCCCTACCACTACATGGGTTCTAAATCTTCAGAAAATGTGCCACCAATTCCTGAGGAACTCAAACCATTATTTGATGAAATGAACAAAGTACAAACTGAACTTTTTAACAAGAGCTACCCGGATCAGCCCCACCTGACGGCCCCGGTTATCAATTCATGTCTCATCAACAAGTATGATGGCTCTGATAGTCACCTGCCTAACCATTCAGACCGTGAAGTGACCATCCATCCAGAATCATCAATACTTACTTTGTCTCTCGGCCAGATCTGCAAAATCAAGTTCACTGAATGTGACTCTAGAACTGAATCCTCTCTTGAATGTCATGATCGCTCCCTGTACATAATGAGCCGTAGATCACAAGAAGTTTACAGTCATATGATTGAGCGTGGCTCAATATCAGATGGTATTAGGTACTCGCTGACCTTTCGTGCTGTTAGCTGGACAAATAAAAATTGCACAAGCTTACATGGTGATTCAAACACAGGCTTCTTGCGTTTTGGGTCTGACAAGAGGGGTACCTTTGGCGAACTCATGCCAGGTCAAAAGTTCTGGGCTCCCAGAATTGAAGATATCAACCCTGTGTCCTGCATGGGTTACGCCAATGTGGTGCTCCACTGTGGGATCAATGACGTGAGACAGCCGGATATTAGTTGTGAGAATGATGTTGCTGATTGTTATAATAAACTCAAGCTGAAAATTAAACAAATTAAGAATCTTAGCCCCAGCACTAGAGCTGTTTTTGTTTGTAAACTGCTGCCTACTAAGGACTTAGAGCTGAATGTAAAAGTTAATGCATTTAATAGACTTATTCATTTCGACCTGCTCCCTACATGTAAGGATGTCGTATGTGTTAACGGTTTCGAACAGTTTGCCAGCAACTATGGTCTTGCGGACGAACTGTCGAAACAATTCGACAGACATGGTCGACTTGATACACTTCATCTTAACAAGTTAGGGGCAAGAGTCCTTGCTGGACTCATTAAACAATCTGTATTTATTAGGTTAAATGGCGGAGAAGACAGAAGAAAACACATCG